AAACCCATATTTTCCTATTTAGAATCGATGAGCATTGAAAGAAAAGGAAAAGAAAGAGAAAGAAAGAAAGAAAGAAAGAAAGAAAGAAAGAAAGAAAGAAAGAAAGAAAGAAAGAAAGAAAGAAAGAAAGAAAGAAAGAAAGAAAGAAAGAAAGAAAGAAAGAAAGAAAGAAAGAAAGAAAGAAAGAAAGAAAGAAAGAAAGAAAGAAAGAAAGAAAGAAAGAAAGAAAGAAAGAAAGAAAGAAAGAAAGAAAGAAAGAAAGAAAGAAAGAAAGAAAGAAAGAAAGAAAGAAAGAAAGAAAGAAAGAAAGAAAGAAAGAAAGAAAGAAAGAAAGAAAGAAAGAAAGAAAGAAAGAAAGAAAGAAAGAAAGAAAGAAAGAAAGAAAGAAAGAAAGAAAGAAAGAAAGAAAGAAAGAAAGAAAGAAAGAAAGAAAGAAAGAAAGAAAGAAAGAAAGAAAGAAAGAAAGAAAGAAAGAAAGAAAAAATAACTCCTGAAAATTCAGAGATTCACTGTTGAGCAAGTGATTCTAATTTAAACTTATTCACTAACGCATTTGTTTTAAGACATTTCTGGCTCGCGATCTAGCAGCGAAATGAAAAGGGAAATGGATTTTTTTATCGTTATAGAATTTAAAATCCCACTTTAATATTCGTATATTTTGTTAATTATTTATTAGTTATAATATTTAAATTTCAATGTTTGGGGAAGTGTTATTACTAGTTAAAATTTTATATTTTTTTTAAAAAAAACACATCATTTAGAAGCCAATGATTTAATTTTAAAATTGAAATATAATCGACATGTGTAAATTTATTGGGGTAAAAAAAACAAACAAAATCACAATAAAAAACACCGAGTTTTTTTTTTTCATTCTCCCAAATATATAAAATTCTTTTCCAATATTTATTTTATAATTTTTCACAAAAAAAAATTTTTTTTTATCGGCTTGATAGAAATAATTTTTTTCAAGGGCAAAAATTATGACAAATTTTCGATAACGGAGAAATATTGTATACGCTTTTGCTAAGAATTCGATTTGAATAAAAATATGGATGTTAACCGGAGCAAGGTTTAGGGTTAGGGTTAGGGTTAGGGTGGCGGGCATAATTTATCTTTTTAAATTACGGGCTAACCCTATATTTTTCTAGTAGATGTCCAAACCCTTTGTACCATCTGCTAACCAAAAATCTCCAGGCTTGCGTAATATTATTTTATTGTTTGGATAAAATATTGAGTTTTTCGGGTTTTAAAAATCGGCTCAAACGGGGCCGTTCAACAACACTACTCCTTACTGAGCTATAATATTCTTTAAATGCATTTTATTTTTAAAAAATGCTTAGAACTTTGGACTAATATAAATTCGATCATTAATCCTCTGTGTTTCCCATATTTTTCGGAATTTCGAAAATGTGATTTAAAGCATATTACGTGTTACTTCCCACTAATACACAAATTCCATTGGGGCAAAATGGGAAGTGTCTTTCTTTCTTTCTTTCTTTCTTTCTTTCTTTCTTTCTTTCTTTCTTTCTTTCTTTCTTTCTTTCTTTCTTTCTTTTCTTTCGAAGGAAGGAAGGAAGGTCCTGGTAAAGCATTCGAAACTCACTATATATAGAGCATTTAAAAAGACCTTTAAATAGATACTAGGCTCGACTTGGATTTTTTTTTTGATCATTTAATTCTTTATTAAATTGGCATAATTTTGGCACTGTTTAGCTCGTAGGGTATGACAATGTGGATATCAAAATCTTGGGGAAATGCGTAGTTGAACCGGAAGTTGAAAATATTCTAAATATTTTCCTGTTTGGGTGGTTAAAGGAGAAAATTTCTCTTATTTTTGGATCGCCTTTCCCATGCGCGATTTACGTGCTACCGTTGTAAATTATAATTAATAATGTTAACATAAAAGTTCCTAGTTTAATAGAAATATGACTGCAACCAGTCAGTCATCCGTATACAATCGAAGGTGTTACCGATAAGAAACGGTCCTCATCCGTTGTCTCGAACAGAAAACGCTGAATGGGAAAGATTCCTAGAAGAAGGCGTCACACTGAAAAGGTGGTTCCTACTACCGCTACAATTATTTGAGCGACACCAACGGTGAGTATCTTTAACGTTTTATTTAGGGCGGAAAGGATAAGCGGAGATTTCTGACTAACGATTAATAAATAATTGACTAATCATAACGTAGAGGGGAAATTATCTAAGCTTTCTTTAAATTTTTAATTTGATTCTGATTGCAAGGATCTTCTGGTGATTGTGACACATGTCGGCTATTGGATACTTAAGAATTCTTGGTTTTAGCTCACCCATAATATTTCGGAGTTCCATTCACACGCTCTTCAAGGGATTTCCAATGGCGAGCCTCTCTTTTTGGGCGATTTAAACATATGGGGAGCAAATTATTTCCACCGAATAAATAATTTTTATGATGTAATGAGACGCTTTTTGACAAAGTAGAACATATGCAATATAAATTGGTGAGAAATCAGTCAGATGATTCCTTGGTCACGTGATAGATAAATTTGGAATCCATTATACCCTAGGATAAGGGGTAATCGCAATAAATTTATATGTTTATTGACTGGAAAAACTGATTGAATGAATCAGTATGGTTAAGCAAACCAATACACATTGGCTCACCCAGACATTCGGTGCTTCTATAATTTTCCTTATCCAGCAAAAAGCCATTATGCATACTCTGATCACTACGATACAAAGTAAGTATCGTTATACTGATCAATTAAGGAAAAAAACCGAAAATATTTAACTGAGGATTACGAAGTAGACGAGAGAACCGAGGAGATGGTAAACAAAGAAATGTTAGTAGTAAACAATAACGATGAAAATTAAACCTAAAGGAGAGGGAGAAAAATAATAACAAGTCAAGAAGCTAAAGGGAAGTATTACACAAAAATTTTGAAACTACCAATCAAGATCGATATCCGAAAGGAATAAGAACGGAACCAATCAGAATGGGGGGATAAATGTTTAAACATTGAATTGTTTATTTTGTTGTTTATACATTAAACTATCTACCGAACGGGTTAAAAGCTTTCAAATGTATTAAACACGCCACTAATTATTGGATATAAATGTTAGAGTTAATGCTTCCAGAAGTTTGGGCTGACTTCAGGCTCAATGCTTGATATTCATAGTTTTTATTTCTATTTTTTTTTGTGGCTTGGCGAAAATGATCGAAAAAATTAATAAAATACTAAATATTGACGCGAACCAGATATTTCGAACTTCCTATATTCTTCGTTATGGCAGGATGCATGGAAGAACAGTATTAATGTTTCCAAATATCCTGGCTCACCCTCTGATTTCGATTATAGTCATACTGTTTATATTTTCCCATTATTCGACCTAATAAATCTAAAAAAATATATAAAGGTGAGCTCTTAAAATGAAAAAATGTAAAAAGAAAGCATTAATCAAATAATATTAAAACATAGATTTTATCTTAATAATTTCTCTTTAATAATTTTAAAAACTCATAATAAATGATTAGTGTTCTTGAAATGGTACAGTTAGTTACACGTATAATTTGATTTTCTATATTACAAAAAGGTAGTTTTATTTAAAATATCGTAAAAGATTGTATTTTGAATTGTATTAGTAAATCACAATTTACATATATATAAAGTCAATTAATTTTTGCTGTATTTTATTGATTGAGATCCTAGTTTATAGGTGGGAGCAAAATAGTCTGTGCCTTATCTTATGCATAGGATGTTCTGTTCAATTAGGGGTAGTTTCTGTCATTGAGAGTATAAAGCTGAGATAGTTGCATTTATTTATACGTAATTAAATTATTTGTTTATATAAAAATGAACATATTATATTTATTCATTGTGGATAATATAGGAAATGTATTAGCTCCACGATGTTATATTATATATATCAGAAACCTGCAGGCCCGGCCAGGGTTTAATTTTAAAATTTACCCTGGCCGGGCCGTACAAATGGTAAATAAATATATGAAAATTCGCAAATTTTCCAAAGAGGGAATATTTCCTGGTTTTTCTCTTCCGTAAATAATTTTTGTCGTTTATTTAATATATATATAAGTCATTTTCATTTTTGTTTTATTTGTTTTTATTTTTAACTTTAAAAAAAATTATTACTTTATTTGGATAACCTGATATTTTCATCCCCCATGTATCCTCATTTAAATATCATGTGCACCTTTTAAATTTTTTTAAAATTTTTAAAGATATTTCTCCATTTCCAAAAACGTTTACTCTATCATTACTTCTTTACGGAATCGAAGATCTAATAATGTAAGAATTTTATTTATTTTTTGTTCTTTATCTAATTCCGTTTTGATTATTCTCTAAGATTTCAGCTCAGTTTGGATTCATTCTCGAAGGAGAACGGATTAAAACAGAAATTATAAAACTTAAATTTTATTTTTACATATATACATATTATAACATGTCTCCAATTTAATTTTGTGATTTTTTTACTTTTTAGAAAATCTTTTAAAACAGGGGTAGGTTGCGACCACAAAGAAAAATACCATTTTTTTTAACCTTAACTTCGACCAACAATTGAGTTATAATCTTATTATAATAATAATAATCAAACTAATAATCAGAGACCTGCAGGCCCGGCCCTAAGCCCAGCCCGGGTTGTATTTTAATTTTTTTCCTGCCGGGCCGGGCCGGGTCGGGTCGGGTCGGGTCGGGCTTGCAGGTCTCTGATTATTATACTTTCTTATGGTACTACTACGATATCTTTTAATTTGTTTTTTTAAATTATATATCTAGGTGTGCCTAATCGCGAATTATGAATTTAGGCATAATCACTTCTTATACTTTTTATCATAAAAATATTGGGTTATAATTCTTATTTTATGGGTTTTATTACCCCGTTTCAAATGAACCAGTCATAACTTAAAAAACGGTTAATTTTTTACGGATCGCGATGCCCCAATGATATGTAAATTCGCGGCGAATAAAAAATATATTCTCGCGACTATCTTATCTTTCATGATAATGTATGCCTTTCACTCGAGAAGGAATTCCTTAAATTTGGAAAAATCTGTCAATGATCAATACAGCGATTACGGCAACTATACAGGTAACATATGCCAACCTGATTATGTTAGAAAGAATGGTGGGCCTACATGCAGACCTCGGTAATATATATATATATACTATATACATTTTTTTTAAAAATTGATTTTCTAAGAAGGGTTAGGAGAAAGAACCTCCTTAAGAATAGTATTTTGACCCGACTCAATATCTACCCAAAAAATGGAGTTAGGAGTTACAACTTTCTAACAATCAACAAACGTTGCCTCAATTAAATATACTTTCTCCACTAACCTTAATTTTATTTAGATATTTTTTTGTCTGTCCAACAATCATTCAGAATGATTTTAAGGAAAAAAAAATCCCAGGAAAAAAAAAAGATAACTCCAACGGGAATAAATCCGGAAAAAAACAATTCCCATGGAAAAAATTTCGGTTAAAATAAGATTTTTTACTTATAACTAAATATTTTATTTTAAAATTAAAGATATAATTTTAAATGTAATATATATAATATACTGGGTTTCCAAATTTCATGGGCATCGCCTGGCAAATGTCTAGGATTTGAGTTAGGCTTTGCTTTATTATTAAACATTTATGTTATTTAATACTTTTATCTAATTTTTTAATATCTTCATCATAAACTTGAAGAGTCATTACTAAGGTATCTGTATTGTACTCTAGTCCTGCAAATTTTCCTCGGGGATTAGGGGAAGGGGAGTGAGGGCTTGAACTTTAGAAAAAAAAATCTTTTTTCCTAAAAATCTTACCTAGCCCGGGTATTAAAAATTCTGGATCGTACCAAGTAAAAATAAATAAAATTTGGCCAGATTTGTGTCAAATATTTTACGATTCTATCCATTCCATACTTTTTTTTAGGGATCATAAATTGCAGGTAGGCATAATTTCATTCGTTTTTTTTTAAAAAGATGTCCAAAAGGTCACTTTTTCTTAAATGGTATGACAGAATGTCACCCCTGGTTAGATTGCAGTGATATACGGATCGATGTCAAATTTGGACCCAAAATTGGTAGCGGAAACATCAAAAAAGTAATAAAAAAAAACTTTAAATTCTTGTTCAGGCTTATAATAACGATTTATAGAAAGAAGGAAAGAAGGAAAGAAGGAAAGAAGGAAAGAAGGAAAGAAGGAAAGAAGGAAAGAAGGAAAGAAAGAAAGAAAGAAAGAAAGAAAGAAAGAAAGAAAGAAAGAAAGAAAGAAAGAAAGAAAGAAAGAAAGAAAGAAAGAAAGAAAGAAAGAAAGAAAGAAAGAAAGAAAGAAAGAAAGAAAGAAAGAAAGAAAGAAAGAAAGAAAGAAAGAAAGAAAGAAAGAAAGAAAGAAAGAAAGAAAGAAAGAAAGAAAGACAGAAAGATGTGTTTGGTTTCCGGCTTTACCCAAGAAAAAAGTATATCAGAAGTAATTTACATGGATAATTAATAAATTTTATTGGATAATTCATGCAAGTGGGTGACCCATAAATTAGAAAAACTTCCTTAGCTACTAATCATATTATCCTCTTCCCTATTTATTATTCTATATTCTATATTCTGTATTTGCTTTTATATTAGTGCGGCGATTAACAATATATACGCTTCCACATTCGAAGATATTTTTATTTAGCATTCGTTTAAATCAGAGACCTGCGGGTCCGGTCCTTTGCCCTACCCGGACCGGATTTAGGGTCGGGCCGGGTCGGGCCGGGCCGGGTCGGGCCGTATATTTTAAAACCGAATATTTGAAATCTCCATTTTTAGGTATAGAAAAATTTCCGGGCCGGGCCGTTCAAATGGTAAAAAAAAAGATGAACCCTGATCTAGCGCCATCTATTTCAGAGTCATGACTAACAATAGCAGTTTTAAAAATAAAAAACAGCTGGGGACGCCATCTTGGTTACCCATATCACTATTATTCCTAAGTCTGACGCAAACTTACTTAAAGTGATTTAAAGGACGATCTTCCCTCTCCCAAGATCTAATCTCACCCACATATGTTAATACCTAGACTGATGATGCATGCATTAAAAGTGTACATCAATTAAAAACAGCTGGGGACGCCATTTTGGTTACCAATAATGATTATTAATCATTTTACACGAGAGGCCAATTTATTCCTAAGTCTGACGCAAACTTTATCAATGCCCGATCATCGAGAAATTAAAGGAGCTGGTTATCAATTTAATAATCGCTATATGGGCTACCAAAATGGCGGCTCCAGCTGATTTGCACAGTTCTAGGGATTATTATATGGCATTGGTAAATATCGACGACCGTCTTTATTAAAGGGGGTATCTGGGACAAAGGGATTATTTAGGGATTTTGTCAAATCAATCATAGAATCTAGGATCCAAACCAAGAAATGGAAATTCTTTGCAAGAAAAAAGAGATTTCAGGATATACTCCCTGAAACTTTTTTGCTAAAAAGGTCACTCGAGTTTAAATACCGTATATATTTTATGCACACAAAATAATATATTAATTTGCATTGATAAATGCTTAAATCTAAAAAAAATTAAAAATATTTAAGTATATAATTTGATAGGATATTGGTATATAAGGTAATTTTTTATCGGTCCTGTCAATTAACGCGACAACAGATGGTTGATAATAAGTTGAATATACAGTTTTATTAATTTGAGTATTAGTTATCGTTATTGTGTAAGGTCTCAACTACTCCAAACACCAGCTATCTTCGATTCTATGATTTATTTATTTTAATATTTGTTTTAAGTAACTGAAGTTGAAAGTATACTCATTACAATTATGCAATTGATACATCATCTGAATCAGAAGTCTGAAACTATAAGACATATTCATCTACAAAATAGTTTTTTTTGAAACTCAAACATAATAAAAGTATAAACCCGATTACAGTAAAATAGACAATGGTCAGAAAGAAAAAAAAAGCATGCCGAAAAATATTTGGAGGAAATGATGTTTAAAAAAAAGAAAGCATAAGTTTACCTTTGAAATTCGTTTAAATAGAATGAAAACCGGTTATTTCAATAAAATAAAATTTCTTTACGCGCTTGCTCACTTTGAACGCTTTTCGTTTACAACACTGGTAAAATATTAAGAAAAAGTCTTGATGTTATATGACTCTATTTGTAGCTATGTAACTTCCTTTCCGAATATTTATGGTATATGTATGCTATTTAAGCTTAATATTAAAAGTCTAATTACATAAAAATAGTAAATATATTTAATTATTTTTGGGGGATTATATAATTATACTTGAGTTGACATATTTTTCTGTCGATTATGTGTTTATAATAATTATCTAGTTGTAGTTCATTTTTTTTTAAACGTCTGATGTTAATTTTATTTTTGTCAATATAAATTGAAGTTTTTCTACTTGCTATTGGCATTCATAGACTACCTCTGTTTACACTATTTATTAAAATTTATATATTTTTTTATTTCATAATATTTCATATTTTTGGAATTTAAAGTATAAGTATAAAATATAAAATAAATAACGCCAAACCAACCAATCAAATCAAATTATTTTATAAACATTGGATGACCCGGGCTAAGTAGAATTTATTAATAAATTGGCAGGGCGGGTTAAAAATAATTTGAACAAAGACCTTTTATTGGCTGTCGATCAATGTTAATACAAATACTGAACTATATAAGACCAATAAAAAAAATACTAAATGTTTGATATAATGATATGCCCCATTTCCACGTAAAATATGATAATGTTGCATCATTTTCTTAATTTACTATGGTATAGTTTCGTTACATTACCCCTTCGATACGTATAATCCGTTTCTTTTAGATACTTTGAATTTAAACTTTCCTAGGTTTATAAAGCCAGATGGAAAACTATGGCTCTAGTAGCCAATCGTGGCAATCCAACTTTCCTCAAGTCCTATTTCAACCGAGGTCTTAAAAACTTAATCGAAATGCAACCTAGTCCGCACGTAACGCAGTATATTGGTGAAAACAATTAATATTCGTTGCAGGAAGGAAGGAAGGAAGGAAGGAAGGAAGGAAGGAAGGAAGGAAGGAAGGAAGGAAGGAAGGAAGAAGGAAGGAAGGAAGAAAGGAAGGAAGGAAGGAAGGAAGGAAGGAAGGAAGGAAGGAAGGTTTCTTGTAAAATCAAGTTAGTTAGTAATTGCATATCGTGCTATTTGATATATGAGCTGTGCATGCATATTTTATGAATCCTATAAATTTTTTTAGGAAAATTGACCAATAAACTGAATGCGACTCTACCATGTTAATATTTTCTTAAAGAAAGGAATTTTTTTAGGGGGGGGGGGGGATAAGAAAATATTAATTTCACAGTTTATAATAACGATAAAAACATATGTTTTGATGATCAAATATTAGGTCACTGTCGAAACTATCTGTTAACCGAATTTCATCCTTTAGGTAACCTGGGAAACCTTGACCAAATTTTATCCGACACCTTACCTCATTTAAACACCTTGTATACCCGTTTCCGGATTTGTGTAGATTACGCGACTATCCTATCCTTTTTAGCGGACCCAGAAAAAATGTCCGGGGGTGTCAGAATAATGTGCGACACTTCATCCCTGTCCAAATTGTTGCGTCAATACCTTTTGACGAATAGTTTAAGGGTTATACTAAACGACGTGGAAAGTTTACCCTTGATCGACTATGCCAAAGGTGAGAAGAACACTAAATGCGGGAAGAAGCCTAAAGTGGGTCTGTTTTCAGCGCCGGAACAAAGATGGCCTGAAGGGGGCGTCAATCACAGTCATTCTAGCCAACTTTTGTACGACGAGAAAGTAGACATATGGAAGTTACCTGACGTCTGCAATTACATCTTAGGTATGTATGATGATCATAGAATTTTAAATCTGCCCTTAATATAAAAATAAACTCTACCTTTGTACATAATTATTATAGTCAGAGACCTGCAGGCCCGGCCCTAGGTCAGGTCCGGGTACACGGGCCGGGCTCTATTTTAATATTTTTATATATACCCGGACCAGGCCGTGCAAACGGTTCTGTGGGTCTCTGAGTTGAGTAATGACTAAATGTCGACGAATTCGACTCAATCTGCAGGCGCTTGCCGGACAAATTCCGCTAACATTAAGGCGTCTTAAGTTATGTTAGTTTCTTCCAAATTTGAGCTTCTATCTTTTAGAGAAAAATCCCCGAGGTCAAAATAACAGTTTAAAAAATTTGGTCTAGCGGATTTTTTTAGCCGGCTGAAAAAAAAGACTTAAAGATAAATACCCAAGTATAATAATTATCGCTTAGATTAGTTTACAATGATCAATATTTCGTCAAGTTTTCTCTATCAATTAAAACGCAGTTAAAGTATTTCCTCCCCTTTGTGCAAAAAAAAAAAAAATAGCAATTTATTTTATTATTGATTTTGGGGAATATCGTATACGAGACACTTGTGCGAATAAACAACCATAGTAGCACGGTTTCTTTAGCGGGTACGGTTTTCACTTAACTCTCTACATATGTATTTCATTCTATTTCCGAAGCATTACATTACCTCTCAAAACAATTATGTAATCCGGTAACAAACAACATCATTGTATCTTTTTGACATAATTTGCTAAATTAGGAGATAGATTTTTTTTTAACCCAAAATAACAGAACCACAATATATTTCCACTTGCTTTTACGAGCCTTTTCCTTCCGGTCTGGTCGAAGGTTTGGGCGAGGCCCTAAGTAATCCCCTAATTATCAATGCTTAAAATTTTGTCATTAATTTTTAAAAAAAACTTATTTCGACAAATTAGACTTTATAAGAAATTTAAAAAAATGTGTAATTTCAATTAAATGTTAATAATAATATGCTGCCTCAAGAATCTATTGCATTGCGCTAATTTTGTGTACTACCAAGTACCACATATTTTTACATAGTCAAGAAAACTAAACATTAGAACTCTCTAGATATATCATCTATTTATTTATCAGGTAACAGCAGTGGTAGTCGGCTATTCAAAAGATATTTGCGAGATAAGGTTCATCTTCAATGCAAAAATGATGATCCCAAACTTCGACCCAGCGCGATTCAAGTTCTACGGATTTATAAGAACATCTACAATGAATTTGCTAGTTAATATCATTTTGCATTATACTTTGTGTTATTGTGTATTATTATATTTCTGTAATTTCTGATTAAAATATATCACACGATTATAATATGATTATATATTTATATATATAGTAAAATAGATTTGTGTTTATAACGAATTTAACATTTTTTTTTTAACTAGAGGACGAATATTTTATTATTACTTCGATACAAGTCTTACTATTAATACCTTATAATTTTATATATTATCGTCAATGTATTATTTTTTTCAAATTTTGAAACATTTTTAAAAAAATCTGATTTTGCCGGAAATGTAAGCTGGGCAGATTTAATAAAAGCTGTTCAGTAGAGCTGTATTAAATGCCAAAATAAGAATAGAGTTGTTAGCATCATGTTTGGAATACCTATACCACTCTGAATTTCAGACAATTTTTTTATATTGACTTTTTTAAACTTAATTTCAATTTATATTAGATTTTCCAAATATGTTTTTTTTTGTATAAATTATAAATGACTGAAAGGTTAACACAAAAATTTGTCTACAATTCATGAGATAGGTATATTCCAAACATGATAGAACATATTTCCGGTTGTCTACAATTCATGAGATAGGTATATTCCAAACATGATAGAACATATTTCCGGTTAAAATCAGATTTTTAAATTCAAAAAAACGCTCTCAAAAAAAATGATTTAAAATTGTCAAAATATAACACATTGCCAGAAAAAAAACGTATTGACGCCAACATAGTCGTACCCCCTCCCCCGTGTTAGAGAGTTCTTTGTGGAATTTCGAGGCAATATAAACCTTATATTTTCTGCATGTTCCTTATCAGTTACTTCCTCTTAACATGTCGGATATCCTGTCTGAGTTGCTCCTATCAATTCCAGGTAGAATTTATTAGTACTATAAGCTCTTATCATTACGACGTGAGTCAATATTTCTATATTTAGGCGTGCCAAAAATCCCATCCTTAAGCTCAAGTTAAAAATATTCGATTAAACTGAATCTAAAATGTATTATTATTATATGAATGCTCTGCTTATTATTATGTATAGGATTTAATTCTTTAATAGAACCCTGAATTAATCTTGCTTTGACACTGCAGTTCTAGCTAACAAGAAGGGTTTAACTCTGATATCGGCTTCTCAATGATATTATTTAAATAAAATCTTTGTCAATAAAATGCTGCAACAAAAATTATGTATAAAATTGAAGGATTTTTTTTACCACAAATTTTACAACATAAACATCTCCCATCAACTACTCCAGTTCTAACATTTTTGGGGGAGTTTACATCGTAACATGAACAATTAACCAAGGAAGGGATCAAAATCTTAAGGATCATTTATCAATAAAATTATATCTTAAATGTCCTTTCATTAAATTAAATGATGAGTTAAATTAACCATACATGTTTTTTCCGGCTAATTTTAAAAGGAACGGTTCATCGATGCATCATCGCGACGATAGGGGCAAAAGAACCCGTTTTCATTATATTTAGTCATATCGAACAGATTTTTAATTTTACTTTAGCTGTTTGATGCAACTTTCAGCACGGTAATAAGATCAAACATTTTTAAAAAAATGATTAAATGGTTTACATTATCGTTAAATTTAAAAAATAATATTTAGGAGGAAACAGGTTAGTTTTGGCCTCTTCCGATCAGTTTAACATTTGGAAATAGCGCTAAATGATGATAACAATTATATGGACCAAATATGGCGGCTTTTAAGTGTCAGAAAATGATTTAAATAAATTATTTTTCACTCAAATCAAACAAAAAAATTTTTATCTTTCAATTTTAAATTATAAACATCTTATGAAATTTTTTTTTTATATCACAACCATTTGAATTAATTTTACAACAAATTTTATCAAACAAATTGTATTACAAGAAATGCCTTTACTTATTACAGACTAGAAAAATAAATTACATTAATTTACATATAAATAATGGTTTAACGTACAATTTTTTTGGCTTTTAATGGTAAAGTTATCAAAAAATAAATAAGGTAATTTTTAAGAGTTATGACACAAAAATGAGAGGGAAATGTTTTATTGGAATAGAACCAAAAAAGAGAGAAAAAAAAGTTGTGTTCCTAGCTATTTCGGATTTGCGCTGAGCCAAGAATCTTTGATGGTGGGGATATCATTTTACATATTATTAGAGCGAAAGATCCTTGGGTCAGCACAAATCCAAAGGGGCCATATAAAGTCCCTAGTGACATAATTGGTGCAGCCATTCATAGATGCCTCCAAGTATTTTTTTTCCTTTTAGCTTTCACCTTTTCTGGTGGTAATCTCCTTCTCTATCTATCTCCACTTTATTATTACTGATGCCATCTATTTTTATCTAATTTATATTTGTATTTCTGATCGATTTCATTTGTATCGATCACCGGTGTATCGCTATCGAGGCCAGAGTATCTTGATCTCCCACCGGTGTATCAAATCAACCACCGGTGTATCAAATCAATATCGACCAGATATCCCACCGGAGTATTCCTCACACCCATCGACAGATATCCCAATCCTGATCTCCCACTGGAGTATCAATCCCGATGGATCTCCCACCGGAGTATCGTTATCAAGTCCATTGTATTGGTAGACATTGAACTTGAGCGGCCCCCGAGGTCACCATTATCCCATCATCCTAGCGCTGGCCAAGAAATTGTTATCGTCTGACCCACGAATTCAGCTGGCCGTCTTTTTTGGTTTATTGGACAAGTATCCTAGCACCGGGCTGTATAAGCCTGTTGGTGACCGGGGTGGTATTTCTCGGCTCAGATGTCTAAAGCCATCCGTCATCGAAGAAAACCCCGAAAATTTTTAGTTCCTTACCAGGATTGAACCTGGGACCTTCGGTTTACAAGCATACATCACACGCCACTGGGCCACCCCAGCGACGCCACCAAGTATAACTGTACATAAATATCCCTAAAATTCCAATTTAGGTTGTATAACTTACAGGACTTTAATGCTAGTGTAATTCTGCACAAATATGTAATGGACCAGATAGAACTTAATTCCAAAAGGTTAAACCTGGCATCTCATTCGTAAAACTTTAAGTTATTTAGATTTAATTTACCTAACACGATAAGATATTGTTTTTTTTAAAAAAATTAAAAGATAAGAAATGCAAAGGATTAGAGGTCGGCGTTACCCCAACAAGATTTTCGCCGAAAACCCTAATCAATAAAATTCCGCTTTTACTATAAATTGCTTGTCATATGTCAATTCTTGGAAAGCTAAGAGTAAGCATCTCGTCTATGAGACAAGATGGTTGAATAAAAAATAAAATATTCAAACTTGAAAAAATATTTTTTTAAAGGAATTATTTATAAAGTGACAATATTAGATTATTTGACAAAATTTCAGGTTCCGAATTATGGGTCAAAAGTTCCTTCCATTCCTCACAATTAAGGGCCTTGTGGGGAAGGGAGGATGAACCCCCAAATTGCATCGATTAAGGCCAAAGGATTTAGATCCGATGATTTATAGATTCAGTGCATTAAATTCCTATTGATAATAGCCCAACAAAATACAGAGATATAGCCCACACACCATAAACCCAACAACCTTGTACAACGCTTAAAATCCTATTTGCTCTAATAGTATAGCTAAAGCCCTTCCAAATGCCAACTGAGTTAAACAAGCAGGACCTATTCCTGAGATCATGAATGGCGCAAGATCGGCTGGTCGACCCTATTCCTATTATTAAAAAAGATATATTTTTTTTAATTTTTGTGAATTTTTATACATATTTAGCATCTTTTCGGGATATTTATGTTAGGAATTGTACTCCAGACTTAACAGATCGTAGGAGCCCTATTCAACCCAGAATCTGCTAGAGATTTTTTTTTAAAATTTACTATATCCTATTTTGATGTAACATTTTTATTACATTTCAATTTAAATCCTCCACAATCCCAGTAAATCATTAAGTTCGTATTAACATACTTTATTAAATTTCAGAAACCTACAGAGGTATCATTTGCACGGTCCGGCCCGGTTTTTTTTAAAAATATATTTTATTTATTTTTGATTTTTATAGCTAATAATAACTATTTCAAGGCCCATCCTAGGGCCAGGCTCGCAGATCTCTGCTAAATTTTGTATAATTTAATTATAAATCTATGATTTTTTACGATTTAACGGTCCAAATTATATTTTTAAAAAATCAAGGTTAGGATATAAACGAGTCCAGAAGAATGTACACCCAAGCCCGCCCGACACAAGACCAGTCAGATGGGACTTGGTTAATACAGGGGTTTTACTACATTGATTTTGCTAGAAAAATATATCGCTTTTTCACCTTATTTTAACTATTTAACTTCTTATGTATGATTATGAATATTTTTAAAAAAATATATTTATTTAAAAATTTCTTATAAATAATCTTCTTTCTTTTTTTTTTACTTTACACATCCCCAAGATATCACAAGAGACAAAGTAGTATCAAAAAAATAAAAATAAATGAAATAATAATTTATAATTTTTTTGAATTCACATTATTTTCACAATAATAATATTTTATAATAATTATTTTCCATTTAAAAAATAATAATAATAGTATTCTTTTTAAAATTTCGAAGGGGGGAAAAATTAATTTAATTAATAATAGATTTACTAATACAAATATATATATCTTAAAAAATTTTGCTAATAAAAGGGTGAACAAAATATTAAAAAAGCACTTTTAACTAATAAAGAGTAAAGAAAAATTTTTTTATAAATATATATATATAAATGTCAGTTTTATGCTAATTATACTAGAATTTTCGATAATCACTTTTTTGGACATTTGACATTTTCCTAATGTGGTGACTTTAAAAAAAATAGATGTTTTTTTAACCGGTGTATCGCCAATAAGAAGGAAAAAGGGAATATAAATTTATTGATTAATTTTAGCAATATTTAATTATTTTCATTTTAATTTTAACCGTGTTTAAAAAAAATAAAATATTAAAAAAACATTAAATGCATAGAGCTCCCCCTCGCGGATGATTATTTATATATTGTTATAAAAAAAATTAAGGACAAAAAAACCTTTTTAAAAAACAAACAAAAAAAATTATGAATTGATATGAAAGGAGTATATTTTAAAAAAAAATTCGTCTTATTCGCCCAATTTGGGCAGTGCGCTTATGTAGCATTGGGCATACTCGTTCGATGGGCTCATTAAATAAATCTGGGGATAAAAAAAGAGGTAAAATAAAATAGTGGACATTTGTGTTAATAAGGTCGCATTCATAGTGGGATCCTATCCGACACAATTTAACAGCTGATCGATTTTTAAATCGGTATATGAGAATCAATTTTTCTTTATTAAAACCAATATTTCTTAGGTTATTATCATGTATTGAATTAAAGATAAAATTAATATTATTTTTAAAAAATTAATCTCGTAAACAGATTTTTAAAAATCAATCAGCTGTTAAATGGTGTTGGATGGATCCCACTATGAATGAGGCCTAAAAATAGAATTATAAAATGCTTTAAGACCCTGAGTCAAATTGTCATAACAAACCTGTTTCAGTGACGAGGCTGGAGTCACTTTAAAATAGTTTTGGATAACTTTCATGATAAATATGGCCGAATCTTGCATTGGAGAGTTACTACATTTTAAATACATTTTTTTAAAAAAAAGATACAACTATAATATCTTAATAAATAACATTTTGTTATTAATTATAAGTATCTATTTTAAATCTTTTAACAAAAAAAAAGTGGTGTCAGTTAGTTTCACTCATTTTATTAACTGCTTTAAAAAAAATATTATGCGTATTAGTGTTGTTAAACGGCTCTTCAACTTAGTATTTCATCTAGAATATGCCTGAAGATTTTGCTTGTAGAAGGAACAAAGGTTCTGACAACTATTAGCGAAACCTAGAGGCTTAGGCAAAAATCGGCTCACCGTTTAACAACATTAATGTCTATTTTAGTTAGAAAACCTAATATTCCAATTAATCTCTCAGCATAATTACGATAGTTTTTTTATTTTCCAAAATTTAAGTTAAAAAATAAACCATTTAGCGGGAGGTTAGAGCCGACAAAATTTTCCTGTCTTTTTTTTTAAAAAATAAATAAATATTCTTTCTTAGAACTAACTGTTGTTAAACCATCTAACTTAGGCCAGCTCTAAAAGGACTTTATTCCCAAAAAAAATAGTATCTATCATTAAGGTTAAGGCTAAACTTAGACGTTTAAGTCAATTTTTTTTAGGGGATAATCTTTGACCACGCCAAATTGGAGTTGGTTAAAATTAGGTGATTTAACATCACTTACTTAGAGCCCATATTTCTTAAACCATTTCAACACGTGACAAATATTCAAATCTACTTAAAAAAGATATTCATTTTTAACGATAAAATTTTGGACTAACTTTTTTGCAACGAATTATTTTTCATTTGAGAAATAAAAACTAATAGTATTTTTTTTATAAAAAAAAAATTTGACGGATAACATTCTATAAGGGAAGCATGAGAAAAAAAACAATTCTGAAATGAATCTTTTTTTTATAAATTTGATATTTTTTTTGAAAAACTTGGGGAGTTAATATTTTGTAGTGTTCTAACTCAATATTTTAGCCAGAAAAATATTGCCCAAAGTCTCGAGATTAATCTAATAGATGTCCAAACCTTTGTTCCCTTCTACAAACAAAATCTTCAGGCCTGCGTAATATTATTCTAGATGAAATATTGAGTTAGCCGTTTTTAAAAAATCGACTCTAAACTAGCCTTTTAACAACACTAATATTTTGGGATCCTTAGTTAATTAATTCAATCGAGCCGACCTAACGGTTTTTGACCGAGTTTCTAGCCAAAAGAATCGGAAACGTGTAATAGGAGGTAAGTGCTTACCCGGCATTCTTGTCGGCGGATCCGAAACTGACAACGGAAGATAACAATTTGGAAGGAATAACCACGGTTTTAAGGCCCTGTTGGTCGGCTAGGGAAAGGCAATAATTCAAAGAATCGTCAAGTATTTGGAGGCATTTCGCGGGTTTCGCTTCATTCTCGTCGGCTTTGGCATCGAAACGGCACAAAATGACTTGTTTAAAGTTTTGCAGAACTGTAGGATGCTTGGGAGTCGGGTGAGTAGTTCGAGATGGGTCTATCAAATCGCCTAAAGATTGAATAATAATAATACAAAAATTTATATTTTTAAAAAACATGATCATAATTAATAACGTGGACAATTGATGTTTTTTGTTTTTAAAAAAAAAACAGGGGAAGAAAAAACAGCGTAGTATTCTGGCGTCATTAGCAGCCAATGATCGATGCGACATATTCACATTTAATCACGCAATCGCATCACCTGATAACTGGTGAAGAAGGTAAATCCGAACCGGTTCACAGGGCCCCGCGATCTAAAATAAACAAAATTCAAAAGTGGTCGGGCTACATTAAGACTTTAGTTCTTTTATCTCTAACCGGTCCGCTCCGGTCCGACCTCCGCTACTGATGACCGACCGAGAAAATGAGTCTACATTGTCATATTTAATGAAAGAATGTTTGTAAAAAAATATTCGAATTCTTAATTAGGTACGTTAGTGATCACCTCTAACCAAATTTTTTGAAAAATGAATCACGGTCTGGCCGGAAACAATTCAAAATGATTGACAAAGATAATTGTCGTTATCGAAATATTCTAGAAACTTTAAAATTACGCAAATTGAAGAATTCCCATATGATATAAATATTTAAAAAAATGCAAGTATAAATCAATAAAATTTTAATACTTAAAATCTTAATTATACATGTTACATTGAATTTATTGTTATGCTACGAAAAATTTGTCAAAATTGTCAGTTAAAAATTGAAAATAAAATTCGTATATAAAATAAACTCTTTATAGCACGGCTTTTATTTTTGAAAATAAAATAGTGGCGGGAAATTTAAAATATTTATTTTTATTTCGAAAAACGTTGCATTTGCACTCTTTGGACCATGTGAATTACCGAAATAATAGTGAAATAAATAGGCATAAATTTCATATAAATTATATCCCTAGTAAACATTGGAGATAAAATGAATCCCAAAGTGGTTACTTTTTAAAAAATAATAAAATTAAAAACAATGGACAAATAAATTAATAAATAAGAATGATATAATTAAATTTACAATTATCTTAAATCATAATAAATTTAGATTATTTCTTAAAAAAGAAACAAACGTCCAAATAATAATAATCAGCTGTCAGGGGCGCGCCGCATTTTAGCCGCCGTCAACATAGGGCGATTTTAATAATAGTCACCCCAACAGTATAGAAAACTATTCCACTACAAAAATTTAGAACATCTGTGCCGTATAAATATGGCATACTTGTTCTAAGTCACTTAAAGTGGAATCATAATTTGTGCTCATTGCAAGGAATGTTAATTTGCCAACCTAGCCAACTAATTTATATTTCCTCTTAATTTTCAATCTCCTATATTTATAACATCATCAAGCTTTATATATTTAATATGATGGGCAATCTTCTCTATTATATATTTTGTAAAAATTTTTGAACTTGGTCTAGAAGGTGAATTACATAAATTAAAATATATGTAACGCATATATTTTTTAGCACATTTTCCCTAAGTGAAATGTATTTTTGAGTTATCATTATCATTTAACATTAAATGTGTTTCTATTTCACTTCTGGCAAGTAATGCCAAGCTTAATGTAGGCCATTTTTGTGAAGTTAAAAATTTCAACTATTAGTTCCTTTTCACCAATTCAATAGTTTAAAAATTCCAATTATTTTCAAAATATTGATTTTTATTAGCTTCAGACATGTATTTGAGTCTAATTGGCCTACTATGTCATCTGGTTGGGACATTTAATTTTAATATTCTCATTTGAGTGGTATTCTTTTTATTATCATCATTGGAATCACCATTTATAAAAGGGTATTGATCATGCTATCAAGATCTAACATATTCAATGTTAGAGATTTATTATATTTAGGCATTTTCTCAGATGACATTATATAATTACAACAGGGATGATGACCAATCCAATCATTAGAATAAAAATGTATAATATATGAAAATTAATAATAAGAAAAAAATATGAACCAACCATGTGCCACTACATTACATAAATAGCAACAATTTTGGTGTGATAAAAAATATTGGCAGCCAGCCTATGGCTGGTCTGTGCACAGTCTATATAAAGCCTATGATTAAATCGGTGTAGCCATGACCTAAATAAATATTTTCATTGATAAATACTATTTAAAAACAATAAGTAGGACTAATTGGGAAATAAATGGATATATAAATAAATATTTATATATAAATGGCATTAGAAAAACAAATATTTATTTTATTTATTATTTTTTTGCTTGTGAATAAGTTATAATACTTTTTGTTAGGTCAAAATTATTTTGCTTGATCCAGGCTTTAAGTTCATTTTCAATTTTTTTGCCTAAGTATAAATATAAAATATAGCATTGTTATCAATTTGATTACTTTCAATATAAAATTGTCCATCTTCATCTAATCCTATTATTACTGCATCACAAATAAGCTTGTTAATGTCAGATTTCTCTAAAATAATCTTTAAAAATTTGGTTAACAAAGTTTAAAAATTTGACACCTTTTGATCTAAAAATGATCCTTTTTCTAACAATGGTTTGTTACCTTTCTTTATATTAAATAATATTTAATTTGTTTACATCATTTTTAAAAACATTACTTTTATTATTTGATTAATTTTCTTCTTGTTACTAATATTTTTGTTCACATTATAAGGTATATCGTTGACTAAATTTTTAGTTTTATGAATACCAGAAAAGCTACTCACTTTATGATTTAACAAAATATCTGTTTGATTTTTCTTCTGCAAAAGTTCTGGCAAAATCTTTGGTAAAACGCCGCCTGATGGAATAGTAACTCCTTTAAGCATCTACAAACAACTTAAAAGAATAATCATTTCAATTTAAAAAACTCTATTTAATTCTTCGTCATTCATAATTGCAAGTAGAATGTGCCTAGGTGTAATCCTACTTTTTTTATTGTCACGAGCAGCATTTCCCGCTAGCTCCATAATTTCGGCTAAGTTCACATTTAAAAAAAAAAGCATCTTTATTTACTTATCTTATCTTATTATCTACCTGTCAAATATTCCATGACTGAAGCTAAATAGATCGGAGCTCCTATACCAAATCGATGCTTTACTAAAAGCTGTCGTAAATATCTTCCTACTCTTGAAACTGGAAATATGATTCCAGCACGAGCAGATTTAGAGATACCCCTAGCACGTTTCTTGTTTATTTTATTCATACCATATGATTAAATACAGATGTTTTCGCTTCTATACCTCTAGGTAATATTTTTGTTATGAAATAATTTAAATCATTATATCTATATTAAAAATAATAAAACATATATCTAATATTAAGAATACTCGATGGTAATATACTTTCATACTTAATTATTTCCTTAAGTTCGAAAAATGCAAATAAATATGCAAATTTTTTTAGATTATTAATAAAATGGAGAAACCAAAAAACTTTGCGTTTTAAACATACAATGCACATTAAATTTACTTTTTTACAATCTTAAATTGCCAGCAGGCCCATTATGATGACTGAAAAAATATTTCTTCTACTATTGTTTGAAAACCGGATAGTCCTTTTTGTTAGAATCGCAGAATTGCGTATCGGAGATTGAAAACAAAATTAAGGAAAGAAGAGGAGAAAAAAAGGTAAATAAAGTTAAAAAGCAATGGGATGGGAAAAGGGAGAAGAAGGAATGGAAAGTTATATATGGGATTAATAATTGGCAAATATAAAGACTGATAGGAAAGGGTTGATAAAATTACATCGAACACTAAAGATTAAATAGAAGTCGGGAAGCGAACAATAAAGATTAGAATTTTTTCATATTTTATCTATTATAAATTTAAATTATCTTTTTCCTGCTTCTTAATTAATCATAATTATTTATAATTTTAAGTTATATTTTCTTTATCATAAAATTTTATAATCATTCCCAGAATAAGTATAATATTGTAATACTTACCCTCACAAACAAAATATTTTTATTGTTATATACACAACAAAGGCATATTATATGGCATTATAGAGCACCCATAAAACATATTATTTTATAATACAAAGATGCTTAAACAATTTTTACTGTATTGTAACAATAATTATAATAAACCTATGACAACCCACCATTAACGTATACAGAGAAATAATATGAATTGAAGGAGGAGTTAAATATTAGAAAAAACAAGAATTGACGTGAGACGAGAATGGTGAAACTTTAAAATACGAAATAATTGAAATGAAGTCAAAATGGGAACAAAAGAAACGATAACGGTCAAGAATAAGAATAAGGTAGTAATGGAGAAGTAATTAATAATATGTCGAAATATGATGAATAACGAAAAGAATCATAACATTGGTGTACGAGTACATCAAATGCTGGGATTATTGGAAAAAATAACCTGGAAATAAATGATTACAAATCTTGAATTTGGGTTGTATGGAATTCCATACTGAGAGAGAAAAATGAGAGAAACATGGAAGGTATGAAAGGAGATGATAGAGATAAAAACAAATCAAAAGACGGGGATAGAGCGAAATTAAGGAGGGAGATGTTATATATGACAATATATGAAGGGATAATTAGAAAAATAAAAAAGATATTCAAGACATTATTTTCATACATTTATTTAAATTTTGTTATAATTTTATTTTGAATAATTCTATTTATTTTTTATTTTTGTCTCCATGGTGGTGTTACAATAATAAAGATTTATTACAACCATGAAAATAGTAAATTTAATAATTAAATTATACTAAAAAAAACATTTATTCAAAGTCTCGAAATAATATATTTGTTATGTGTATCGTGTTAGCGTGGAGTCATTTTGGATAATAAGCATTTAATTTGTGATTAATATTTTTTGATGTTTTTTGCGCATTCATTCTTGGAATATATTATAAATAATGTTAAAGAAAAATCGATAATTATATTTTTCTTGCATATTATTTTATTTTTTTTGTTTATATTATTATTTATTATATTTCTCAAGTATATATAATCAAAGAAAAATAAATTTAAAGCATTCATTTTCGTGGATTCATTTTCGTTGTATTCATTCATTTTTTTTGTCTTGTGTTAAAAAATTATTTGAGATTGATAAGAAAATAAAATAAAAGAAAGTCGTTTAATCTAGAAAATAAAAAATAAAAAGTTAAAGAATAATAAAAAAGGTTAATATTTTATATTAGTCAACTTATAAACATTAGAATTTTATATTAGTATTTGACTTTTAAAACAATTTTGAAAACGAGCAGTTTGGAACTCTTGTTTCCATATAAGAAGCCAATATTCATTTTATGTAGAAAAGGTTAGGATTGACTAATTGCTTAATTCTTGATGTTGAAGATATGATTTAGCTCTCAAAAAAAATAAAAAATAACCATTGAAATTAGATTCTATATTCATTATTATTATTAACAATCTAATTATTAAGCCTTAAAAAAGTCATAGTAGAATTTTATTTTTTTATAAAATTTCCATATTTTTCTTTTCCTATGTTTTCCCATATTATCCAGGGAAATTATAGTTTCACGGGGAAATTTACATCTCAAAAGAATGACGAAAACTCCTAATATATTTTTGTAAATTCTTCAGTTATTTTTGATTAGTACATTCTTTTACTTTTACCAGTAATTATTAATATTAAATAAGTAGAGTATAATTATTAGAAAAATACAATTGGTCTGTATTTTTTCACTAGCCAAACATAATTTGGTCAGGAAAAAAAATAAAATAATGAAATTTAATTAGTGAAGAATGAAGAGAAGTCATTGAGTGTTCTTATATGCTAAGAGAGTTAGAGATTTATCCAGTGGCGTAGGCCGGATTTTATCATAAGGGGGGGGGGGCTTAAAAATTTTTGGAGGGGGGGGGGCGAAGCCCCCTAAATTTCCCATTTTTTTTGAACACTTATTAGTTTATATTTTTGGATTTGTTAAAAAAAAATTATATTTTCACATAACAAAATTTTAGGGTATTTTATTATATATTTTACATTCCTTTATTTAATCATGTGTATATTTTTATTAATTAAAATATTTTCTTGATATTTTATATAATACAGATTTTAATATTAAAAATTATAATGTATAAAGACTCTATTTAAAAAAAAAGTAATTTTTTACAATTATATAAAATATGTGTAATTCTTATAGTGCGCACAAATTAAACGTTGCAACGCGGCGTTTCAAAACGCATATAAAAAACGTGAACGCAGCCATGTTTAAATTGATACGTTAAGTTTTATTTTTACAATAATAAGCATTTTTTTTTTTTTTTGTTTTTTTTTTTAAAATGCTATCTTTTTATTCAATATATAGTTATCAAAAATCATTCAAATTTAAAACAAATAATCACTACAAGACCTTTCTTACCTAGCAGGGAAAATAAATCTTATTCAATAGAATCAAAAATTCTTAGAGACAAATTTATAAATTTTATAAATTATTAAATATTTATTATTGTATAAAATTTATTTTTGAAAATATTTTATATTAAATTATGTTTACATATTTAATTTTTATAGACATTATGTTATTAAATGATATAAATAAATTGAATATGAAGAAAAATTTAATTGATATATCCATTAATCTCTAAAATGATATATAATTGAATATTAAGAAAAATTTATTTTATACTATTACCGATGTGGCCGCTTTTTACCTGATCCCTCAAATCTATGAATAATAGAATAACTAGAGACTGTTTTTTTTTTACTTTATTTGCATAAAACAATTCACAAAAACAAGAAAATGAATTTTATAACTAAAAAAAAATAATAATCATCTTTCACGATTTTAGCTTCCCATTTATAGGGAAGCTAAAAAAAATCCCTATCTAAAAATATATTCAATTTTACAATAATAATAAATTCTATTCCCAAATAAAGTAATCACGACATCTCAAATTATATAATAAGAATGACGCGACGAAAACTAAAAATAATTTTTTTTTCCTTTCGCCTTCGTCTTCTTTTTCCTCCCCCCCCTATCGTGATTGAACCCCGTCAATCACGATATATATATCGCTTAATTTCTTGCATGTTAATTCGGACATGATTCTAGATGTAGCCCATTGAGTATTTTAAAGCTTGGGGAATGAACCTCAAACTTAAAATTATATTAATTGTATTCTCTTTGATACAATTAAAATTTTCATAGATTTTAAGAATAATTTAATTATTTTATAGTGTAAAAACTATATCTAAATTTTATCTGTTGCTTCTATAAATAGTTTTTCAATATCAACCATAGTAAGTGATATAACTAAATTAATTGAATATTAAGTAAAATTTATTTGATATATCCCTTAATTTCTATTGCATGTTAATTTGGACACTATTCAAGATGTAGCCCATTGAGCTATTTTAAAGCTTGGGGAATGAACCTCAAACTTAAAATAATATTAATTCTTTCTTTCACGATACAATTGAAATTTTCATAGAATTTAAGACATATAATTTAATTATATTCTAGTGTGAAAACTATACCTAAATAAGATTTATTTGTTGCTTCTATAAATAGATTCTCAATATCAACCATAATAATTAAATGATATAACTAAATTAATTGAATATTAAGAAAAATTATATTGATATATCTCTTAATTTCTATTAAATGTTAATTTGAACACTAATATAATTTGAATGTTAAGAAAAATTAAATTGAAATATGAAAATAGAGACAAATATAATATATAAAAATTTTATTAAAAGAATCTAATGTCAATATAAAAATTAATATAAAATATATTTTTATAATAAATAAATAATTTATATAATGCTATTAAATATCTCAATGCAGATTCATTTGTAAGTGTTGGTAAGGTACCATTTGTCTTCAGATAGTGTAGAAATTTTAAAACCTCAGTTTTAAACAGCACTTGGTTGTCTAGACTCTACAAGGCTATTCATAAAAAGTCTAAATAAAATATAAAAATTAGCTTTACTGCATCCCAGATGGCTTTTCTTCCAAAATTTATTAACCTCTTAGCATTTAGCACTTAAGGTTTAACATTTCAAATATTTTAAAATTAACATTTTGAGAATAAAGAAACAAAATACACTTATAATTTTTTATGAATAGTAAAATATTTTGTGGGATTTATTCAAATATAGATGGTAAATAAAATCAATATAAATTTTGGATCAGTATTGTATAGGCTTTGTAGTAATATCAGAACAAAATTTGAGGGTCGGCACAGCTCTACTCTTTATTTTCTAAGTAGTTATTATCAACTTACCAATAAAATAAGTAATAAGTACGATTTCCTATTTTCTCCTTATTCAGCTTATCCTTGAAGTTTGTCAATTCCAATGCTAATCTAATTATATTTAACATTCTTATATATTTATACCTGAAACAATAACTGATAAATGTTCCATAACAATGAAACTTTTTTTATGGTAGTCTAGGATTTCTCCAAATCTTTTGCTTATTTCATCGTTCCATATCTTAAAAATATTATTATATCATTTAATAATTATTATTCTTAAATTTTAGAAGAATTTTATCACTTCAAAATTTAAAAAGTTTTGAAAAACGCAAGCATAAAAAATAATTTAAAATGAAAAATGGAAATGTTCTCAATGTGAACGATGAGAACGAATGCATTTAAAATGCATTGTTTCAATTTGTGCGCACTATTATGCAAATAATGGTATTTAAAAAATATGACGATATTATCTTATAAATAATACTTTTTTTTACAAAAAAAAATTGATTATATATTAAAACTAATAAAATTTTATTGCTATTTTTTGATTTGAATTTAAAAAGAGAGATCTACTTTTCTCTGACAGTTTGCTAATTTATCTAGAATCAAATTTTTATCTAAAATAATCTCCTTATAAATATTCAATAGGGCTAATCCATTTAAACGTATATCACCGGTTGTGTTTCTTAAATAGGTTTTTAACCTTTCTTAAAAAAAGACCCTTATTTCCTATATAGTTCATAAGCCTTCTCATTGTATGCCCATCTTAGCTTTTATGGGCATTGCCTTTAAACTTCCTAGTATTCGTGTACTTCGCACCTTATCTTTTCTTGTTATACCCCAGCAATCATCCTCAGCATTCTCAACTCCATAATTCTTTGGTTGGCCATGTTTCCGATCTACATAGAATAGTTGGTTGCACTCTATGGAACTTTAAATTTTTTTAAAATAATAACTCTAAAGTCGCCATCATTTTCAGTTCATACTAGAAAATTAGATATGAAACCCGCTTACTATCAACAATTATTAGTGTTCTTCAATCAATCGCTGATTTGATTATCTATTGTAAAGTTATTGTGTTTTGTGGACCTTTTGTCTATCTGCATGTATAATGATCGGCACGTTGTCAGTCCATGAGAGTGAATATAATTTGCCATCATTTTAATAGAATTTTATTTATTTTTATAAGGCATTTATTTAATTTTAAAAAAAAAATGGCATTAAAATAAATAAGAGGTAAAAATTATAAATAATTATCAAAAGAACAAAGGCTGTCAAATTTTTTTCGGTGGATCGCGCATATGCAATAGGTAATTGCCTTCAATCAATTTCGATCTCGTTAGACGCTGTTATAAATAAATATGTAAGTAGTTACTTGTGTCGGTGTCGTTACCTTTCAACAAGTAATTTAATTACTATTACTGATTACATTTTTTGAAAAGTAACAAATTTATATTTCGAAGAATGGGTAACTGTTATGTAAATCTGTTTGATTGGACTTGTAACGTTTTGATTCTCTCCTTTCGAAATTATTTTTTTATAATGGCTCGAATATCATGGTTACCGCTTAGAAAGTTATAACCATTCATTACGTTTCGTAGGCTCAGTATTGGTTAGACACTCTGATTAAAAGTCTCCACAAACCATAATTATGGAACTTTGATAAGGCTAAAAGAAGTTTTTAAGCTGTAATCAATTTCTAGAGAAAAAAAAGGTTTTACATACGTAATCTTCCTCTTCTCAATATAAATCTATACATTGTTTCATTAGCTATAAAAATGAAAATAAGTGAAATACTCTGATATCAGCCATTAATGTGTTGTCGCGCTTATATTCATATAAAAAAAAACGGTAAGAATCATAATTCCATTCAAAACTGAGACTTTGCCAGTAACAGGTTATATCCGATTACAAAGAATAGCCAATGAAATCACGCGATCTTAACTGACGGGCTACACCCTAACCTTACATCCCTCGTGATAAAATCTTTTAAAATGAAAATATTAAATTTGGTATACTTACCGTTATAAATTTTTTTTATATATAAAATTAACTCATTCATTGCCCAGGTGGCAAGCAAGGTTATACTTGTTCATTTCATCTTTTAAAATTAAAGACAGAAATGAAGTTATCATCTAGGCGTAGGGTAAAAAATAAAAATTTATCGTACAATTTTATATTCTAAATGAAAAATATTATAAAATGAATTTTTATTTGTATATTGACTCAGCTATTTATTCAGGCGCGAGCCTATATTTCTAGTTATTTTCTTTTTTGAAAAATATATTTGGATGAACGTTTTTCAAAATAATATATCGATTATTTTTTTATTAATATGAAAGAGTTTAACCCTAACCCTAGCCCTAACCGGGGGTTTTTCTCGAGCGGGTCGGGGTGGATTGGTAAAATTTGCGCTAGGTTAAGCGTAGATAGCTAAAGTTTAAACGGTGTAGTCAAGGGGTGGTTTAGTGATTGAAGCCTCCCCTCACCATGGATCTCTTCTCTTCTCTTCTCTTCTCTTCTCTTCTCTTCTCTTCTCTATTAGGAAAAATATTATTTTCATAATACTCTTTTTTTATATTGATATAAAAAAAACGCTCAGAAATAATTATTTTTTCTTCTTATTTAAAAAAGTAAAAAAATTTTTTTTATAAGATCTATGAATAAACACTAACTTTATAGGAAGTAGACCTGTATAAAGCGATTAGAGGGGTAACAAAATTAAAACGCTACTAATTTTTAAATTTTTCAACCCCACAAGCATAAAAATCTTAAATTTGGCGTGAAGTAATTTCTTATGTTCATCTTTCAAATTACTTTACTGGTTTGAATATATTCTTGCCATAAAAATAGTTTTTTTTACCCAAAAATTACAAATTGCAATATCTTGTTCAATGAGGCAATGTAGGCGTATAAATATCTTTATCCTAATACTTAGCCATTTTACCCCTGGTATGATGGGGTATAAAATAGTCAAAATGGCCACATTTAATTTCAGCTCCTAAAAGTATTATACGTCGAGAGCCACACGTTATTTTTGATATTTTGTAGATGGGGAATTTGGTTACATATAAAATTCTATAATTTGGATTTGTATTTGTTTTAAAAATATATGGTAAAAAATGCAAAATAACCAGTCCGTTTTACCCCGGTTCTCCCATAACGAATCTAATTTTCTCATATATATATATATATAAATAATTTGATTTGTTATAAATCATATAGGGGTAAATATTATAAAGGTATTAGTATTTAATGTATCACAAAAGATTATATTTTAATGTATCAGTCAATCACAATTATATATAAAGTCAATTAATTTTTTGTATTTTATTGATTGAGATCCTAGATCCCTTTTAGCGTTAACGTTTTAGTTGGGAGCAAAAGCCTAAGTCTATCTTATGCATAGAATGTTCAATTAGGGGCGGTTCGGTCATTGAAAGTATATAGCTGAGTAATCCCTCGTTATCTCGGTTCTAACAGAAGAAGCGGGAGGTTCAGACGTTATAATCAGCATGGAATCGATATAAGACTTTTCTAATTCCCTTGTGCAAAACAAATATGGTATTAGTCTTTCATTGGCATAGGGGGGGGGGGCAAGAGGGGATTCCCCTTCAGAAACTTACTCCTTTACACCCCCCTCCCAACCTAAGAGTTAAATTTTTTGTATAAGACAATTATTAGTTTTTTTAAAAAAATATCGATAATTTATATATATATTTTTGTTAAAAAGTGCAAGCAGTTTAAAAAGTTTTATCTCTTAAGGATTAAATTCGTATATTGGGAGGTAAAATTTTTATATGCGATCCAATATATGCATAAATAAAGTTGCATATCAAAGAAAGATTATAATCCCGGAAAAATTCTTAAATGGAATTTACTAGCATTCATTGATTCCTTCTAGTTGGGACTTTCCTCATAAGCTTATCATCTCATATTTAATATATATTATAACGGGGGGGGGGGGGGGAGAAAAAACTTAAAATCGATAATTAAATTATCGCAATCAGTTTTACATTATTAGTTCATAGTGAAAAAAATTATTAATCGATGTCTATTATAATAAATGGTTCCAGGTGGGAAAAGAGTTACTATTTCATTTTTATAAAGAGGTCACCGTACAGTAGGTACATCCAATTACTATTAAATTCAACAGTGAATTTTAAAAAAAATTGAAGTTTTTGCAATTTTCTTATTGGCCCAAAATACTAAATCAGGTGATAAACGTGTTCTCGTTTTCAATTTTCAAATTTTTTTTGAAAAATAAAAAACATATTCATATTATATTACGCGTTTTTTATCTTTTTTTTAAAAAAAAAACAGAACCAGTTATTACTCAGGTGGTTGATAAAAAACAAAAATGTTATTTTAAATAGTAAATAAAGTTTTTTTGTATAAATTTTATTAAATTGAAAATAAAATCATAATTTTAATTTACCAGTTTAATTTTTTTTAAAAAAATAATTTTTATAAATAATTTTACAAATTTGTTTGACGAATATGTATGTGAAAATTTTGTTCACTTTACTCCTCGTGGTGTGCATCGCCGGTAAAAATTTGATTTTTGATTTATCTTGTTTTGTTTTAAAATTAATGGAAAAATTATTTAAAATGAAACGATTATACAATTCCAAATTTTATTTTTCTCATCAAGAAAAGTTATGAACAAAATAAGGATTTTTAAAAAACGATAAAATGTGATAACGACTTAAATTTTAACCAAAATAATATTATCATATCTAATACTGTGCACCAAATTGAACGTTTCGGCGCGCGGCGTTTCAAAACGCGAATAAATAAAGCGTAAACGCAGCTATGTTTTAAAATTGAACCGTTAATTTTATAAATTTAAAGCAAAATAAATATTTTTTAAAAAAATGCTGTCCGATTTAAACGTACGCGTTTAAAATGCATTATTAGCGTTTTGGAAAAAAAGAGAAAAAAAACGCTCTGTTTGAAGCGTTAAATTTGTCCGCACTAAAGGCCTTACGATTTGACGAATAGAGGTTCAAATCTTTCTACGCCATCTAATTGAACAAAATCTCCCGCCTTGCATAATATTTTTATTTAGAAAAAATTCTTTTAGGAGCTTTTTTGAACAAATTTCTTATTAATCTTTCATTTCTCAAAAGGAAGAGTTAAAAAAAACAAAAAATTTCAGAAATTCTTGAATATTTTTTTTCTTCTTTGGTTCCTAGACATAAATTAAGATTTTGGATAACCTTTTTTCGGTTCGGTCTTTGTTGACCTTAAATATAAAATGAAGGCTAGGAATAGAAATTGAATTTTAATCGGGCAAGTCTCGAATGGAAAATAATTTTTTGAATAATTTTCTAATCTTGTATTTAAATTAATATTCCTAATAAAAAAAAAAATAAATATATCAGATGCTGATATTCCGAGTGCTGAAGAAATAAGAGAGATTCTTAAGACTCACAATGACTTTAGAGCTAATGTCCAGCCACCAGCCCGTGACATGTTCGAATTGGTAAATAATTAATCCAGATTAGCCCAAATAAATGTTTTTTAATGTATAGAGCGATTTTTAATCACATAAATGTCTTTTCATTTTTAAACATTTGGTGTTCATTTTTTGGAAACTAATTAGATGAGAGGAGAACACTGTGATTAGAGATATTGAAAAAATCTTTCTTACTTACTTTCTTTCTTTCTTTCTTTCTTTCTTTCTATCTTTCTTTCTTTCTTTCTTTCTTTCATTCTTTCTTTCTTTCTACTAAAAAAAGTATATGTAATCATATATAATTCACTCGGTAGAGATGGAATAATGAAGGAGCCGCGAAAGCAGACAGGATGACTAGACGTTGTATTACCAACCATGATTCGGCAGAAGATAGAAAAATCTCTAGTTTAATAAAAAAATTTAAAAAAAAATAAAGTATTCATAAAAAATATATCTCATTCTTTTATTTTAAAGAATATGAAAATGCTGGCCAAAATATAGCGTGGGATTCGGAAAATTTGAATTGGAAAGTTCCCATTGGAAGATGGTACAATGAAACCAAGGACTTTACTTATGGAGGAAACAATGAAGGAAGAAATATTTTACATTATACACAAGTAAAAGGAATATATATAGAATATGTTAAACTAACAAAAATTTTTAGAAATGGGTTTATTTTGTTTTTATAGGTTTATTTAATATGTGTGTTCGTTCATCTCTCTTAAAAGCGCACAATAAGCTTAATATTTAATACATCATTTCGTTGATTATTTAACACCTTTCCTTCTATCTATATACGTTTACATCTTTCCAACAATGGCTATTTACAACTTTTATTTTGAAACATTTTTCATAATTATAAAAAAAAAATTAGTTATTAAATAAATATTAATTATATATCTTTATAAAACTGGAATTCAACTTTAAAATAAAACCTTCTTTTTTAATAATATTTTATCTCGCCTGTAAAAGTTTCAAAGAATGGTAGATTTAAGATTTTTACAATGAGACATAATATTTTACTACTATATGGAAAATTTTTATGTAATATCATAACTGGATTTCCAAAATTTTTTCATAGTTTTTTTTTTATAGAATAGCGCTATCAGAACAATTTTAGTAAAATGTATTTTTTTGTACTAAGTTTAGATAGAACAATACACTTCTCAAATTATCTAATTTTTAAAAATTTTCAAAATCTGAGCCACTTTAAATTGAAAATATAGTAGATGACAATAGATTAAAATTAAAGATAAAATAGCTAGATAATCATATCGTAATTCCGGAACGTGCTACACTCGACATTCCATAAGATTTATGAGTTAGGGAGTGGATTTTAATTGATTAATTTTCCAGTAAATATATAAATAAAACTGGATTTATAAATATTTAATTTTTGAAGACCGTTAAAGCATTGTCAATTTTGGGCTATTATCTACGATATTAATTATCATATTTTATAAATCAAATCACCCATTGTGCACTTTTTCTTAAAACGATTGAGCTTTATATTATATAGTTTGATAATTAATAGTAGGAACTTGGTCTATTTTTATTTTAAATTAATAAATTCTAACAAATTACAATTAAAATGAAGCATTTGGGACAGAAAAAAGGTAATTTTTTTTAAAGTGTTTATTTTGCTTTTCGCTTATATTTAAAAATTTTATTAAATAAAATCCTCAAAAGGATAATTTTTGATTAAATTATTATTAGGCTCTGAGTTGCAAAGTATTATGAATTACAATCACCTCTCAATTTTTACTGATATTCATCTATATGTTTTTCTTACGATTCAATCCAAATTTAATCATTTTCCCCAATTACAACAATATTAACACTTATTATTCTAAACCGACGATTGAAACTTAGTTATCAGGTGTGTAAAGAGAATTTATATATAGCGCTTTTAGTTATTTAATATCATTTTTTTCGAGTTTTCTTTGATGAAATTAGGGTCCTCTTTTCTTAGTATACAATAAATACACGGAAAGGAAGACATTATATATATATAGAGTCGCTATGTCTCTGAAAAAGGACATTAAGAACAATCGCGAATTCCTTACATCAATTATAATAGAAATTTTTTTTTTGTCTAACTGAAACAAAATATTTTTAAGAGTTTATATAATTTTTTTTTGAAAATAAAAAACTTAGTTAGTGTGGGCTGCCACTAAGGAAATTGGATGTGCCAAGACCTCATGTCCCGGGATCTTCTTATATACTTGCAATTATTACCCAAAGTTAAATATTTAGAATTCTAAGATTTTTTGTAATATAGAATCAATCAGGGGAGCTGACTGGAAAGCCAAAGTCACCGTGAGATGCGTTTACCAAGGGCCCCTAACTTAAGGGGGCAAAGCACCCCAATAATATTTTTACAAATTTTAAATAAGAAAGTAAATCTGAAAAAATATATATATATATTTTTTTTTTCGTGGATAAATTCATGTTTGTGTTCCAGCCATAAAAAAAAAGAAGGTTATAACTGAGAAACAAAATTTTTTCTATACTGTATATAAAAAGTCTAAAGGAATAAGCTGCAGTCCGAATCATCGGTTTTTAAAACCTGATTAAACAAAATTGTGGATATCAAATTCACAAAGTTTAAAGTCTATTTTAAAAAATATGAGGGAATTTGGGAAAAATGATTGGCACAAAAAGGGACAGCATAGTTAAAGAGTGAATTTGTTAAACCTATTGTGAGATGAATAAGATGTTTAATTTTATATTTTATATAGAAGGCGTTAAAGAATTGAATGCAAATTTTTACTTATATTATTAAAAGTTTCAAATATTAACTGTAATATATTCTATAACTGTCAAATATGTCTGTAAATATGGCATTTTACCTAATATTTTATAATTAATTCTATATAATAGAGGTTTATCAACTATTCTATTTACTTTTTATAAAGAAATTTCTTATACTTGTTTAGGTCTTAAAAATATTTTCATGAAGAGACATGCTAATTAAATTTAAAAATGAATAATATAGTTAATTAGTGATTTTTAACTCTGTTAATTACAATACTAGAACCACTGATAATGATATACTAGCCTTATCTGTAAGTCAATTTATTTATAAGTAACATCGACTAAATTATACCGATGCATTTTTAAACAAATTATAGTTTAATTTTTTTCCATAGTATTTAATCTATTTACCCATTCTGATTACTATATTTGTATACATATGCACCTTAAATTGATTAAAAAACATTATATACAAATATATTCTACAGGGGTAATTCGGATATTAGTCTGCCCTATCTCAGATCAGATAGACAAGCATGCGATGGCTGCTTAAAAGGTGGCGTGTGTTCAACGGGCGAATATAGTGGAAAATTGTTAAAAGAATGCGGTAAAAAAAAAGATTGTATACCATTTTTTATGTTACGAATAACATAAAATCCAAAAAATTTATTTAATTTTAAAAAATTTAACTAATTCAAATTTGTTAAAACGAATAATTTATTATTTTTTTAAAATAAATATAGATGAATTTTGCGTCAACTTCTATAACAATTGCGAGGATTTAGCTGCTAGTCCAGGTTATTGTACGGGTAATAGTAAGGATAAATGTACCAGATCCTGCAAATGCAAAAATGGAGTTCCAAGTTAATTTTCATTGATAAAAAAATAAAATATATATTTATAGAAAAGAAATATTACAAATAGGTGTTATACGATATATATATATAAAAAAATATATAAAATATAAAGGTCATAATCAAACCAATGATAAGGGTAATAACGATAATAGTAATAATGATAATAATTACGATGATAATAATAATAATGATAATTATGATAATAATAATAATGATAATGATAATAATGATAATAATGATAATAATGATAATAATGATAATAATGATAAAAATGATAATAATTATAATAATGATAATAATTATAATAATGATAATAATTATAATAATGATAATAATTATAATAATTATAATAATAATAAACAATGCTCTGATGCATGGGAAAAGATTCATTGCGATCGGGTTGTTAGAGATGGTTTATGTCGTGGTGGTAATTATCACGCGGAATATTGCAAAAAATCTTGTAATCAATGCTGATTAGAGAACTCCACGAATCTTTTATACTATTAATAAAGATTTTGCTTTCCATTAATTTAAATAATGTATAAGGGGTCAAAGGGGATATTGCTTAATATAATTAATATATAAATCTTAATAGTAGTAATCTCCTAATATTATATATTTAGTCATTGAAATATAAAACGGTTTTTTTTCGGGGAATATTTATAAAATACAAATTTGTATTCACTTATAAAAAATTTCAAATTTTTATAAAAATTGACTCAAAATTTATTTGCTTGGGGTTAATGTTTTATATTTATTGAGTAACAATAAACGCTTCTTACCTTGTTAGATTTAAATAGTCCTAATTTTAATAGGGATCCCGTTAGTAATATGGATCCCTAAGAAATTTAAACCATCTGTTGTTAGATTTAATTTTAAAATATGATTGTTAACCTATTTCATATAGATATACTTTATTATTAAATCTTAGTAATAATTTAAGTTGAAATCTTGATAAAGTATCAAGAAAAGAAATTAAAACTCAAATATATAACTATTTTTTTTACGAGAAGAGATTGTGGCATCCGCTAATGACTCCCTAACTGAGCTATCTCATGTTACGGATATGGAATTCCGCTAAAAAAAAACACTTCAACACAACCATCACCCCAATTAGAGATTTGTTAGGACCCGATCTATTTTTTAAAGATAAATTCGGGTCGGGCCGACAAATAATTTTTACTTCGGGTAGGGACAAGTCAGAGCTATTTATTTTATATAAAAAACATTTTTTTACAGCGGACCGGGCTTAAAAAATTAGGCTCGCAAATCACCATCCTAATATCCCCTCAACCTCACTCCATTGCCTCTCAATTAACGTTGAAAGAAGTGTAGGCTATCCATTCCTTTCTTCGTAATTTCCACACATGGTCCTGATGGTACTTTTCCTATATTCTTACATCACTCCCTCCTAATTATGCTCATAATTTCTCATTCTTGTTAAAAATAACTAGCCTTTGCAATAAACATTTTAAAAGTTAAAGTAACCAGCTTCTTTTCTCCGATCTTTTTTGGTATTAGGCTAATTGTCGTTCAGAAGTTCAATGATCATATTCATATTGCTAAAACTATATCTTCGAGCATAAAACATGAAGTATCATGTCTTTTCAACCATCTCCAACTTGCTGTTTGGAATCTCTGGTGGCTGGAAAGCTGTTATATATCTTATTTAAATACACTTAGAGAATGTTTCATATCCAAAATATAATTTATTTTATAGTAATAATAAGCAAATAATAATATAATTATTTTTCTCTGAAAAAAAAATGTTAAACAAAATAAAAAAAAGGAAGAAAATGTAAAATAAAACAAAAACAAAAATTTATGAGTAATATTTTTTATTCATTAGCCAAGGCATGGGAGGTAGAAAAGAAATAATATATAGATGATACGTGATATTAAACACACTAGCCATAAATGTCATATATATACCTGAGATGATATTAAGCTCACTAGCCCTAAAGGTCATACTTATATATACCTGAGATGATATTAAGTGCACTAGCCCTAAACGTCATATATTATATATCAGAGATGATATTAAGCTCACTAGTCCTAAACGTCATATATAATAGTCATAAAATATTTTTACATGATAGGAGGTTAATTTTAATTAAAAAAAACAAGCTTGGAACAAATATGAAATATATTTTTATTAGTATATAAAATATAAAAAATTTGTATATACATTAATATAAAAGCATTGTAATAATGTATTCCAAACAAGTATAAGAAATTTATTTATAAAAAGTAAGTAGACATATAGTTGATATTCCTCTATTATATAGAATTAGTTATAAATATTAGATAAAATTCCACATTTACAGACATATTTACCAGCTAGAGAATATATTACCATTAATAAACAAATTTTACTAATCAATGCTCTTGATAATAAATATAGCAGCAATTTGCATTCAATTATTTAACGCCATCTATTTATTTTAAATACAAATTGTAATTAAAAATTAATCCTCACGATATGTCTTTAAAAAATATTTTCTGATGTCCTTATCAATATTTTATAGTTTTCTGTAAAATATATAATTCGCTATATTGGTAAAAATAAATTGATTGTCATATGATAATTGATAAAATTAGATATACTGTAAATCTACGACATATAATATTACACTGTTTGTATTGTGCTTTAAAATTTTTATTTAATTAATGAATTAATTTTATCAATAGTTTATAATTATATTTTACTTTTATTTAAAAAAATAAATTAAAATTAATCACTTTATAAAAAATTATATTTGATATATTTTATTATTTAATAATTTTATGGATCTATTATTAATAATTATAATACATTTCACTTTTGTCTTAAGACTTATCTTTGGCTAATATTCCATATTTTAAAAAACATTTTTGGTTCACTCATAGGCATAATGGGGGTGGGGGCAAGGGGAAATCCCCCCGCCTTCAGAAATTTATCACTTTTTATTAATATCATTTTAAGCTAATAAAAAAATAACCCCCTTAGTCCTCCCCCCCCCTCCCTGACCCCCAAAAATGTAAGCATATATCTTTAACAATAATTTGAAAGAAAGAATGTAAAGTTGGTATTTTTTTATGAAACTATTCATCATAATTTATACATTTTTGGAAAAAAGCATTTATATATAAAAAAAGTGAACCAAAAATGTTTTTTAAGAAATGGAATATAAGCCAAAGATAAGTCTTAAGACAAAAGTGAAATGATATAAATAATAATAATATATCCATAAAATTACTAAATAATATAATGTATCAAAGATAATTTTTTATAAAGTGAGTTATTTTAATTTATTTATCTTATTAAAAGTAAATTATAATTATAAAACTATTGATAAAATTAAATCATAAATTTAATAAAAAAATTAAGGCACATTACAAACATTAAAATATTATATGTCGGAGATTTACAGTATATCTAATTTTTTCAATTATCATATAACAATCAAGTAATTTTTACCAATATAGCGAATTAAATATTTTACACTTGAGAAAATATCTCTTAAAGACATTGTAGGATGAATAATATAAAGATTAATTTTTAATATCAATGTTTATTTATATAGATGGCGTTAAATAATTGAATGCAAATTGTTGATATATTTATTATCAAGAGCATTGATTAGTAAAATTTGTTAAATTATTAACTGTAATATATCCTCTATGTCAAATATGTCTTTAAAAGTGGAAATTAGACTAGTATTTTGTAACCAATTCTATATAATAAAGGAATATCAACTATATGTCTACTTACTTTCTATAAATAAATTTCTTATGTTTGCAATAAATAACTACCATGCTTTTATATTAATGTATATATAAGTAATTTATTATATTTTATATAAACTAATAAAAACATATTTCATATTTGTTCCAGGCTTAATTAAAATAACCTCCTCTCTTGTAAAAATATTTTATGACTATATTTAGACTAAGGTAGGGTCTAGGGGCGAGGCCCCAATTTTATTCCCCCCCCCCCTTAGGAAAATCCTGGCTACGCCTATGGGTTCACTTTTTATATATAAAAATGCATTTTTCCAAAAATGTATAAATCATGATGTATAGTTTTATTAAAATATATCTACTTTCTTTCTTTCTTTCAAATTATTATTTAAGATATATGCATACATTTTTGGGGGTCAGGGAGTGGGGGGGGCTAAGGGGGATATTTTTTATTAGCTTAAAATGATATTCACAAAAAGTGTTAAATTTCTGAGGGGGGTGGGGAATTTCCCCTTGCCCCCCTCCCTGGCTACGCTAATGTATATACCTGGGATGATAGTAAGTGCTCTAGCCCTAAACGTCATATATATACCAGAGATGATATTAAGTGCACTAGCCCTAAACGTCATATATATACCAGAGATGATATTAAGGGCACTAGGCTAAACGTCATATATATATAGCAGAGATGATATCAAGCGCACCAACCAGTGGCGTAGCTAGGAATTTTTCTTAGAGGGGGTCCATACTTATAAAATCGCATGAATAGTATGTTATTATTATGATAGTAGATTATTCTCAATGACTTTAATAATACTACCCAGAATAATTTCAATAGTAATATAATATCCTTCCACAAACATCAAAACCAAATGGTATTTATTTGATATAAAGTCACTTTTAAGTCTTTTGAACGTATAATCTATAAAAAAATTTGCTCTGGGAGGGGTCCAAACCCGAAAACCACCCCCGTAGCTACGCCACTGGCACCAACCCTAAACGTCATATATTATATATCAGAGATGATATTAAGTGCACTAGCCCTAAAAGGCATATATATACCAAAGATGATATTAAGCGCAATAGCCCTAAACGTCATATAGTATAAACCAGAGATTATATTAAGTGCACTAGCCCTAAACATATATTAGTTGAACATGGATAATTATCTTATTATAATGGTTATTATATAGCGTAAATTTTTGTATGTTACATTCATTTAATTAACACCATTTATATTAACTTAACTTAATAGTTTCATTTAATTGTTTAATAGATTTTTTGTATATATAAAGAATAAATTTATTATAGTTTTGTAGTCAAAATATTTATAAAAATAAATTTATTAAATAAAGTTTTACTTTCTTAATTTTGTTCTTATCCCTGCCAACCTTAACATATACCAGAGATGATATTAAGCTCACTAGCCCTAAACGTCATATATATACCATAGATATATATATACAACAGCGCAACGCTTGGTTCTCTCATGAAAAGTATCAAAGTAGGATATAAAATGAGAAATAATTAACCCATTAATGGTCAAGATTTTTCTAGTGGACAAAAATGCTCAATTTTTTCAAATTATATTGATTTAATGCTCAAATCTGATATTCTAAATAAACCAACCGAAAAAAATAATCCTAAATAGAGAATCTAGCCTGGTGCGTATCTGCACCGTTAACCATTAAGAGGTTAAGAGGACCATCCACGTTTATTAAACAGGCCGCAGTTGTCGTGCGAGCTAGAGGCAAAGCCCTTTACTTAAATGCCCATGGAAAATAGGAGAAGAGGTACCCCTGCCCGATTAAATAAAAAATTATGCATGGGGGCAGGATATATTGGCTATTTTAATTTTACTATTAATTCGTATATTAAAAACTTAAAAATAAACATGATTTAAGTAAAAATAAATACCAGTAAAAATTAGTGTTGTTAAAACGGCTCGTTTTGAGCCGATTTTTAAAAACCGCCAACTCAATATTTTAGCCAGAAAAATATACCCTAAGACCTCGAGGTTTGGATAGATAATCATGGTCTTGACCTTTGTTCCTTCTATGAACAAAATCCTCAAGCTTGGATAATATTCTTCTGAATGGAATATCGAGTTAGCCGGTTTTGAAAATTAGCTCAAAGCCAGCCGTTTAACAACATCAGTACAGATACAGTGTTCTATCACTTAGTTCTTCCATAAAAAAAAATTGCACCGGAATGAACCGCAGCCATCAAGATGATAAAGTTAAATCCCCCTAAAAAAAAAAATATTTCAAATTAACAAAAATTTAAAATTTAAAAAGAAATAATGCGAAATAATAAATATATATGTCGTATTTGGGATATGGAATCGTGTGGGATTCGGAATCCCAACATGGGGATTCAAGATCTTGTCCCCACGTTTTATTCGAAATTTAAAAATATGTTTATAAAAATCCGAATTATTGCAACAATTATTCAATATTTAAAATTCGCCTGGGCTTTTAATTTAATAATAAATCTATATATTAATACCCGGTCAGGGGTTCGAACCAAACCGAACCGCAAAACCGGAATAAATCGGTATGATATTCTGAACCGTAACCTTAACCGAACCGTTATGAAGAAAATATTAAAAGAGCAAACCGAACCGTTATAAATATTTTGAACCGGTTTAAACCGGTCCAAAACGGTTTTAAAAATAATTAATTTTAAATTATTAACCTGCATTTAAAATTTTAATTTTCCTTGGGGGCATTTTTTAAATCGGTGATTTCTTTTTTCAAATTAAATATTTCTATATTGTCAACATTATATATCGAATTAAATATTTTTATATTATCACAACATTATATATCAAATAATACCAGGTTTGTTGTTTTTTCTTTAAATACGTAATTTATAAGAGATCAGACAATTTATCTGTTAATTAGATAAGATATCTTAAAATCAGACATAATTATTCTTGGCTAAATTAACAAATTTATATATAAGATATTATAATAAGCTTTTAGAATAATACCTGCTAATAATTAGGAAAAAAATTATATAATTCTATTATTACTAAATAACATCTAATAGAAATCAAGTACCTTTTACATTCATTTTTTATATTATATGGTTTATTTTCACGGTTAAATATCTCGGAAGGATGTAACTTTTAGGAAAATATTTTCAAAATAAAAGCAATATTTTACGCATTCCGATTCGTAAAATTAAACTATTTCGATTGATAATTTTTGTGTATTTGACCAAAAAAAGTTAGATTTCCTTTTATACAGCTTTAATGCCCCACAAGGAGAATTTCCGTTATTAAAATTTAATAAATATTTCTCCGTTAGTTGGCGTTAGATGCTATAAAGAAAAATTTACATGTAAATTTTATATAACGTTTTAGAAAAAAAATTAGTAATTTGGTAAAAGCGATATCTATAGACTTTTTTTTCACTATGCCAAATTTGACATAGATATTATATATTGAAATTAACTTATCTAAAAGATAATAAACTACGAATATTGTAAGGTGATAGATCTCTGAATGGGTATGCAGATATACCTTTTTATTTCTAAGAATCTTTTCTGCCTGAGATAATAGTTCCCCTTAGGGTCATTAGAGATACTAGTCAGTTGTTTTTTTTTCCTGAAGTTCTTAGGAAAAGTGATGCGTCATGACCATATTTACCCAATGTAGGAGTGCAATTTTTTAAGGAAAATGTCAAAATAAAAGGCTTTAATGGATAAAAACCACTGGTATTTTGAGTAATATAATGACAAAATAGATGTATAAATTTAGATTATAGAATATTTCAAACCTACAATATTTATTTCGTATAGGATACCTTGTTTGAATTGGGCTAATTGAAGTTGAATCTTGAAAGAGTAATATATTAGGTATATATCAAAAGATACAACTATTTAGAAGTTCCTTGAGATTAAGGTCATAATGCGGCCCATCCTATCATTAAGAAAAAGAGAACTAGGAAAAGTGTTAAGGAATATGTCGGATTTCCAGGTAGACGCGAGCGGAGGGAGGGGCGATAAATTCGAGCCCCGTTTAACAGGACTACTAAGAACTAATACCTCCAATATTTATCCCAAAAAAAAATTCTTATAGCTGCATAAGAATAATATAGGTAAAATTCTTAGATGGAATTTAACGAGCTTTATTGGTTCCACTTTGGGAACTTCCCTTATAAGAGTTTATCATCTCCTATTAATATATTTATAAAAAGGGAAGGAAATAAAAAATTAAAATCAATAATCAAATATCCCAATCAATTTTTTACATTAGCTCATCATAGTGAAATTATGAGTTCTTATAAACGAGGTCACCGTAATATAATAGCTCAGGTGGTAAAAGAGTTCCTATTTCATTTTATAAAAGTTATTCAACCGTACAGTAAGTACATCCAATCAAATTACTATTAAATTTCAACGATTAAAAAAAAATTAAAAATTGAAATATTGCGCTCAATTTTCTCATTGGTCCAAATCATGTATGTATATCACGTGGTAAACGTGTTCTCGTCTTCATTTTCAAATTTTTTCGAAAATAAAGGAGAGAAATAACGCTATAAAATAAAAGCATCTTTCGTATTATATTACACCGTTCAGGTGGTTGATATAAAAAGAAAAGTTTTTTTTCCCATTGCTTGCTCAGATGGTTTATGACGTTCTAGTTTTAACCTATAATTTCTTTGGTTCTAATATTTGTTTTTTACGATTTCTAGTAATAAATTTTAAATTTATAATTTTTATTTTAATTTTTTAAATAATAAAATATTTTTCTTAAAAATTTATTTTTTAAACCGCTATATAAAGTTTGTAATAAAATTTGAAAATTAAAATAAATTCAAAAATAAATTTTTTTTAATTATAATTCTTTTGACGATTATGTATGTGCCAATTTTGTTCACTTTACTCCTCATGGTGTGTATGACGCGTAATATTTTGATTTATATATATTTTTTTTAAATTTAATGAGAAAAATTATTTAAAATGAAACCATTTTAATAATTTCAAATTTTATTTTTTCCCCAAGAATATTTGTCATCGAGAAAAATTACCGACAAGGAAGGGATTTAAAATGCTTTTATTTCGTGGTTCTATTTTTAAAACATGACCCGATTAAGATTTTTTTGACCAAAATAATATTATCTCTAATCAATGCTTCACGTGAACGTTTCAAAACCGCGCTTCATAAACGTAAACGCGGCTATGTTTTTGCGTTTTGAAAAAAAAACGCCGCGTTTGAAACGTTCAATTTGTGCTGTTCAGTACAAGCCTTACGATTTGACAAATAGAGGTTCGAATCTTTCTGTGCCATCTAATGAACAAATTCCCTCAGCTTTCATTATATTTTATTTTTTAAAAAATAAAATCTTTTTAAGGGACATTTTAATAAGTTTTTTATTAAAAATTAAATTCTTTTTATTATTATTTTTTAAATTACTACTCAAAAATAGATTTAAAAAAAAAAAAATTTAAAAGTTCTTGAATTTTCCTTCCTCTTTGGTTCTAAGCATAAATGAAGATTTTGGATCCTTCAACTAATTACTAACAAAAAAAAAATGTTATAACATAAGGCTTAAGAATAAGAAATTGAATTTCAATCGGCAACGTCTAGATTGAAATTTCTAATCCCGTTTTAAATTAAATGATATTTCTAATGAAAAAAATAAATAAATTATATAAGATGCGGATATTCCGAGTGCTGAAGAAATAAGAGAGATTCTTAAGACTCACAATGACTTTAGGGCTAATGTCAAGCCACCAGCACGTGATATGTTCGAATTGGTAAATCAAAAAAAATTTTTATATAGAGCGTTTTTATTAACATAGTGCCTTCCACTTTTTTTTCAAACACGTGGTGTTTATTTTTCAGAGACTAATTTGACGAGAGGAGCACACTGTGATTAGAAATCACTATTAAAAAAAATCTTTCATTCTCTTTCTTTCTTTCTTTCTTTCTTTCTTTCTTTCTTTCTTTCTTTCTTTCTTTCTTTCTTTCTACTAAAGAATAAAGTATATGTAACTAATCATACATAATATTATTCACACCGATATTAGAGATGGAATAATGAGGGAGCAGCCAAGGCAGACAGGATGACTAGACGTTGTAGTACATACCATGACTCGGATCAAGATAGAAAAATCCCTAGTATAAATATTACTATTATTTTTTAAAATATGTTATTATTCTGCGAATCGATTTAATATATAATGATAACACGCTAAGGTTGTTAATGTTTGCAATTTGCAAAAATGTTAACTCAAATATTTTAATTCTCTTCTTGGCATTTTATAGACCCAAAATCAATTCATTTTTTTCCTGGAAAAAAAAAATTTTATTTTAAAAGAATATGATACAGCGGGCCAAAATTTAGCTTGGAATTCGGATAATGTGGCTTGGAAAGATCCCATTGAAAGATGGTACAATGAAACCAAGGACTTTTCTTATGGAGGAAACAATGCAGGAAGAAATGTTTTACATTTTACACAAGTAAAAAAAACAACTTAATTAATGGTCATTTCGTTACTTCTTAATTCTTAAGCGACATAAAGATATTCTTAGTCAGCAATTTACAGAAATAATATTCTTCCTTAATTTTTTAGAAATTCATTAAATTAATCAGGTTAATGATATGTGTTCGTTCATCTATTAAAAGATCATAATAAGCTTTAAATATTTAATACATAATTTCGTTGATTATTTAAAATCTTTCATTCTTATCTATATTTTGATAGTAAAAATAATGTTTATAATATCTTTCCAACAGTGGCTATTTACAATTTTTTATAAAAATTAATGTTGGAATTAACTTTAAAATAAAATCTCCTTTTTTTTAAATATTCACAACTGTAAAAGTTTTAAAGAATGGTAAATTTAAGGATTTTACAATTGAGACACATTATAATTTCTATACCGAAAATTTTATAAAATATTATAAATAGGTTACCAAATAGGTTTTTTTTTATAGCTTACTAAGGTAATAGCACAATCAGAAGATTCTCTTAAAATGTAATTGTTACTAAATTTAGATAGAACTATACAATTCTCTGCGCTCCACTCGACTTTTTTTTTTAAGATTTATGAGTTAGTAGATGATTTTGATCGTATAATTTCTCAATAAATATTTAAATAAATACTAGATTTTAAAATATGTCAATTTTTAGGGACATTAGAGCATTGTCAATTTTGGGCTATTATCTGTGATATTAATTATCATATTTTATAAATGGAATCACCCATAGTGCACTTTAGCTTAAATTTTATGAAAGGAATTAACGTTCATTGAAAAAAATTTCTCAATCCAAAATATTTGCCGTCATTTTTTTTTTGTTTAGCTAAGTAATTTATGAATAAATTAGAATTAAGTAAAGATTGAGGTTTATATAATGTATAGCATAGACCTAAGCCCTGATAGGGTTCTGTGGGTCTCTGTTATATAGTTCGATAATTGCTAGTAATTAAATTTTAGTTTAGTTTTCTCTAAACAAATTAAAATTGAAATGAAAGCATTTTGAACAAAAGAATGATTTTCAAAGTGCTTATTTTGCTTCTCACTTATTTGAATTTTATTAAATAAAATCTTCACAAGAAATTTTTGAATAAATTTCTTTTAAGGCTCTCAGCTGTAAAGTATTATGAATTTACAATCATCTCTCAATTATTTTTCACTTATATTGATCTAGAAATTTTTATGTCATATTTGAATCCCCAACTAAAATCTTTTTTTCCAATTACAGCAATATTAGCACTTCCTGTTCTATAGGAGACGGACGATATCGATCAGGTGAACGCTTTTAGTCATTTAGTACCATATTTCGAGGTATCTTTGGTGACTTTTAAAAACATCTGGTCTTTTCTTAGTAAACCAATAAATGGACGGAAAGGAAGACATTTTGTTTATATAAAATAATGTGGCTATGTCTCTGACAAAAAAAATCGACATTTAAAAGATAGAAAAAAAAGAAAAATGCGAAAATCATTTACATTGCATTAAACGGAAACAAAATATTTGTAAGAATTTATATTATTTTATTTTTGGAAATATAAACTTAGATAGTGTGGGCTGCCACTAAAGAAATTGGATGCGCTAAGACTAAATGTCCCGGAAAATACATTTACACTTGCAATTATTACCCGAAGTTAGCTATTTAGAATTCTAAGATTTTTTTGAAATATAGAATCAGTCAGGGGATCTGACTGGAAAGCCAAGGTGGCGCAGTGAGATGGGTTTATCAGGGGTCCCAAAAAACTTAAGCAGCAAAGCCTCCCAAAATATTTCAACATATTTTAAATTATAAAGAAAGTCTAACTACGATGGTATAGTATATTTATACTTATTATAGTAACTTGTATTAGTTTGGTATTGAATAAGTAGGAAAATAAAAGGTATACACAATTTAATTGTCACAAATGTAAAATGAGTTTTCTAGAGAAAATAAATATGTTTATGAATTAATAGCTAATAACTTTGTAATGTATAAGGTTATCATAACTAGCCATTAACAATTTCAGTCATTTAAAAATACAATTAACCTTTATAAAAATGTTAATAAAAAATACTGGGCCTTTTAATATATTTTTGGGGGGCTTTAAAAAGAGCCCAACACTACAAGATATTTTGATAAAAGTGGTATGCCCACCACTACAAGCTTAATAACTTCGAAGTGGTATCTTTATGGCCACAAAACTTGCATTTTTAAAGGTCTTCACTGGAGTTTCTTTACTAAAAAATGGCCAGTCGGCCATTGAAACCACTGATATTATTATACTAGCATTATCTGTAGGGCAATTTATTTACTGAAAATGCCTATAAAGGTGTTTACGTCTTTTTGTGGTCTCACATCGACAAAATTGCACAGATACTTTTTTTAAACAATTTTTTCCATAGTATTTGAATCTATTTGTTGATTCTGATTACCACATTGCTTTTACAACCTTAAATTGATTAAAAACATTGTACCTCTCTAATAATATAATCTTCAGGGGTAATTCGGATATTGGTCTGCCCTATCTCAGATCAGATAGACAAGCATGCGATGGTTGCTTAAAAGGTGGCGTGTGTTCAACGGGCGAATATCGCGGAAAATTGTTAAAAGAATGCGGTAAAAAAAAATAAAGATAGTATACCATTTATTATGTTAACAATTTTTTAAAAAATTTACTAGTCATTAAAACGTATAATTATAGATGAATTTTGCGTCAACTTCTATAACAATTGCGAGTATTTAGCTGCTAGTCCAGGTTATTGTATGGGTAGTAGTAAGGATAAATGTACCAGATCCTGCAAATGCAAAAACGGAGTTCCAAGTTCATATAAAATATATATTTATAAAAAAAATAAAAATAAACTAATAATTATTATACGATTATACAAATAATAAATAAATATAAAGGTCATAATCAGCCCAATAATAATGATAATAATGATAATGATAATAATGATAATGATAATAATGATAATAATAATAATAATGATAATTATGATAATAATAATAATGATAATAATAATAATGATAATAATAATAATGATAATAATAATAATGATAATAATAATAATGATAATAATAATAATGATAATAATAATAATGATAATAATAATAATGATAATAATAATAATGATAATAATAATAATAGACAATGCACTGATGCATGGGAAAAGATTCATTGCGATCGGGTTGTTAGAGAAGGTTTATGTCGTGGTGGTAATTATCACGGGGAATTTTGCAAAAAATCTTGTAATCAATGCTGATTAGAGAACTCCACGAATCTTTTACACTATTAATAAAGATTTTGCATTCCATTAATTTAAATAATGTATAAGGGGTCAAAAGGGAATATTGCTTAATAAAATTTATATATAAATCAATAATTTAATAGTAGTAATCTTTATATATTATATGTTTAGTCATTGGGATATAAAACGGGTTTTTTTTCGGGGAATATTTATAAAATACAAATTTGTAATCACTTACAAAAATGTCCAATTTTTTATAAAATTGACTCAAAATTTTTTTGCTTGAGGGTAGATGTTTTATATTTATTGAGTAACAATAAACGCTTCTTACCTTGTTAGATTTAAATACTCCTAATTTTAATAGGGATCCCGCTAGTAATATTGGATCCTTAAGAGATTTAAACCATCTGTTGTTAAATTTAATTTAAAATATAATTGTTAATCTGTATCATATAGATATACTTTATTATTAAATCTTAGTGATGATTTAAGTCGAATTCTTGATATAGTATTAAGAAAAGAAATTAAAACTCGATATACAAATATTTTTCTACGTGAAGAGATTGGCATTCACTAATGACTCCCTAGCTGAGCCATCCCATGATACGAATATTGAACTCCGCCAAAAAAACACTACAACCCAACCATTACTTCAATTAGAGATTCGCCAGGGCCGGGCTATATTTTTAAAAATAAATTCGGTTTCGGGGCTGGTGGGCCTAATATTTTTAAAAAATACCGGGCCGGTTCGGGTCGGGCTTGAATTTTTTTTACGATATCATTACATTTTGTCCAAGGCGCTAATATTTTTTTTTATTTTGTAAGAGTAAAATAATTATATATTTATATAAATTCGGGCCGGGTCGGGCCGGGCGGATAAATAATTTTTACTTCAGGTCGGGTTTTTCGGGGCAAATAAATTAAATTTGTTCGGGATCGGGCCGAACAATCTTATTTGAAAAAAATTTTGGACTGGACCGGGCTTGAAAAACTAGGCTCGATCAGATCACCAAGCCCAATATCCCCTCAACCTCACTCCATTGCCTCTCAGTTAACGTTGAAAGAAGTGTAGGCTATCCATTCCTTTCTTCGTAATTTCCACCCATGGTCTTGATGGTTACCTTTCCTATATTCTTTCAAGACATCACTCCCTCCTAATTATGCTCACAGTTTCTCATCCTTGCTAAAAATAACTCGCCTTTGCAATAAACATTTTAAAAGTTGAGGTACCCAGCTTCGTTACTCCAATCTTTTTTTGGTATTAGTCTAATGGTTCTTCAGAAGTTCACGGATCATATTCAGCTCATTGAATAAGATTCTACCTTTCGAAGCTTAGTTGCTCTTCGAGAATAAAACATAAAGTATCATGTCTTTTCAGCCATCTCCACCACCTATAATTGCACACTTCTCTGCTAAATGGAATCTGTATTTAGTATCTTGAAAGCTATTCCCCGGTTAATTTACAATTACAACTAAACCAAAATGAACTTACTCACGCCATTGGCATTTGTATAAACTGCTTAATAACCCAACCTTACACTTAATCTTATTGCAAGTTTTACTGTTGAGATAAATACAAGACATAGTCCTCATCGTTGTTTTTGTAAAAGTCAAATTGTTAGATATAATTTAAATTCGATCATGAGCTTTGAGATCATCTCAGATTCCATTAATTCTGGAACCTCTAGGTCTTTTAAAATAATGGGAAATGTTCAGATGGGGTCAAATTCCTTAGAAGAGAAGTCAACTTCTGGTCTGGGTTATTCGTGGATTAATTCAATGACGTCCTTTAATCAAACTCCAAACATCCTTAAGAAAAAGGAACAATTAATAGCAAAATATTCAGAGATTTTACAAGAAACATATGGTAGGCACTTTTAGGGGGGGGGGGAGGGTAGTAGGATAAATTTATTGGGGGATTATCTACTAAATTTTTAGATAAAATATAACAATATATATTGCTGTAAAAATTAATACTTTTATTATATATATCTATTATAATACAATGTTATTGTCGACCAAATACATAATGTTGCAAATAATCATAGACATCATTTTCCAAATAAAACTAAGGGTTAGACATTCTCATCAAATTCAAATTTATGGTCAAACAATATGCTATAATAATCCATTCTTTGTAAATGAAGAGGGGGTTTTTAATTGAATTCATGATTTAAAAAGGAATTCTTTTATGTTCACAATATTTTGATAGTTGGTAGTAAAATAATTTTAAGTTCTTCTTTTTTAAATTTATGAAAGGAGTACCCAGGTGTAATTAATAATGCGAAAATTTTTTAGAAGGGTAGGCATAGGTTTTTGAGAGGGATTTGCATCCTTGTAGAAATCCTGTCATGTAGACGCTGTCATGGACGATTAGTGAAGACTTCTTTTTGAGACAGACTAGCCAATGCAATTCACAAGGTCATTTAGATTAGCTTCATGTGTAGCACCTCATTTTTACAAGATGATTATTTTTAATATTAATATTTGTTTTGAAAATTATATATATATTATTTTTTTCTACTATAAATTCAATTTTAAATATTTTAATATTCTCTATATTTTCCTTTTTCAATTTATTTGATGATTTATGTCTAGTTTTAACAATATTATTTACCATTATTATTGAAACAAAAATTAGAATGTTATATAATTCTTTACAAATATATTATAAAAATTTTGCAATGATTAGCTATAAACCTATGAACAAATTAAAATATAATGATTCAAATGTTGTTATGTATTTTTACAAACATCGAATGTCAATCAAGTAATGTTTAAATGTAGATTCGTAGAGATTATATATTTAGTTTTATATAATATCTTTTAACAATATTATATGTTATACATTGTTGAACATGGGTTATTATTTTATTATAATGGTTATTATATAGCGCAAATTTTTGCATGTTACATTCATTTAATTAACATCATTTATATTAACTTAGCTTAATTTTTTCATATAATTGTTTAATAGATTTTTTGTATATATAAAGGATAAATTTATTATAGTTTGAAGTTAAAAATTTAGTTAAATTGTAGTTAAAATATTTGATATAAATAAAAATTTTTAGTTCTATCTCTCCTTACTCCCTGCCAACCTTGACATACATGTCTAACATCGGTAAAATGTCAATCATTTGAATTTGTGAGAAAGCAACACAAGACTTTCAAGATTTATTTGTCATGATTTTGATTTTTCTTTAATAATACAATAAAATATTTGTTATTGATTAATTTGTTAAAGGTGCGCGTGTATCTCTGGATCTGTCAATCATCGTCAAATATAATTTGATGACATAGCTATCGGTATCGAGCTGATTTTAAAAATATCATAAGCGGAATTGATTTGATCATTTTAGGGCACTAGCTGTATGTTGCAAACATATTGTCTTGGTCAAATTAAAAGAAGTTAGATTAAAAAAAAATTTTTTCATAATTATTAATTAAATTTAATTTTAAAAAAAATAAAAAAATACTAACTATATCTGAAAGAACGAAATAAAATTATAATAAATATATATAAACACTCATAATTGGAAAAAAATGGAAGGTGAGGAACGTTAGAATATATTTTTTTTTCTAATTAATAAAAAGAATTATGTATTAAAAAGTGTTAATTTTTAATACTTTGTCCGACTCTGAGATAACGAATAAAAAGGAGAGAATTTTATATAATTAATGGCCCTACTTTTAAACAGCTGATTTTGAGCTGATTTTTATGAAACGGATAACTCAGTATTTCACCCAGAAAAAATATTACGCGAGCCCTTAAGATCTTGTTCATAGGTGGCACTCAAAAGGTTGAACATATATATCAACCAAATCTTGAAGTTTAGATAATATTTTTATGGCTAAAATTTTTCAAACGAGCCGTTTAACAACACTAGGAAAGTTAAATAAATTTTTTTCTTTCACCAAGGCAGGGGGAGGTAGAAAAGAAATATTATATAGGTGATACGTTATATTAAGCACACTAGCCCTAAACGTCACATATGTACCAGAGATATATATACAAATGGGGAACGCTTGGTTCTCTCAATAAAACTCCATCAAACTGGGATCCCACTTTTTTTTGGGCAGGCCGTAGTTACCTGTGCGAGCTAGAGGCAAAGCCCCTTACTTAAACGCGCACGGGAAATAAGAGAAGAGGAAAAAAGCCAGTGCCCGATTTGTGCATTTGACCGGTCAAATACAATTCGGTCAATTGACCGATATTTGACCGGTCAAATATGGTCAAATATGGTCAAATTCAAATAAATGTTTTTTACACCAATATTAACTTAATTTTGCATTTATATAATATTATAATAAATCTATGTATAATAATAAATATCATAATATTTTTTAATTCATTCTATAGTCAATGTTTCACCCTCCGTGGAAGAGTCTTGTTCCGATTCATATTCAATATCATTATTTTCTTTAATATTTTTAATCAATCTTAAATTATGAAACACTCTTACTAATTTTCCTGCTGTAGAAGCCTTTAATCTATTTCTGTTTTTCGTGTGAATATTGCCCCAAACCGACCAATTTCTTTCAGAAGAAGAAGTCGAACTAGGAAATGTTAGTAAAATATTAGCGACTTCTCTTAATGGGCAAGGTGGGCAAAATGCATTCCACCAACTTGAGGCCGAAATTTGATTGTTTCTTATGGAAGTTACAACTTTCCACATATTATGGCTATTAAATATACCGCTTTTGCTTCTGAAATTTACTATATTACTCAAAATATTTTGATTATCACCACCTTGTAAAATACCCAATTCTTGTATTATATTACATGCTTCATCAAATTCAGTATTAGTAAGATGCTCCCCTTGATATTGGTCCAATAAATAAGCAGCATTGTGAGCACATGTATTTAGATCAGTTTTTCTCTTTTCAAACATAACCTTAATTATTTTTTCTTGAGATGGAGAAAATATAGAATCATGGCATGATTGTATTATGTGTTTTTCCAAATTAAGCATCTCGTTTTTTACTTGGGCCAAAGTACATTTATCCCCTTGCACTTTCAACAATGAGGTAGCTAAAGGTTGGAGTATAGCTAAAAATTTTAAATTTTTCGTCAAAAATTCTTCGTTTAATATATTATTGGTAATTTCTATGGGACAAATATCACAAACAGCTTCTTCAACAACTAATGCTTTTAGAGCTTTCTTGCATATTTGAATTTGCTCCATACATTTTATTGACGATGCCCATCTTGTTTGGCTAATTGTACTTAATGTAGATGGTATGCCATGAAGATTCTTATTACGGGAAAATACTGCAGCTGGTATGTGTTTATTCTTGAAAAATTTAACAATTTTTTTAATTATTGAAATATGGTCAGTGAAGGCGTTCAATCGTTCAAAATCGTGAAAGAATAACTGCAATGTATGCGCTGCACAACCATAATATTGTATATGATTATAAATAGATTCAAATTTTAGAATTCTCCAGGCTGCTTTCATGTTAGCGGCATTATCAGTAACTAAAGAATAAACTTTTACCGGATTCAATTCATGAATTACATTTTTAAATTCCTGGGCAATATAATCTGCCGTATGGCGATTTTCATCAGTATTTAGAAATTTGTAGAACACTGGAACAGGCGTCATCACCATAAAATTAATAATACTCTCGTTTCTAATGTTGCTCCAGCCATCTGATACAATTGATAAGTAAGGAGCTTTATCTATTATATCTGCAACTCTCACCTCCATATCACCTGACGCTTTGTCTAGAAGATATCCAGCCAGCTGCCTTCTCCTGGGTAATGTGTAAATAGGACGTATTTTTTTAAAAAATTCTTGGATGTAGGGATTTTCAGTGATGTGGAAAGGTAAATTGCTCGCATATACAGCCTTTGCAAACAATTGATCCAGCTCATTTTTTTCTTTGGGATTAATTCTATCTATGAAACCGGTTATACAAGATTGAGATTTATATTTAATCGCCTTGCTTGTAGATTGATTAGAAATAATGGAATCAAATTCTCCTGAGTCACAAGATATTGTTCATTTGATAATCATTCTCACTAATTTCACCCAATTCTTCATTAGAGTTAGACTTAGAAGTATTACAAATTACATTTGTGATATTTTTTGTAGAGGTTGATATTTTGGAATTTGAATAAAATTTTTCCTTAATTATAACAGGGCACATAGTACAGCTGCTTAATAAATGTTTGACCATTCTATCAACGTGGGTGATATAGGACATCTTGCAAAACTTGCACACCGCTTTAACTGATTTACCATCGCGTACTTCTTGAAAATGTTTCCAAACATGATGCTTTGGTTTGGCCATAATCCCTAATATATTAAAATTTAACAAAAAATGATTTTGATTATTGTAAAGTTAATCAATCCTAACTATTTTATAATTATCGACCAATTTTTCCAATAATTTCTTAATATTATAAATATAATATAATATAATATATATAACTTTTTACCAGAATTGAATAATATTCCGTAAATCTGACCAGAACAATTAAAATGAAAATTAATTTTAAAAACCAAATATAGCAAGTGTAAGTAAAACAAATGAGAATTAATATAATTTATACTCGGCTAAATATTAAATAAAATTTAAATTTATTAAAAAATAAGAATGAAAAAATTATATTATGATTATAATAAATCGGGCATTTTTATTTTTTTTAAGAAAAATGAATTGAAAAAAATAAAGAAGGCGAGAAACGGCAATGATTAGGCAAAAAAATAACTAAAAATATTACTATATTTAGAAAAATTACAAACAATAAAAAAATTCTTTTGTTTTTAACAATTCATGATACAAATAATTTTTTAAATAATTGTAACCTAATAAGATTGATAAACATGCTTTTAATGCATACTAGTTAATTATATCAAAATATTTATTCGCCATTAATATTTTAGAGTATTTGGCCGGTCAATTGACCGACATGCCAACCCTGGTTATATTAGCTATGTTAATTAAAACCTAAAAATAAACATGATTTAAATATAAATACCTGTAAAAATTAGTGTTGTCAAACGGCTCAACTCAATATTTTAGCCAGAAAAAGATTCCCAAAGACCTCAAGATTTGGACAGACAATGTATGTCTTGACCTTTGTTCCTTCTATGATGAACGAAATCTACAAGCTTGCGTACTATTTTTCTGGATGAAATATTGAGTTAGCCGTTTTTGGAAATAGGCTCAAAAACAGTAGTACAGATACAGTGTACTTATTCAACTTGGTTCTTCTATAAAGTTTCCTGGACCGGATATGAACAGCAGTAACCATCAAGATGATCAAGTTAAGACTTTTTCCTCTAAAAAAAATTATATTCAAAATTATCACAATTAAAAGTGTGAAAGAATGAATGCGAAATAATTTATAAATAAATTATCAAAAATCATCTGGGCTTTTTAATTTAATATTTTATGAGTTATTTAATATCCACGCTAAAATATAACTTTTAAGAAATATTTTCGAAATAAAAGCATATTTCGCGCGTTTAGGATGATTGACACTTAACCGATTCGTAAATTAAACGATTTCGATCGATAGTATTTGACCAAAAGGTAGATTTATTTTAAACAACTTAAATGCCCCAAAAGAGAATTTTCGTCATTAAAATTTAATAAATATATCTCCGTTAGTTGGCGTTATATGCTCTAAAAAAATGGTAATCGGCAAGAGCGTCGCTTGCCAACCGATCCGATGGTCGTGGGTTCGAATCCCAGCGATGGTCATGTTTTTTTTTCTTAATCGAACTTGGTGCTTCCGTACTTGGGGGGGGGGGGTGATGGAGGCCGGATTCGACCACGTGATTTCGTTATAATATCTTATTAAATTTTAATAAATTTTGGTCATTATTTAGCAAATTTGGTTGGCATTTAGAAAATTGCTATACGTTGACTTGGTAGTAAGCATCATTAAACTAAAAAAAAATTTACATTTATATTTTAAATAACGTTTCCGAAAAAAATTAATGATTGGCAAAAGCGATTTTTAATAGACGTTTAAATTAAATAATCATACAAAATTTTTTATAATTATTTTTTCATTAAAAATTAGACATAAGGATATTTATACATTAAAATTAACAGGGTAAAAATTTGTATTAAAAAAATTAATTTCATCTAAAAAACATTTAGATGCAAAAATTATACAATTTAGAAGAAGAAACGAACTAATATAATAAGATCTGTGGATGGGTATGCAGTTATATCTGCCTATTTCTAGGAATCTTTTCTGTCTGAGATAATAGTTACCCTTAGAGTCATCATAGATAGTAGTGAGTTTTTTTTCCTGAAGTTCTTAGGAAAAGTGATGAGTCATTACCATATTAACCTAATGTAGGAGTGCAATTTTTTAACGAAAATGTCAAAAAAAAGAAGCTTTAATGGATAAAAACCACTGGTATTTTGAGTAATATAATGAGCAGAATAGATGTATGAATTTAGATTTTAGAATATTTCAATCTTACAATATTTATTTCGACCTTGTTTGAATTGGGCTAATTGAAGTTGAATGCTTGAAAGAGCAATATATTCGGTATATATCAAAAGATACAACTATTTAGAAGTACCTAAATAAGGTCGTAATGTCGCCCATCCATCCTATCAAGATGAAAAAGGGAAATAGGAAAAGTTCTAAGGTATATGTCGGATTTCCAAGTACGCACGCAACGGGAGGGGTGATTCGAACATTTTTAACAGCACTCTTTAGAACTTAATACCTCTGAAAATAGATTGAACGGGGTTAGACCTTCTTTGTATACATAGGCAGGTTGGCACCCAAGCATTAAAGAATTCATTGTAAGATGAGCTCAAATTCCCAAAGAAATTCCAGATTATAAACTTTCCCCAGTATACGCTGATTATATGTGTTAGTGTCGATGTGTTATTTTTTCAGCATTAAATCATTATTTTGAGCCCATATTTTTAAAAAAAAATTATAAAATCCGATCCCACCGGAAATGTAATTCCAGCAATGCTTCAGAATACCTACTATCTCATGAATTGTAGACAATCGTTGCCGTTCCAACCTTTGAGTCTTTTATATAATTTATATATTTTAAAAAATATCTATGGGAAAACTAAATATAAATTATATTAAGTTAGTGGCAAAAATTGTTCGGAAATTCATAGGGGGTCAGGGGAGGCACTAGCCATTACAATCTCTGGGGGGGGGGGGGCTGGCTAAGCTAACATTATCCTTGCGCACATTTTCATGAAGGATATTTAAAAAAAAATCACAAAATAACTGAAATTTATTTTTAAAACCCTTTAAAATTAATTTCGATTCATTGTTTTAAATTTTAATTTATTTGTTTCCGGCATGTGATTTTTTCTTCTTAAGCATTCTATTCCTTACATTAGACCCTTAAATTCCTCGTTAAATAGTAAATCAGGATTCAAAGCTAAATCTGGAACAAACGAACCCCAAAATTTTTTTTGAAGAGTTTTCTTAACTGTTAACTTATAAATTTTTATAATAACTTCTGAAATTGGGGGGTTGAAAATGAGTTTCAAGCATTCATGCTAAAAAAAAAAATCATGATATTACAGATATTTGGAAAAATGTAAATTATCTGCATGAGATTTAGGATTCTCTGTATATTCTTCACATTTTCGACTTTGGGTATGTAATGTTAGTTAGTTAATTTGTATGTTTAAATTGCAATATAAAAATTGGAATAAATGAATCGGATAAAAATAATGAAGCCAAAACTGGAAATATTGGTATTGAAATTGTCACGTGAGATTAATTGTTTGTGGACATCCCTTTTATGTCATATTTCCGGAAAAATTAATCCATCAAATATAGTTTTTTTTCCCCATGATTTTAGAGAAAATTTTATTTTAAAGATACTTAATTTCTGTATAGAAAAAAAAAAGGAACACATTTCCAATAGGGGAAATTGAATACTCCCAAAACTTATCTTTAAGGTAGAGATACAAGGAATCCACATCAAAGGTACATGGTTCCTGTAATAAGAAAATATTCACATTAAAGGGTAAATATAGAGTCAAGTGATCCAAGTTTCATGAAGTGTCAATAATAAGACACAAAGGATTCAAAATGTAAATCATCGAAATGATTTATGTTCATGATAAAAAATTGACACTAAATTCAAATCTTACATTTTTTTATTCATTCATTTCAATTATATAATGGAAACAAATTTAGCATTGATCTTTGGGCTTAATCATATGCAGAAAATACTTGTAGGAAGAGAGTTTTCATCGTGTATATGGACCATTATTAATAAATTTATTTATAATTTAACGTGATGTGAGATGGCAAATTCTATTTTGACGGTTTTAATGGGAGAATTTTTAAAAAGCCTACAAATTATAAAGTTAAAAGAAAACAAGAGTTACATTTTTACATTACAAAAATGTAACGGTTACAAAAGCTCGTCGTTACACATGAAAAATTTTATCCAGGGTAAAATAGCATTTATTTAATTAAAAATAAGGATGGGTGTAAGAGTCTAGAAAATAATTATAAACTGTCAAGTTTTCCGAAATTATATTAAATTATATATTCACAAATTAAAAAAACTTGTATATATTTTAAGCATTAAAATTATTAAAAACCTTTTACAAGTGCTTAATAAATAATGTATACATAATAAATAAATCTAGGAAGTATTTAATTAGAATGTATATCGAATTCCCTGATTCGTAGTTTACACATGTTTTATATATCTACTAAATCATAAAATAAAAATCGCGTTTTCCAGTCTTGTAGGATAAGTCGAGCGAATATTCTGAACTATTTCGTAGCGATAAATGAAGGCGTGACGCCTACAGGGTTCTAATTGGTTTAAAATATATATATGAAAAATTAGTTTAGTTCTTTTAATCCATAAAAATGATATATTTTTTTTTTATATAGATATAGATTAAATGACAAGTTTTGTTAGAAGGGCTCGGCTAACTCAGCATTTAATCCAGAAAAAAAAATACTATAACGCAGGCCTGAAGATTTTGCTCAGAGAATGGTTACCAAAGTCTAGACATCTCATTACCAAAAATCTGGAGGCTTAAGCAAATTTTTTCTTTTCTAGCTTGTATATAGAGTTAGCCGTTTTTTTCAAAAGGCGGCTCAGAAACTAGACCTTTAACAACGCTATAAATGACCCTTAGTATTACCAACTTCTCTAAATGAGTGGGGGAAGTCTGACTCTATAAAACTTATTAACAAACACTTCCATAATTTATTAGGGCTATACTGTCCTTTTTTTTTGCTAAAATAAGGCTTATATAAAGTGAATTTATTTTATCCCCCTTATGAATGATTTAATAATGAAAATCAATATTGTCGAAATATATTAATGATAAATATATTAATACTTGATTTATTCTATCCATGTCTGGTCCGATATTCTGATATGATATAGGAAATAATTTTTAGAAATGCTTTATCGCTCTTAATATATATATATATACATACATATATATAAAATAAAAATTTTACCGTTCCTATCCTTGTGCCATATTGGCTGAAAAAGGTGACATTGCAGGTGTTTATTTTTCCACTGTTTTCGTCAAATGTGTGACAGGATTCGAAAGGTGGGCAATATAAATGTAAGGTTACCGTTGTGGACGTGCTGTCCTGATTGGACATCCTATGGACACCGATAGTATCTTTAAAAATTGAATGAACTTGTACTATTTTTATTTAACGAATCAATTTTTTTTTAAAAAAAAAAAGATTTTTGCGCTGAAAGTTCTCCTAGAAATAATGACAATTCTCATAATTGTATACGAGTAAAGGCAATGTCTATAATCAGACGCGGTACATTTAAGAATGATTGAATTCATGTTCAAATTGCTCTGAAAATTATGGGGGTACTTTTGCACATGCTAGAAATATATTTCTGGAAAAGGAGATAGTGGAAACAAATATCAGCACGGTTTTCTATTCTAGAATGTTCTCATATCCATCACTTTTTTTATAACTACGAGCCCAAAATTTGTCCAATATTTAAGAAATATTGACCATAATAAATCGAGGGTAAATGAAATAGAGAGGAAGAAGTGACTTAAATTTTAAACGTTGTTTTTATATATTTATTTATATATGGCAAAAAAAAATTAGTATCTATTTTTTAGGAAAAATACATTGGGGACGTTTTATCCTTTTTTGTGGGGCATGTTTGAGCCTCCCATTTTCTATACATTTGATTCGTTAAAAAATAATACAACAAATCTAGTAACAATGTCACTGTTGTTAATCCTATAGAAAATATTGTAAATTTGTCGTCAAAATTTTATTTATCTTGTTTTCTTAAATAACTCCCAATCATTTTGTAAGTATAATTTAGTGAATGTATGAAAGATGAGATCCGCCGACTTAATACCTCCACCAGGTCCTCAGGATTATTTAAGAAATTAATTATAGCATATCAAATTATCATAATCGATGTCTAAAAACATTTAAAATTTAAGTCTGGTCAACTTTTATATAAAAAAAATGTAAATTTCTAAAAAGTTTATTTTTGGTATGTCTAAATTTAGATTTTGCATTTATAATTTTTCGTAACCTACTTACTCACCATATTAAAATACATATTTGGCCTATATTTCGAATCTCAAGGATTATTAGTTTTTTAAATTATTTCGAGAAGAAATTTTCCTGTGCCCGTGGATAACACGAACCCCGGTCTCCCCTCACCAGGCACCACTCCCGCCCGCCATTTTAGATATTAGAACTCCTTTTCTAGGATATTTTAACGAATATAAGTTTGTGCTTTCCTAGTGTCCTAATTATTTAAAAATGATAACGAAATGAGCAAAATATAAACTAACCATTGATGTAAGAAACTTGATTTTTAACGTATACGTTGTGTCCGGTTTGGTACATCTTGGCTTCGTCGAAATCGTTTACCACGTGGTACAATTCTTCGCTCAAGCGTCCCTGCAGCACCTTAGGAATCAAAAATAATAGTTGAATTATCAAGAACTTCTACTCAACATTTAACTAGTTGTGTTGTTAAACGGATCGATTTGAGCCGATTTTTAAAAACCGTCAACTCGATATTTTAGCCGGAAAAATGTTGTCTAAGCCTCGAGGTTTCGTTAACAGATGTCCAATCCTTTGTTCCCTTCTACAAACAAAATCTTCAGGCTTGCCTTATATCATTCCAAATGAAATATTGAGTTAGCGGTTTTTGAATATCCCGGGTTTGAAAAAAAATATTCCGGAGATCGGACCGGATTTCTATTCCTTGATCAATTTTTGGGCGCGGCCTCTAGATCTTGTCATTTCGAAATAATTTTTAGCTTATTTTTGCCGAATGGTTTTCAAAGGGGTAATTTAAAATATGAAGCAATAAAATGAATATTAAATTCCGTTCCATTATACTGATTTTCCAATATTTTTCCAACCGATTTAAATGAACGTAATTATAGTTTTTTGGAATCCGACCCGGCCCCCGATTATTTAAATTCGTACCATTACTCGGCCCGTTCTAGGCCGGGCTTGCGGATGATTGATCAACCTACATAAAGCCGTTATATCTTCCTACTAAAATTTTGAAGTCGAGTTTCTCCATTAAGTATAGGAGGCTGTCAAATACTCAGGGCAAACGTCAATATAACGTATCATTCTAATAATCGCTTACTTACCGTTACCGAACATCCTACAAGCGAAAAGTTGAATACTCTTCTTAACCCCCTCAACAAGAATATTTAGGTTCACGACAATTTTTTTTTACCTTATTAGACCTCAATTTTGATGTGATAACAAGTGATCTACATCGGGCCTAATTCTCCAAGCCCGACCCGGCCCGGCAGAAATTTTTTTATAAAGTTTTACTCGGCCCGGCCCGAACCCGAAGTTATTGATTTTTTTAAATTTTGCCGGTCCGGCCTGGCCCGAGTTTGTTTAAAATAAACGATATCCGTTATTTTTGGCGTCTACTTTCTATAAAGAAAATCACATATCTTTATTTTACATAAAAAAAATTCAACACAAAATTGATTAGTTTAAGATATATTTTAAAAAAATATTCTAAGGCCCCACCCGACCCAGACCGAAGTCCGTTTTGGCCAGGCCTTCTTTCGCAGATCTTTAATGAAAACCTGATTTAAAAAAAATGTAGCGCGCTAAAGCTATATCGTTACTTTAACAGCACTGTATTTTAGGCTTTTTAAAAAAAAAATATGCTAATTTTAGGGCTCGATCTATGAAAATATTTGGCGCTAATTCCCCTGTTCGGTCTTTCGGTCCGCGCCGACTTTTAATTTATACAATATGACAGAAATAAGAAAATATTTTTTATTTTTTGGTGGTTTTCGAAAAAAAATAAAATTTCAAAATGCGTACAAATTATTTTTGAGCGAACGTTATACCATCATTTACAACTAAACAAGTTTGGTTATAAAAACTCTGAAGCCGATTCTTAAAAACGGCTAAACTCATTTTATTCAGCATATAGGGGTTGGTGACAAAACACATTGTCCCCAATTCCAATAACCAAGGTAAGCAAGGTGGAAAAGTGCTTCAAAATGATATAGGGGTATATCATATGAGAGGTGTATCACCCCTCACCGTAATAATAAGAGGGGTGACATAATATATATACCTGTCTCATAGATGGCACAAAGGTTTGGACATCTATCACGCAAATTTCGAAGCTATTATACTTAGCCGTTTTCAAAAAAATTGGCTCAAATTGAGCAGTTCAACAACACTAAGCCAAACCATGCCGATATATAAATATTATATCAAAATAGATATTAAATTTTAAAAATATTTTATCTCAATTTTAAAATCAAATTAAAATGCTTACAAAACAACTTATAAAAAATTTTTTAAAAAAATACACATATTTCACTCTAAGCAATAAAATTCGGCTTTTTTTTTACAAAAACCAAGCCAGAGAATTTTTATATACACGCCAAAATATTCAAATAGAAATTTTTTGGACATAATTATGGTTCCCATGGAACTCAATTAGAAAATTGTATTTTTTTTACAATCTTATATTTGAAAATATACCAAATTAAATATTATAATTGTTTATGTTGAAAATATTAAGATTACGTGATTGGTAAGTATGCCAATTGATAATTTGTTTTTTAAAAACAAAATTTTTTATAGCATAAAATTAGTTAATTAAGAGTTGTTAAAAGATACCTTTTAAATGGATCTAGATACAGATACCAGGTTTTTATATCTAGAGGATCTTGATACATACAGGATCTAGATACTTGTATCAAGATCCTTCAACAACTCTGTAATAATTATACTTAATTTTGAATTTATTAAAAAAATACATATAAAAATACATATAGGATAGGTAATTTCATTTCCTTTTTATAACATTAAACCATGGAAAATGAATGCACAAATTGATTGATTCAAATGTATTTTTTAAAGTTAAATTGTATTATGAACATGATTAGCTTTAGGGAGCTGTATTGATTATTCCACATTTAGTCATTTAAATATTTGATTTGAGTCAAAATCATTTATTTTATACCACAAAACAATGCCTCCATCTTAAGTAGTGTTGTTAAAGGGCTAACTCAATTATGCAAGCTTGAAGATTTTGTTTGCAGAAGGAAAAAAAAAGTTTAAACATTATATTACCGAAATCTCGCGGCTTAGGCACTATTTTTTCTGGCTAAAATATTGAGTTTAGAGTCGGCGCCAGACAAATTGCTTAAAATGTTTCTATAGAAGGCCTGAAAAGTTTAGGATCTAGGCACTTCTAAGTCTCTTTCCTTTATAAGAAAAAAAATAATATATATATTAGGGGGTGGTTGGGGGGGGGGGCAAAACAAAGGTGAATCGATCAAAAGTTTCCACGCATGCGCCGATCTTTAAACTCAAATAAAAAAAATATTTTACCTTAACAAAGCAATGAGAATTTGAATGGTCATGGATACTGCTAGACATGTTTGGTCCCCAGCATAAAAGCATTAAATTGTATTTGCCATTGCCTTTGTCGATCAAATTTCGCGTGTATCTAATTTATAAAAATTTAATGAGAAATGAAATTCGTATCCCCTTATTGGCTCTTTTGTTTGTGAGTCGTCATAGTATTTTGTCTGCGCTTCTGCGCGAATCTAAAAGTAGTGACGTCACTATCACTAGGAGGGGTGGGGCTATTTGGAGCTCGAGGGTAGTCAAAATTTTAAGATAACGCCCTCTATTTGTTTACAAATTATTTAGAGTTCGAGCACTCCATCGAGTCCCGACATCCCGAAAAGTCTATCCTCCTCTTCCTTTCTTCCTCACTTCCTTCCGTCCATTTCCTCTAAAATTAATTTCTATTTTTAAAGGAATACTTTCAAGGGCTTATATTTTTACGAACTTTGTCCTAATTTTTTGGTTTTATTTTATTTTTGAAAATGTGTGTTTACTAGACTAAACTATACATTCCTGCCAATATTTATAATAATTTTTATTTTTGGCGAGGAATAAAAAGTTTAAAAAAAATAATAAGACAGTTGAAAAGTTGAAGTCAGCAAATATTTACAAATATTTTTTTTTTTTACCTTTTTTCATATGTGCTTTAGTAAAATTGGCATAAAAACGTGTTTTTTAAGTATATATATAAATGTTCGTCAAAAAAGAAAATGTCAACATGAAGCTGTTTCGATTCTTGGCAAAGGGAATATAATTTGGAAAAAGACATCTATCATGCAAAGTCCACTTATTTAAATAATCAAATCTTGTGGTAGCTTTTTGAATAAATCAATCATTTTCGTGATGGGTGACCAATTCAGTTATGACAGAAATTAACCCCCCACACAACCCCCCAAAAAATGGTAGCGGCTTCAAATTTTAATGGCCTCAAGGAAAACCGAAAAAAAAAGAAATTAAACTGGTTGTCTTAAGGCCGGCTCAAGTTTTGCCTGAATTTTTAAGCTTTGATCAACTGCTCAAAATATTTCCAATCAATTTTCTTCCAAAAAAATTTTTAATTGGCATTGTTAATGATTTTACGATTAAAAAGTGGTGAATGTAATTACATTTATCATCATAACATAAGGGGAAAAAAAACGAATTTCGAAGAAATCACATGCTCATGATAAGGTAATTTACAATAATAATAAAAAAAAATTCACTTTTAATTACTTGGTCAATTAATTTATTTAAAAAAAATTAAAATGTTCAACCTCTCATTCACATTAGGACTATAAAGAAGAGAAGACAGATAAATCATCCATTTTAATTTTCTAGTTTGAATATTGTAATTAGGGGATTAAGGAACCATGAAGATCTCCACTAAGCATACCATTGCGAATATTTCATCGTGTCCATATGGAGTTTATATAATATGATATAGATTATGATTTAAACCTGTAAGGATCGAAGTAGGCGTAAGGTCCCCATTCATTCTCGTTGGATTCGTAATTCTCCATGACTTTCTTCAGGACATCAATGTCAATCGTGTCCCGTTCGAATAATTTTCGGATATCGGCCTGCATTTCGCTCCAGCTGCTAGGACCGGTTAATGTCGAAATAGTCATTCTCGAAATTCTCTCCGATACGAATCTTGTTTTTTTTTAAATATATTATATTTTTATTATCGCGGATTTTTATCGCTCGTTAGCTCGCTGAGGAAGACGAGAATTCCAGTGAACCGGAAAAAAGTTTGACAATTAATTTTTTTTTTTTTTTGAAAAATTTTATATTTATAAATTTATGTGGTATATTGACAATGACAGGGGGGAAAAAATAATAAATTTTAATATTAATAATAAATAAATAATTTAAAATAATTTAAAATAATTTTATTTTTTTTGTGTTTAAACTTGATTTTTTACTTACGTTTAGCCTAGCCTAGGCTAGCGTATTTATCTATTATTTTTTTATAATTTATTTTGTTTATATTTATATCTTGAAAATTTAATGATATATAGTATATATTTTTTTTAAATATTATTTAAATATATATATATATGTTACAACACTTAATTTATTTTATTTTTTTATATAAAAGTTTGATTATTATACGATCAATCAGTTTTTAATAATTGAAATTATAACTGCTTTCTTATATAGCTCAATGAAAATTAGCGAAGATATTTTTGAGGATTTGAATGCTTATTAGATAACATTTAATTTTATAAAATTTTTAGCCACAAAATTCGTATTCAAACTAAGTTTTGGAAGGATAAAAACTGGGTATTTTAAAACTGATCCTACCTAGAAATCATCAGAATCCTAAAAAATCTTCATTTCCAGAGACCCCCGAAGCAAGGCTTTTGTTCCATAGAACCTTTGAAAATCAAAAAATGTTTTGGTCCATTTTTTGTTCTCCCATTACTTTCCAGATTTCCCCCAGAAATTTCTGAAATCACCTGGAACACATTCTGGATAATTCTCAAATGCCCCCCCCCCTCTATCTAAAATATGAGCATTTTTGTTCTTCGTTCCATCTCTCTATACCAATTTCCGGTTTAGTCTTGGTTTTGTTATTCTTAGACCCCGACTCAAATAAAAATATTATAACTGAAAATGGAAAGCACGAGAAGACAAATATAAGTTTAAATGATCCTTTATGCTATAAATCAGGCCCCGATATCTTTTTTTTAAAAAAAATCATGTTATATCACGTGCCAAACTTTCGTAACAGTCATGTGATTGATAAGTGGATTTTTTATTTTTCTCAAGATTCGTAGGGTCACCTTCCCATTGGCCAATTTTTAATACATTCACTTTTTATCATAAATATATAGCACTAGTTTTACCCTAAAACATTCGCACCGAAGTAGATCGCAGTCACGTGTTTAAATTTATATTTATCAAGTCATACTTAAATTCCTTATACAAACTATATATTTAAAAAAATCATAATTCTTTCTTTTCTTTTTTCTTTCTTTCTTTCTTTTATATAAAAAAGACGTGATTTCAACTTTCCCATTTATTTTTGAAATAATAAGTTTTATGTTTTATTTTATTACTTCATGACCAAAGATATAGTAGAATAAGCTAGCCTCATCCCGTTCTGAAAAGGTCTTCTTTAGACTCCTTAATGACTCTTTAAAATTTTGTCACTTTTCTTCACAACGAATATGATATCAAAAAATAAATAAGTCTTTTTTAAAAAAAAAATCATCATAATTATCAATTTTTCTAAAATCGCGTTTAGAAAACGCAACCAAGTTTAATCGCGTAATCGTAATCACTTACGCGTTTTTTTTGCTACTTTTGGGTGACGCGTGTTCTATAACATCATTATCATCTCAGCGTTCTTATTTAGCTTATTAGATATTATTATCTCTTTATTCGTCACATTTTTTTTTAATTTTTTTGAAATTCTTTAAAATTTTATATATTTTTTATCTCTCTTTATAAAATAAAAATATCTTTTTTTTTAACCTTGAATTATTTTTTTATTTTTATTTCTTTTTTAAATTTATTTTATTTTTGAAACAATTTATTTTTTAAGGTTAATTAGCAATTTTAAATTCCAAGAAACACTTACAATATTTGGATGCCACTAAAAAAAAATCACACCCTCAAAAAAATTGTATCACGTGAGATATTAATTTGTCATTCGATTCGAATCAGGTGATTTTCTACGTGATAAGAGCTTTTAATAAAATATTTATACGAAAAACCTGCGACAAAGAACATTTATTTAATAAATTCGAATATTTTATGATTTATAAATGGGAGAAAGAACCATAGGAAATATTAATTTTATATAAAGATAATAAATAAACAACAAAAATGTTTTTCCCCGAAGATTTATGCTAACCCTTTTGATCTTTGGGGCTGGTTTGGTGGAATTGGCAGGGTGGGGGGGGGGGAGTCAAGGTCATTTTAAAAATTTTAGCGTATTTAGTTCGTATTACGGTTTAGAATCTGAGCTAAGGGGTACTCTGAAGCAACTTATACAAACAGTTACTTTTTCTAAGCTTTTTCGGTCGTGTCCCTGCTTGCAACTTACTTTTGATTAGGCTAAACAGTTTTTTTGAACGATTAGTTTGTTTTGATTCTTTGGTTGTCGTTATTATTTTGCGTTTTTTTCGCTCTTAATTTTTTAGACTTGTTTAACCCGAAGCAATATGGCGCCGGCTCTAAACAGCCAGCTGTTTTGTACTGAGTCGAATCTAGGAGCACATCCTTCAGTCAATTAAACAATTTCGATGTCAATCAAACACAATCTAAAATATACACAATTACGATTTTTTTTTTCAATTTATCGCAAATTAAAAATATTTGAAAAAAAAAAACTTATATTTTTTATTTTTTTAAAAAATCATTTTAAATTTTTTTTACAAAATATTCAATAACAAATTATTTTAATTTATTTTTTTAAAAAATAAAAAATTAGGTATAATAAAATAAAATAATCTATAATAAATTCCAATTTAAGTTTCATCATTTTTTCACAAATTTATCATAGGATCAATAGGTTAAATAAATCAAGGTAACGAATGAACGATTAATTAATGTGACAAAAAAAAAATTTAATTAATTAAAACTTTTTCAAATATCGAAAAAAAGTTTTAAATTAAAATATTACCTTAATTTCTTTTAAATAAAGACCTTTTGTTTCCTTCCTAATGAGCAAAAATCTTCAGGGCTGAGTTGATATTTTTCCGGATGTGAAATCTTGAGTCAGCTGTTTTTTAAGAGCCATTTAACAAAATAAAAACACAGAATATGGTATAAATAGAGAATACTTATAAGAAATAATTAAAATAAATATACAAGTCAAATGTTGTTTACCCGTTAAAGAATAAAAAAGGAATTTGTTTTTATGCTTTTATGTTAAATATACTCAGATCTTAGATGCAATTTTTCTAGACAAGTTTCCAAAGGATTGATCACGTTGAGGAAGAGATTAACCGGGAAAAAAAAGATTAAATGTGACAGGAGAAAGTTCAGATAAAGCTGTTCTATTACTTTCGACAAAATGGAGTGAGGAGGGGGGGGGGGGGGAGGGAATAATTGGTGGAGGAAGAACTCTCGAAGAATTGGGGAGGTACCTGAATGATGGAAAATTTTAGTGGAAATGGTGATGGCATTTTACAGGATAGCGCGGAGAAAGATAATTTGCATGGTTTAGAAGAAAAAAAGTTTCAGACCATTTATAAAAGAATGATAGCAGAACCTGGCTATGATCCTATGAGAATACGGGGAATTTTGGTTTATAAGTGAATCCTAAAAAAATCCTTCAAAAGAAATACTTTTTGGAAAACCTTCCCATTTTCTACGCAACAATTAGATTACATATGACATAATGTAATCTATCTAAAACAAAATCGTATAACATGTTTACGGAGAAAAAGGGGGGAGAATGAGATATAGTAAATTTATGAATATATATTATGCCCCGCCATTTTTCTAATTATTTTATATTAATTTAGTTTAAGGCCTGGTCCACTTTAACGCTACATTTGAAGGCTGTTTAAATGAAGCGTTTGAAATGTAAGAAAAGAAAAGAAAAGAAAAGAAAAGAAAAGAAAAAGAAAAGAAAAGAAAAGAAAAGAAAAGAAAAGAAAAGAAAGAAAGAAAAGAAAGCTTAAAATTATAGAATAATTTTTAAAATGTTTTGTCAATAATGTAGGTATAAATGTCAATAAAAATAAAGGAAGGAAATTTTTAAAACAATGAAAAAGTAATACTGTATTTTAATATTTTTTCAAAGGTGGATTAAAAAATTATTTTTTTTTGTTATATTATAATGACAATTTTATTTTCCTTTTTTTTTTTACAAAACCTGAAGCGAAATTATGGTCAAAAAATGTTTATAAAAAGTTTGATAAACAAGGGTAATAATAATTAAAATTAAGTTTGTAAATTTATGATACTACATAGCTGTAAAACTAGTGTTGTTCAAAAACCGGACGAATCGATTTTAAAACACGGCCCGAACTTTTAAATAAAATCCGGATCGAGTCGTGTCGGGCCTTGGAAATTTTTTTTTTAAATATATTTAAATTTATCAATTTCATATCTAATTTTTTTATGTAAAATCAAAATATTTGATATTATTTATTGAACTTATTATACGCCATATAACACATGCGTCTTTTATTTTGAGTAATTATAAAAATTAATTTATATATTTAAATGAGTTCGGGCCAGGCCGGGCCGTTAAATTTTCTTTAAAAAAAATTTCGAGTTCGGGCCGGGCTGGGCTTGAAAAATAAGACCCGATGCAGAGTAAACCAAAATAACAATATACGAGTCTAAAGATTTTGCCCATAGCTGGCTTAAATGCTTGGACATCTATTTGCCAAATATCGAAGCTTAACCATTATTACAGCTAAGACCCTAACCTAACCGGTTTGAAAAAATTAGCTTGTTAGCTGCTATTTTTAAAGTTTACCCTGCCCTCTTACACGATATTGTGAAATTAGAAATTTTTCAGAAATGTTTTCAGCCATTCTCACAGTCTCGATAAAATCAATGTTTTTAAGGGTATTTAAAATGCTATGTTTTTTTTTTAATTATGGAGAATGATTTATATTATAAACAAAAAAGGTTAAAAATAGGCATTTTTCGTTTTTGTTATTCCGTCAAATACCTACACTTTAAAAGTCGTAAAAAAAAAAATCCCTAACCCTCTTTACTCCATCTAAACAGTCGGCAGAATGGCAAAAATATTCTCTCTTACCAATCCAATTAATTCCCACCCCTCAGCCACATGTTTAACTAGGAGAATAATGTTGGAGACAATATCTAGACCTATTATCTATCAGCGAAGAGCTGGGAATAGGCAGGAAACTTTGATGATGGTGTGATATTGTATAGTAACATCTACCCTTTTTCTTACGCTTCAAAATATGCAGATCGATAGCCAAAGCTAGAACCCCTATTCTCGTTTTTCACGGTTAAGACTCCCCAGGCATTATGGAATGGACTCAGTAATAGAGCCAGATTCCTGAGATCTACAAATACTCCATTCAGACTTCAGCCCTCCGCACTCAGCCCTGATAATCTAACCCCAGGTGTGATGGCATTTGGGTTTACTAAAATTTCGAAAAAATGGGTGGGTTTAGAAGGAATGCTTAGCCCGTATTCTCTCTTTTCCGTCGATGGTTGCAGTATATTATAATTATAGTAAATCTCAATCCTTCTAACAATCATATTTATTATTTATTTTTTAATTTAATGTTTTTTCTTTTCTCATTTTACTTGATAATCTATGTATCGTGACAAATTTTCATATTGTATCTTAAATAAGTAACTTAATTAAATTGATGGAAGGTCAACTGGAGAATGTCGAAGAAGATACAAATGGCCCAAGGAAAAGTAAGAAGAAAAAAAAGAGTAAAAAGGGCGGAAAAAAGGACAGTTGCTTAAAGAACGAATCCGATGGTAGTGCAAGGAAAGATGGTATCGATGACAGTACGATAGTGGCACCCATACCGGCTATGTTTGTCCCACCGATTGTTGCGGATATCTACGAACAAAATATGTTACTGGAAAAAAAATCGAGTCGCGACAAAATCCCGTTGATATATCCCAACATAGACGCGATCAAAATAGATAACCCGGTGATTAGGGTGTCCGGAGAAAATATGCCTATTTTCGAAATCGAATCCCCGAAATCAGATGGTGAGCCAGTTATAACAGCTGACCATAAAAGCTTTCTTTCTTTCTTCTTTCTTTCTTTCTATTTTTATTTATTTTCGGAGAGGGGGTGTCTCAATGTCATTCAAACTTAGACTCCCGATTCATTTATTAAAATAACGGGCAAACATCGAAGCCAGCTGTTAATCAATGGCTCCCATTAAGGGGAATTTTGTCTAAATGCCTTCCACACATTTCGTCTAAATGTGATTGGCCAACTTCATTGGGTTCACTTCAAATATCTAGCTCGGTTTTTTTTATCTTACTGTCCTCACTGTAACTATAGTATTAGGATATATCTCCAACCCCTTTATGGGTTATATAAAGCGATAAGAGACGGTTAATAATTCTTAGATGTTCTAAGCTATGCATCTATAGTCAATACATTTTTAATGAACGATCGTCCTAATCATTGGTATTAAAGTCATTAGGGAGAGAGGGGTTACATAATTTTAAATAAATTTTATGTTTTGGCGGCCAACGAAACAGAAGCAGCTGGAAAACCGCGAATCTTGAAAGGGCGTTATCAACCTTTGGACGATGACGATGTCACTTTAATGATGATCGAATCCAAGTACAATGTTGTGATTTGATACCTATAAAATTAGGATTAACTTATTAGCAATTTCCCATTTAGTAATTATCATTTTTCACAAGAATGATACAATGAGACAAGTTTTTGGTAAATGAGAACAATATTCCCTCGACCAAATATTGCAGATAGAAAATTCCTGAAATTCCTGTTTCTCAACCTCGTAGGATTTTCCATCCTAATCTTATCATACTCTTGTATTTTTTTTCCCCACTTGAATTTTTTCTCGGCTTTTTTACATTTTAACAGAAAGCTTTCACGTAATATTATTGTTATGTCCAAAACAAATTTTTGAACACTAATTTAAATAATCCCCTTATATTCTTTTTTCCGCTATAACTAAAGTACACGGGTCCCTACGAAATTAGCGGGTGGTTAGTTCTATGTGATCTATGAATATAAACAAATTTTAAACTGAACATTTATTTCAAAACGGGACACTTGAATTTGTTCGAATTGATATATCGCGCTTAGGAGGTTATAATGAAAACTAAGAATATTTTTAATATGGTATATACAAACAAAAGAAAGAATTATTATTTTTTTTTAAATGACAGCTATGTCTCAGATGGGGTTGACAGGTTTAAAGAGTTAAGGGTTAGATAGAGCAATATAATATTAAAAGAAAAATTAGTCTGATATAAAAAATTTGATCGTTGTTTATAGTGCACAAAATTGAGCGTTTACGTTTAGCCGTGATTTTTTTAATAAAAAAAAATCGTCGATTTAAAATTTTAAATAAGTTTTCTAAAAAAAAGGATTTGTCTTTAAAAATTATATTATCGTCTGCGTTTTTATTTCTTTAATTTTGTAAATATTCCTTTCTTGGGATTATAAGTAAGTTATTTTATATCACATCTTTATATTAATATTAAAAGCGAAGAAATAAACAAAAAGTATTGAAATAGCAAACCTATTTCCGGTTTTTTAAAATGGTTGCTAACGCCAAACGGGAAAGGCCATTTAAAATGCATTATTTGTGCTTGCAAAGCAATGTTTGAAACGCTCAATTTGTGAGCGCTATTAGGCAGTATATCTATAAATGACACCCTTTTTCACAGATTTCTGAAATGTCTAAAAGTATTCGAATCCACGAAACAAATAAATTTCATTCGTGAATCTTAATTTATTTTTCTTTTTAAAAACAAAAAATTTTTTAATTTTTAAAATATAAAATTTAACTGCGTCTTAAAAAACTTTACAAATAATGCAGATTAAAAATTATTTAAAATAATCAAGGATTTTTATTTATTTTCATAAAAATTCTTATATAAACTACCGAGAGAAATGGAAGCGTTGTGGAGAGATTGAGAAGCAACATATGATTTTTCTTTTTCAATTTTTTTAAAATAAATTTTCTTCTTTATGAACTTATGAACTAATGAACTAACTCGTTATCAATAAAAATTAATATATTAAATTACGAACGAGAAAAAAAAGGTTTAATTAAAATTAATTATATTATTTTATGGTGCAACACAAATTTATGTTTAAAACGAATCCTGTCACATTTTATAGAATATTGATGGACAGACAGAACAGTCGTCAAGGGGGATCTTAAAATATTACCCGCAATTTTTCTTTAGCCTCCCAAAAGCGATAAAAAAAAAATATACAAATTTTAAATTTTTTTTTGGCATTGACATCTTAAATCCGCAAATCCCGGCCGGAATTTAAAGGTGGGCAGGACATAGAAAAAGTCGTGATGGGCATCCCCTAAATCTTTGATTTTAAATGTGATTAATTTTAAAAGGCTAAACTTAAATCTATAAATAAAAATTTTAAAAATGTATTCCCTATTTTATAGATAATTATAGTTCATAAGTGGTTCAGTAAATTTTAATGGATCTACCCCGATAAGAAAGAAAGAAAAAATAAAAATCCAATATTTTTTATTTTTATTAACACTTTTAAAAAATAAATTACAAAATGCTTATTTTCTTTGCATTATTTTAAGAGCTGGTCTGTCTTAACCAAAATGCTAAATCTATATAAATGTTAAAGTAAATTCATGAAAAAATAAATCAAGCAAATTATATGTCATGATCCAACTAAAAACATGTATAGCATAATGCAGATTGCTGAAATCGGTTATTTATAGAAGAAATAGATAGCCACAGAGGTTAGATGTAAGAATAAGAACATTAATTGACATTTGGGAATATTGAAAATATGATGGCCGGAAAATGAGTACAGAAAAAAATTTAACGGGCCGGGTCTGAGTTTTCGTAAAATTTTAACGGGAGCTGAAAGAGTGAAAAAAATTCATCGAGCTCACCTGAATGATCGGGTCGGTCACACGTGCGGGCCGGAATTCGTAGATATCTGATTCACATATAAGCCAATTGTGATTTAAAAAAATTTAATCGCAAATTCGTTATTGACTGGTAATTAGCCTTCCTTCAGATAACTATTACTTTGGTACAACTAGTTACCCAAGATGACCTAGCTTTTAGGTAAAATTAACTCAAACTAATTTAATTCAAGGTATTTAACTCATTATTTTTTAAGAATTTGCAAGTTATACCTAAAATTGCCGATTTTTGTTTGAAAAAATATGACAATTCAGAAATCCTTTATTATTTTTTTTTAAATAATGTATAACCGAAAGTTATTTTAACACTACTAAAAAATATATATTATATTTAAAACTTCTTCACTCACTATTATTATATAATATAGCAAGTTCACGCTTTCTCCCAAAGAATCAGGTCTTAGGGTAAGCCCATCGAAATTCGCTTTAAAGCCAAAACCGTCACAAGGTATAACTTGGTTTGATTTTATTTTTAGAGATACATATGTTTTATAACAAACGTGGTAGAATGAGGCATGAATCAATTAAGGTCAGTAAAAGCATTCTAAGTTTCCAATTCACGAATCCCATTATAAAAATAACTTACATTTTCTCCCCTGGTTCATCAAAAAGTTTTATCAAACAGCACTGTTTGAAAGTCAGCATATAATAGTCCTGTCAGAGGTATCCATTTTAAAATCGAATATTTTTAGTTTGTGGGGAGGGAGGCACCTACATTTGTGGTGGATCCAGGAGGATTTGTGATAAAACTGATGCTACTACAGATATTTTATTTAAAAAATGCATTTTACATTTGAAAATATTATACTTTAGGTGTTCTGACTAATGGCGAACCGATACAAAACCAACTAAATCATAAAGTAACGAATTTTTTTTTTCATTTAAATATATATTTATCAAGGAACGAACTAAATATATATAACACTTTACGAATAATCAATAATTGATATATTATAAATTTTTCTTATTCAAATTCCAAGTATTTTAGAATCAATACTTTATCTAAAAAAGTTTATCTTTTTTATGTATGTATACAATTGTTTAAACTAGAGATGCTCATTGTATCGTATCGATACTTTTAATTTTAACCGATACAAAAAATAATTAAACTTTGCATATAGAAATCGTCTACAGAGTATTATGGTGTTCTATATCCATTTTTAAAAAATTGTTCAGGAAGAGCATTTAAATAAAAGTATTACTTGTATTTTAAATAGATTACAATATAATATAATTGCAAACAGGTGACCCGGAAAAAAAGATATTTTTGCGGGTCCTGTTTCCTTCCAATAAAAAAAAATCTGTTCCTCCCGTTCTAAGTTTCGGCACAAAAATATCTATTTAATTCTACTACATTATCATATACCATGAAATAGAAAGGAGTTGTTTGTAAAGTTGCATTACGTTACACGAGAGTGCGATTAATACATCAAAAATGAATATCGAAAAAATAAGAATTGACCAGTAAATAAAAAAAACCAGTCAATATGTAAAATTTTAGCTACTTTACGGTTATGCTGTTGGAAATGTGCATTATATATTGAATTCTTAGTAGCACTATAGCAATTTAACAGCTTACAGTTTTTTAAAATCTGTTTATGAGATCAATTTTCCTTTATTAAAATCATTATCTCTTAGATTATTATTAGGAAACGAATCAAGGATAAAATTAATATAAATGAATAAAAACTGATCTTATAAAACAGATTTTTTAAATCTATCAGCTGTTAAATCGGGTTCGCAATGGCGCATAAAAACTTGCTATAAAATGAGACTCGACAAATAAACGAATAAAAGGTAAGGTATGATTTAGTTAAAATTATATTATTTGATGTAATAGTATAGAAGTCAGATATGGCGCTAATATCAACGACGTGCGACAAAGTCGACGATAATACCGAGCTAGAAATCAAATCCCAGCTGGGATCAATCTTGAATAACATAAGGAAAGGTTTATAAAGATATTCTTTCATATTAATCCTCTTTTTTTTTCCTTTAAAGCACATCTTTGCGATAAAAAAATGTAGATTAGAACCCAGAATAATATTAAAAAAGAAAGCATTAAATAAATCCTTTACATAAAAAAAAAAATATTATACTTAATATTTTTATAAAGAATATGTGAAGATCTTTGGGCGTTAATATTCATTCGGATTCAGTATCAACGTCAAGGCGATAAACGGAGGCGAATAAATATTTACCGGAAAAATAATATTTATACTATTTTGACGACATGTTTTCTCCCTAGAAGTCGATATTTTCAGAAAAAAAATATGTAGAATCAATTCGAAATAAACTGTTTAAGATAAAAGCTAGCGTTGCTAAAAAACCGGGTTCGGTTCGAGTTTAAACAACGGCCCGAATTAAGATTATAACCCAAATACCTAAAGATTTTGCTCATAACTGGCAGGAAAGCTTAGACATCTATTTGCCAAATTTCGATGCTTACAATAATATTACTTTAGCTAAAATATTAATCGGGCATTATAAGAACCACTAGTTGCAAGCTGACAAGGTTTAACACAATTTCACAAATTTTTACATTAATTTAAATCATCGTTTAATTCATAGATTTATTTATATTTGTGGCGTTCATTTTTTATATATATAAATTATCATAATATCAAGCAAGGGGTAGTTTACATGTGGGAAAAAAACACTAATATGTTAATATTCAAACGGGCGAAAAATAAAAACACAAAGATAATTTAATATTATGAAATGTTTTTTGATATCATGACAATTAAAAATATGATTTATTTATTTATTATACAAATTATATAAATTACACTATATTCCTTAGGTCTGAGAACGAATTATAAAAAATAGTTATATATTTTCTATTTTATCACTATTAAAAATGAATGATTTTTGTAAAGTTGGTGGGCACATAATAAAAATAACCGCGTTAAACAATAAAAAAAAATGACTCAAGGGTCTACGATTTAAAACATTTTCCACAATTATTCTAAAAAATATATATTTTTTTTTTATTGTATATTATTTTTAAAAAAATAAAATATTACGACCATAATTTAAATCATCGTTTCAAAAATTGTATTTCAATGGTTGATTATATTTAAGATTCAAGGCACCTTCCACGAGGCGCTAACAATCGATCCCCTTAGATCCTTTCCGTTCAGGTTTCTTCCCGACTTTCGGTAGATGGTTTAGCACTATTTTGATCACGCTTTTCGCGTGGTTCATCCTCCGCCTTAATCTTATCTTCAGACCTCGCAGGACTCCCCTCACTTTCCTCTTCCCCCCCTTTACTATTCCCGCCGTTCTTTCCGTTCGCCAACGGCAAGATTTTACTATTTTTATCTGCTCCCAACTTCCGGAAAAACGAATGTTTAAGAAGTTCCCCAAGAGTGGGTCTTTGGGCCGGTTCGTATTCGAGGGATAGGTAAATCAAATCGAACAGCTCCAAGTGATCGGGAGCGTTAGTTTGCGGGTAACGCATGAGGGGTTTGCAATTTTCTCGCACGTAGCGACCGGCCGAGCTGTACTCGTCCCAATCCAAGCGGCCATGGTAGAAATATTTGGTTCTTGTTTGTTTTTTTCCAAAAAAAAATATTTTTTAAATAAAATGTATGAGCATATTTTCAAATATTATATAAAAACTAGCAATGAGCATTCATTGTATATGATAATCGAAAACTTGGATATAGTTTAAAATTGGTTTTGGTCTGGGCCTATTGTTTAAAAAAAATCATTTCGGTTCAGGCTATGGTAAAAAGTTTAAATTATGTAACGTGAAGTAGGATGAAAAAATGTCAACTATTTAAAACAAAGTTATTATATTTTATATAACCAAAAAATAAAGTATCACAAAAAAAAAATTTGACTGATCTTGACAGGTAGCAATCTAATCTGATTAATTTCGCGTATAAATGGCATCAATCTAAATCCAAATATCCGGAATAATCGCGTGCAAACAATAGTGAGTCTGTGGATGTGCAGCGTGGAAGGCGACGTTGGGGATGTGTTAATTAAAACAGCGATTCGCAGATTGAATTTAATTAAATGGCTTGAAGCCAAATTTATGATATTCGCTCATTGTATTTATCCTGGGCGAGTTAACGCTTCCAATATTTTACTATTTTCTATCAACACCATTTTCCTGTCAATGGTTAATGAATTGAAGGACAATACCAATGACAAGACCGTACCTTAAGAAGTCAAATAAATTCAGAATGGGCCAAAAGTGCTATATGCGTTGCTTTTCAAGAGAGCAGGATGATTGGAGGAAGTAATTTGAAATACAAAATGCACCATTAGAGCAAAGAGTGGACTGGTTCATTGTAGGCATCAGTATCAATTTGAGGCCAAGAGAGGAATGTTAAAGGAGGGCATATGTTATAATCAGCAATTATATCATCGCAAATATGATGCAATATATATATACTGTATATTTTGTATTTGCAAGATACATATTTTAGTGATTTCTTTTCATCATGCATCTTTTTACCAATCGTATCAACAGGGAGGAAGAGAAATAAAATAATTATAATGTTACCAAGGTGAATGTCGATGATAACATTTTACGAATTGTACGAGTAAGGAAGAGATTAAAAAATAGTAAAATTAATGAAATAAATAGAATATTTGATGACTAGAAAATCATTGTAAAACAAATTATGGTAATTCCTGTATATGACATTAAAAAGTATTATCAGATGGGAGAGCTATTGGGTCAAATCACGTGTCGAGGAATATATGGTTGCACAGGCAGAATTCAAATGGTGTTAACTATTTAAACAAGGCTTCTTTTATTCATCTATGTATCACAAAAAACTGTAAATCTTCTTTGTACCAATTACGATTAGAAATTTCTAATAAACAACAAAACCGTTTATATAAAAAATACATAACACTCGTGGAAATAAATTACTAATATACAAAATATACATTACTCATAATAATTCCCAATTGTAACATCTCCCCTCCTTTAACACTCCTTTCTAGGCCTCAATTGATCCTGATGCCTACAATAGATAGCTCTCTGTCCTAACGTTGTATTTTGCATTTCCAACGACTTCCCCCTCCCTTTCAATCGTCCAACTAAACTTTCCCCTGAACAGTAGTAACGTATATGCCTCTAGACCCTGAATTTATTCAATTTAATAACATATCCGACCTTGTCATTGGTAATAATACAATTCGTTAACCCATTGAAGGGGAAATGGTGTTAATGGAAAATAACGAAATAGATAATGAAGAAGATATTGGAAACATGAACAAACTTAGGATAAATAAAATAAACGAATATAAAATTTGTCAAGTCATTTAATGGCATTAAGTTCGATCCGCAGATTAGTGAAGTTGGGGAACGGGTTATGCCTTTTAATAAACGCAAAATACGCCCTAGAACAGGTCCTATCTCAAAAGATGGACTGCCCCACTTGCTCTAACAGTCAAACCTTCCCGCATCCATTGACTCATCTAAATCTTCAAAGCCACAACATACCTTGGGTGAATCCTCCACTATGAGGATCGACCCAATTGAACATAATGAGGTTTTAAATCGGGGATGGCCTACTTGCTGTAGACTACTGTTTGCAGATGATTATTCTGGATATTTGGGATTCAGTTGACGCTATTTATGCTAGATTAACCGGATTAGATCGCTACCTGGCAAGATAAGCCATTCCAGCATCTTATTTGTCAGACAGTGGTTGGGGCTTAAGCCAATAAGTTATTAAAATATGTGTTATAAAGATATGAATGTGTTGGGAAAGAAATTGAATAAATGGTAAACAAAAAAAATCATGAGTAAATTAACTTGAGAGAATCATTTACTTTGTTCTGCGACACATTCTGTAAGGTATTTGGCCCAAAATTCGCTCCATCATTCCCAAGTGTTCCCTATTGTCGTGAGTCTATATAAAATCATAATATAATTATTTTTTTATACCTAAGATTATAAACTAAGATCTATATTTTTGATGACATTTAGCAATTGCATTTTACATTACCATTCCAGTGCACACAAATTGAACGTTTCAATGCAGCGTTTCAAAAACGCAAATAATGCATTTGTTTAAATTGGACAACAATTATTCTTTTGTTTTAAATTTAGACGTTTCATGTTAAAAAAAATAAAAATTAACGGTTCAATTTAAGTTTACATTTTTTTTTATTTACGTTTTGGAAAGCTGCGTTGAAATGTTCAATTTGTGCGCACTTTTCTGCCATATTTTGATTCAATTTGTATCAGAATTCTAAATCTTTCACTGTTGATGTTATGTTCAGCCAACGATTATGTGAACGTTTTCCTTTGAGCAAACCGCTACGCAAGATGTGATGAGCAAGGATATGTAAGCTATAACTCTGCAATGGGTGGGTTTTACCCAATAAGCCCCAACTCAATCGTTGTTTTATAAAAAAAATTAATCCACACAACACTAGTTTTTTTTTAAAAAAATTCATCCTCTCACCCTCCCATTTGCCTAAAAAAATCGGTTTAACCCACCTGCTCACCATATGTTCAAAAATAATTTTAATGGCTGGTTTGGCTCTTTATTTATATTTTAAATTAAGTTTATAAAATATTATGACTTTAAAAAATGTGTGTTCCGCTCATTTCGCCTAAAAGAATATTTAAAATTTACCCGTTTATTGTTTTAAAAATATTTTAACCAGTTAATCCCCAGCCCAATAATTAAAACATTTTAGCCTGCTTACCCAGGCCCACCTGGTGAATGGGCGGCTAAAAACCCACCAGTTGCAGACATCTAATGCTAGAGGTCTGTAATTATATTGAACTCAGCTGTTAAGGACATCATTGTCTACTATACTATACGACACGTCTTTAACATTTCCTCTTAATGTTAATGACGAACTTTGAGTATGCACAGTTTCTAATGCATTATAAATCTGTCCAGATATTAATATCGTTGGTGAATAAAGCAGCCAATAAAAATCTCTTATTTTATGATTTTGTATTTTTTTTAATGAACTTCTGTATTATTAATATTTTTTTTATAATATTATTTTCGTACTTTTATGTGAAAATTAGGTAAATTTAAATATAATTTTTAGATCTGAAAAAGGTTAAAAAATAATAACTGGAAAGAAGGTATATCTTCTTTAAAACCCATTAACAATTATTATTATTTCGAAATAATTATAAAAGGTAGTAAGTTCGAGTGCGAATGATCAATAAGTTAACACTGATAGTTTCCAGTTAAAAATTTTTTCAGGAAGAGAAGCAAGAAAATTACTAAAGAAAACATCAAGACCATTAGTAGAGTATCTATGATAGTGGCTTTAAAAAAAAGTGGTATTTGGTGCAACTCTTATATTTCAGGTAATGTGATATATTGATTGAGATAATTAAGCAATCAATACAGTGAATGAGTCGACTGATTTACAGCTGGTAACATGGAATAAATATATTAAAAATTGATATTCTAAATGATATAAATAAGTTACTTGGAACAACGTTAGCCCATTATACAATTCAAAGAGTATAGCTCCTATGCTCCAAACATCGCAAGAATGAGACCATCCCAATTCTAACAAATTTAAAATTTGAATTATAGAAAGAAAAAAATTATTTTTAAAATTATATCTTTTCAAAAACCTAAAATGACTTCCGGAGCTCTGTAATGCCTAGTGGATATAATGGTGCTGTGGTGCTCATCGTCAAAGGTGGCGGATCCAAAATCGATTAGCTTAATCTGCGAATTCTTAACGACCCTATACTTCTTACCCTATTTTTTTGATAGGGGGGAAAAATAAGTTTTTATTTGATTAACGCCAAAAAAAGTGAAGGCATGACGATGATTACAAAAAAATTCTAAGATAAAATAAATGATTTTATATATTTTACTAATTTTTCCTAAATCATTCATAATGCAAGAAGAAGAATATATATATATATTTAAAACTGTTTTGGGATGTATTTCAATGTCGTATTCTGAGTTAACAAATAACATGTTTTCGGGTTTGAGGTCGGTATGTGACAATTGGTGGTCGTGCAAAACTTTGATCATATATATTATTTTTTTAATCAAATTAATCAAAACTTTTGAATAATGTGACTTGGTATCGGGATGATCTTAGAAAATCGTCGACTTAGAAAGTTTCAAAATATTTGAATTCAGAGTAAGATAAAAACAAGATTAGGATCCCTATAAATCATCGTAAATACGTACCCTAAATTTTATTGCCACGTTAATAAATCATAATATCCCTTCCTCGGGGAAAAATATGTAGAGCAAACACATGTTTATAATTTGTTTTTTTATTTACTTGAAATTGCTTAAATTATTTTAGGAAACAATGTCGCTCATTAAAATAAACATTTATCGTTTAAAAGGTTAATACAGTATGGATTAGCTTCGAATCATTTATTAAGATAGGAATTAATTGGTGTGTATATATAAATATCTTTGAATTAAATTAATGATAAATATTGTACATTTAACTGCTCGGCATAGCTGTTGACCGATGTGTCTAACGTGGTCCAGGGGGTAGGATTGATAATTATTTTGTTTCTAATTATTAAAAAAATATTTTTTAAAAAAAGTATCGTTAAATAATCAATATAACGAACGTAACGGAATATTTAAAACTCCTCGGGGAAAAAAAGCAAGTTATAAAAAGATTTACCAGGAATTCGAATACACTAAGACCCAACATTTCAAAGAGTATGCATATGTGACCATGATAGTTCAGCCAATCTAACATTTTTACACACAAACTAAAAAAATAAAAATTAATTTATAAATATAAACAATACTATTTATTCATATTGGTTGGTATTCAATACTATTTATTCATATTGGTTGGTATTTAAAAAAATTTTTTTTTTACAATTTTCCTTGTGGATCCCGTTTGGCGATGTATTTTAATACGTTGATTTCTAACTTGGCCGCTTCCCTATACTTCTCAACATTCTTTATTATTTTCAAGGCGGCCATATTTTCGTTACTGAAAAATAAAATATTTTATTTTTCGAAAATATAAAAATTATAATAATGTTTGAAAAAAAAGTATCGCCTTAAATTACCACCAGTGAGTTCCCGGATATCTTGACTAAACTTAGAATATGGTAAATTAATGAATTTTCTGATTTGAATCAAAAACAAATGTGTAGGGGAGGAAGAGCAGCATTTAGGGTTAGCAAAAATGGTGTATTTTTTTAAGAGTTCTGAAAAAATAACTCCAGGAGGATAAAACGATTAAAATCAACATATTCATCTTTATTACAATTTTTCTATGAAATTTATGAATAAATTATTGCTAAAAAGCATATTGGATCGACTAAAAATATACAATCATATGTAATCCATTAATATTTAATATTTGGGTCATTTTTTTACTAATTTTTGTAGAGTAATAAATTCAAAAAATAATTTTAGTGTTAACAATGATTTCAATTTTTTTTTTTATTTAAACTAGAAAACAATAAGATAATCAAAATATTAAATATCAACATTTATTTATTAAACAAGGGTAAAATTAAAATATTTAAAATTATAGATCTTTTGTATCATCTTAAATTTAATTAATTATAATAATTTTTTATAGGTGTTTATTTTAAAAAAAAATCAATTTCAAGATTTATTCAATTAAAAATCGTTTTTATTAATTAAATTTAGCATATAATTATTATAACTTATATGCAAGAAAATATAGCAAAATAATATAATTTAGAAGCAAAAATGAAATTTGATTTAAATCGTCATTTTTATTCAAAAAAAACCAGAGTTGAAAAAAATCTGATTTTATTAAAAATATTTTTGACCAAATTTTACCTTAAAATATCTTCTTATACAAGTTAAATTAGCTTGCTTTCATAATAGAAAAAAAATATAAATAAATAACATTTTATATAATAACTTTTGAATTACAACACAGAATTTATATACGAAAAAAAAAAATTCATTTTTAATTTATCTTTAAATTTAAAAAATATAAATAAATAGATATTAACTAAAAAAAAAATAATCATTTAATCATAATTTTATTACAAATATATTGAATATCGGTCGAGGTTATAACCCCCCTACTAAAAAAAATGGAAGCTGAAATAAACTCCCAAAATAAAAATTAACAAAAAATTAAATTCTAAAACAAAAATACTTTCAAATTTACAAAAAAAATAAAACCTAGACAAAAAAAACCTCGTAATTTTCAATTTCGAAAAATATTTCCTAGAAAAACAAAATACAAGCGAAAATTTAATATAAAAAAAATGTTGGGATGATTTTTTTTTCCCTAAATAAAATTATATTAAAATCAAACTGGTAATTTGGGGGAGGGGAGGAGATTTAGACGGGTATAATTCAAATAAGTTTATAAATAATGGTAGTTTCGTTTAATTTCACCGAAAACTGTATATCTGATATAAGGTCTTGACAGGTATCAGGTGTTCGCTGCTCTGCACTTGGAAATGACCAAACGTCGATCCCGTACAGGAAGGCGAGGATTTCTTGGAAAATATTGTCATCTTGAGCCTCGAAATTCCGACAGGCCCAAACCTTCCTGTCAACTATGGGGAAAAAATCTCCAAGCTCGGATAATTTACTACTTTTGGCTAAAATCTAGAGTTAGCCATGCCTTACAAATCAGGCTAAATCAAGCCGTTAAAACACTGGCGTAATGCGACCAATGACATATAATAATACCTAGACTGACGATTCATTCATTAAATAAGCGTCGTTAAAAGCAAATCAGCTGGACCCGCCATTTTGGTAACCTTTATAATAATTATTTTCATGTTAAAAACTAATATTAAATTGATAACTTACTTACTTATTATCTCGATGAACAGGCAATTCTTTAATAAAGTGTGCATCAGATATAATATAAAATTAGGCTCTCGTTTAAAATTTTAATATTTATTACAGTAACCAAGATGGCGTCTCTAGCTGATTTGTATTGATGTACACTTTTAATGAATGAATCGTCAGTCTAGGTATTATTATATGTCATTGAATGCGACTAATTTTATTTTAAAATCATTTTCTCGTGCAGATCTAACAAAGGAAATCAAATTTTGGTTCCTTTTATGAATTTATTATTATTATTATGAGAATGATATTAATTATAGTATACCATCATAATATAACTAAAAACAAACCAGATAGGGGTTTCGCAAATACCAGATTCGATATTGAAAAAAAACCGGTAAATCTCGGTCTTGATCAATATGGGCACGTGGGTAATAAAAAAAAAGTTCTTGTTTAATTTAATCTATATAGATCTTATTTAAATATAAACCTGGCAAGTAATTTTTTTTCTAAGTAAATAAAATTGAATGATTTAGCCTAAATTTAGGGCTTAGTCACCTTTTGGTAAAAATTTTCATTTTGTTGCTTATCAAGGAAAATAAAATAATATATCAAAAAATTAAACTAAATAAAATTAAGGTCCAAATATTAAATAATGTAAGAGAACGTCAGCAATTTTTGATTGATTTGAGAACAAAATTGGCAGATATCAGTTAAATACAAGTCGGAAAAAAAGTAAATCCACTATAAAAAAAAGGATAATAAATTGAAAAAAAAACATATTTACAAATTGCATTAAGCATTCTAGTATAGCCCTAATGTGTGTTAGACCCTGTTGGTAAATTAAGTTTTATAAAATTACAGTATTCTAAGGGCTAAGACCTGATTTGGGCTAGGGTAATTTACATTGCTTGATATGCCTAAGTTGGACCCTGTTGGTAAATGGAGTTTTATAAAATTACAGTATTCTAAGGGCTAAGACCTTATTTGGGCTAGGGTATTTTACATTGCTTGAAATGCCTAAGTCGGACCCTGTTGGTAAATGAAGTTTTATAAAATTACAGTATTCTAAGGGCTAAGACCTTATTTGGGCTAGGGTAATTTACATTGCTTGATACGCCTAAAATAGGCATAGTATGCAATTTCTTTTTACCAGTTAAATATACATTAAAATTACGAATCAGTTTAATTATTGATTTTTTTTTGCATTGGTTCAAATTAGCTCATAAATAAAAATATCGGATTGCCATGAATGGGTTATAAGAATAGTTTTGTGTGAATATTAGCATAAATATTGCATCAGATTAGTATAAAATTATGGATTGGCACAGTTCCTGGTAAAGATGAAGCATTAATTTTAAACCGATTATCCATGACATTCAAAGGATTGATATTTAATATGCCCTTTATTTAAGAGAACGCAAGAAGTTGGACAAATCAAGATTTTTTTTCCACTTGAAATGTTTAAATTTAAAAGGTTAGGGTTGGCATGATATAATAAATTTGATTAAAATCTTAAGTAAAAGATTCGTTTCAATAAGAATCATCATTTAAATCAATTTACCTTCTTTTTTGCTTGTAAGTAAAAAAAATAAGTCTCTATTTTAATTCTAGTGATTTGCATTGTAATTTAAAGCAGAGACCTGCAGGTCCAACCCTAAGCCCAGGCCATATTTTAATTTTTTAAAAAATATACCCAAATCAAGCCTGAAATTTTCTTTTTTAAAAAAATATTTAGGCCAGGCCTAAAAAAACCCCAGCAGCAGTATATTTTACATCTCCATTAGATGCTGTAAAAATTAAAAATAAATATATTTCAAATAAATCTGGGCCGGGCCTAAAATCTGAGCCAGACTATGCAAATGGTATATCTGCGGGTTTTTGATTTAAAAGTCAAATTTTTCAATTTGCACTGATTTAAATAAATAATGATATTCAATATTCTTAACACTAATAAAAGTAATTCACGGAGTTTATAATAATATTAATAGCTAATAATGGCTATTTAAAAAATATGGTCCAGGCACAGCCCGAGCATATTTTTTTTAAAATAAGATATGCCCCAGCTCGGTGGACGGGGCTGCAGGTCTCTGATATAAATATTTTACTAACATGAAACTAAAATATTAGATATTGTTAACATTAAAATTGTGTTTTGATTTATTGGAGTCTTTTATGGTCAACCCAATAGATCTTTACAACCTTTCCTCAGGAGTCATTTTTTCCCAGAGGAGGAGTGGATTGGGACCAATATAAATATATTTGTGTATGTTTAAACTAAAAAAAAAATTGTTAAAGAATTATATTACTGGATATTTAGCCAAATATAATGTCAATTTTAATTTCCCTTATCTGAACCAAATGCCATGACTCATTTCAAGGATTTTATTATAAAAAAAATCTTCCTCTCAACTCAAATAATATCATTACACTCCATTATCAAAGTTGGGTTGAATTTATAAAATAAACTTAAAATATGTAGGGGCCATTTGGTCCAGTTAGCTGACATAAAGAATACAGAAAAAGATGATTTTGGCACAAGGTCCAAGTCTAAGAAAATGAGCGTAAAAATTTACAGCGAAAATAATAAGAGGCCAATCCTAGCAAAAAAAATTCATTAGGGCTAGGCCAGGCAATATTTTTAAAATAGATTTTGGGTCATATTAGCCGAAAGGTAATACGGGTTAGGCCAATATATATCAGAGGAGCTGGTTGTATTGCAGGAATAATATAATCCCTATAAAAACCCCAAGAAGATTCTTGTTGGGCCCCCCATAACTTGAGGCCTAATGAGACCCTTAAATGTGCAAAAAATTGTCTTGAGATCCCACAGGTGATGGGTGCTGTGGGGGAATCTATTATGCCTCTTATCTCTAGTGACATTGACTAAAAAAAGTGGAATTGGTAAAATGAATATATAAATTATATAATATAAATTTATAGTCTAAATGTTACTTGTCTTCCCTGACTTTGACAACCTTACCAAATGTTCCTTCTCCTAAAGTACTCAATATTTCATCTGATTTATGTTTAGGGGATAAAAATTTTAAAATATTGTTTCATAAAAAACTATAAGAATAAACTATTTTTAAAAGAAAGTAAGCTAAATTTTGAAAAATTGACAAGAAAATTTTCTTATGAAAAAGTTTCAAGAAAAATTGTTTTTTTAATAATAAAAAAAATCCATGTCTTAGAGTAAAATCATATAATTAAGCATAAATTATATTGTACATCTATCTTGAAGCCAATCTCCGTTATGATAAATTAAATGTCCTTCTTTGTCATCGTCAACACTTCCTTTTCTTTCTGACTTTTCACGCTTCTTAACATAATTTTATAACCCACCAATCAAATCAAAAAACAAGTGTTCATTTTATAATATCCATCCACAGGGTATCCAGAAGGCAACACCAGGTAGTAGCATTTCCCAATTTATCATAACACAAATGTTCACGCATGATTTTTTATTATTTTTTAAGTTTGGCAGGAGGGCGTATTTATGTTTTTATGTTGAAAGACAATGGGACAATTATATGGATTCAAGAATTATATAATCATTTTTTTACAAGTAAATTATAATATATATATAAATAAGTAATAGGATAATATCAGATGTAAGAGATTATATAATTATTGGAATAGTTTTCAAAATCTAAACTAACTTACCCTATAATAAGAATTTTCATAAAATTTAGAATATACTCTTGTGTTGTATCTTTCATATGCAATTGGCATAATTAAAGATTAATTAAAACCACTCTACATATTATTTAAAATTTACATGCAAATTATTTAATTTAGTTTATCCTTCTCATTTATTTTTTTAATGTAAAGCAAAACAGAAAAAAACAATAAGATTTGTAATTTTTTAAAAAAATAAATGCATCTCAAAATTTTAAATAATTCAACAGGTGCATAATTTTAAATTATGTAACATAATTTAATTATAACTTTTTCACTAATCGTGGATCGAGTTTTGTGTTTATGCCTTTTGTGCCGGTGTTTGTGTCGTTTAGAAGATGTGGTTGATTGGTCATTATCTGAGTGTTGCTTTTGTGAATTACTAAAATCATTATATTTGGAATCACGTGAATATTTTTGTTTATGCCTTCTGTGTTTATACTTGTGAGCATTATGGTGACTAAAATTTAATTTTTATTAAGATATTTAAATTAAATTTCACTTTGATTCGTCTTGACTTTCATCGTCATGTTGATGATTATATGATCGAGGAGAATGACTGTGAGAACGTTTATAAGACCTTGGCATGTCTAACAAAGTTTCAGTGATATAAGTTAACATGTATATGTATGTATATCATTAAAATATTTATTTGGATCTTATCATTTTTGTTAAGCTATTCAAAAAATGGCAATTAATTACTGGCATTTTTATCCACTGAAAAGTAAGAAATTATACTAATATCAATATATATGTCATTGACTTGTATGCAATTTTTACAAAATACTTTTGTTTATTATATTTTGCCTAATGTATTTTAAATTTAGGCATATATTTTATAAATTTAACTTTCCTCGAATATTTTTAAATCCACTTTAATGAGGGGAATGTTAAGATATGTATAATTCTTCTCAGTTTAGCATTTATTTAACTTTTATTTTATAAAATCTACCATTTATCTATTTTGAATATTAAAGTTAACTTATAATTTTATTTTATTTATTAACTATTATCATTATTCACATTATATTTTAACTTAAAACTCTCATATTTCCAGTTTACCTAGGTTTATTTTTGCATTGAATATACATATATATGTAGTTTTTTTTAATAAAGAATACTGAAATCGCTGAAAATGGGGTGGGGGTGGGACATATAAATCATAGATTCAATATATCAGTAGTTATTTTTATTTTATTATATTATAAAAAAACATTACAATTTTAAGTTATTTAAAAAAAATTCCAAAAATTTAATATTACACTAGTAGATGGCCCGTCAAACTGGCGGGGAATGAAAATTTTATTTGTTCTTTTATGATAGATATTACCTTTTATTTAAAAACCATATCCAATTATTATTCTTTTTACGCCCCCCCCCCCATTCAGGTTGTCTAACCCATTAGAACTAAGAGTGAAAACTATTTTTTAGTCAAAATATATAGCTTTTTGTTTAGATATTACTGATTACCTAATGACTAATATTTCATATTAAAAAATCCCAAGCCAGGACCAAGCCCAGCATCTACATGACAAGATTTTTACTGGATGCAAACCTCGTTCAAAAACCTTTGCCTACCCCCCTAAAAAATCCCCGCCGCCTTCGGTGGTGGTGTTTTTTATTATTATTTTCATCTATTTATTTATTAATACTCTTTTTAAAGAATTTATAAAGGATAACTTAAATTAATCTATCTCTACTACCAACTATCGATATTTTGTAATATATATAATTTATTTGTTAGATAATAAATTCAATTAAGACCTCCATTATTTACAATGAATTAATTATTATGGCATTATGAGATTGATAGAAATATCTAAACCTTTTAAATTACATTTAAAAGGATAGTTTATTTGGAAAACAATGTGTATGATTGTTTGCAATATATAGATTTGGTCGATGAATTGTATTATAATAATACTATAATAAAAGTATTAATTTTTACAGCATTAAATTTTGTCCTATTTCATCTCAAAATTTAATAGATAACCCGCCAAAAAATTTATCCTACCCCCATTAAAGCAGCCTACCCCCAACCCCCTCAAAAAAATAGGATGCAAACTGTTCCTATCCCTCCCGCTCATGTAGACGCTGTCCAAGCCCACAATAACTTTGAAAAAATTTCCCCAAACCCTATCAAGAATCATAATAATTTTGATGGTTCAGAACTATAATAAAATTTTTTAAAAATCAGAATTTATTTAGAAATGCAATCAAAATCAGCATGGTCCTTGGGTTTTTGATCAGGCCCAGCCCTGGCCTCAAAAATTTTTTTTAGGTCATTGTCAGGCCAATATTATATATTAAAAAATTTGCAAGCGTCGAAGATCTTACTTTTAAAAAATCCCCCAAGCCCAGCACAAAATTTTAAAAATTTTTTCTCACCCTCCAGCCAGCGTCTACATGACAGGATTTTCACTGGATGTAAGCCCCCTTCAAAAACCTTGCCTACCCCCATAAAAAATTCACGCCGCCTTCGGCGACGGACGGTGTCTCTTTATCATTATTTTCACCTGTTTATTTATTGATACTCTTTTCAAAGAATATATAAAGGATAACTTAAATTAATCTATCTCTACTACCAACTATCGATATTTTGTGAATATAAAGAATTTATTTTTTAGAGAATAAATTCAATTAAAACCTCCATTATTTACAATGAATTAATTAATATGGCATTATGAGCTTGCTGATATCTAAACCTTTTATTTAAAAGGATAGTTTATCTGGAAAACAATGTGTATGATTGTTTGCAATATATAGATTTGGTCGATGAATTGTATTATAATAATACTATAATAAAAGTATTAATTTTTACAGCAATAAATTTTGTCCTATTTCATCTCAAAATTTAATCGATAACCCCCCAAAAATTTTATCCTACCCCCATTAAAGCAGCTTACCCTCTATCCCCTCAAAAAAATAGGATGCAAACTGTTCCTACCCCTCCCGCTCATGTAGACGCTGGGTCCAGCCCATAATAATTTTAAAACGTAATTATATCCTTTGAATATAAAAATTTAGAAATGCGTTATAACGTAATACAACAAGTTAATAAATCGAAATTGATATAAAATAAAAACTCACTATATTAACAAAAATAGTTTAGTTATAAATATAAAAAGTAAAGCCTATCCATATAAGTTACACATATACATAGTGTTGTAAAACGGCTCATATGAGCCGATTTCTAAAAACGGCTAACTCAATACTTCATCCAGAAAAATATTACATAAACCTGAAGATTTTGTGCATAGAAGGAACAAAGGTCTATACATATATTATCGAAATCTTGAGACTTATGAAATATTTTCCTGGCTAAAATATTGAGTTAGCCATTTTTAAAAATCGGTTCAAAACGAGCCATTTAACAACAATACACATACATTTTAATTAACATTCCATTTGATTTAAAGATTTATAACATAGAAATTAAAATCAAAATAAGGTTTTCTTATGAATCTATTAAAAGACCATAATTAAGAGTATTTTTGGAGCCATAAGATGTTACCAAGAAATAGTGAAATTAGGGGAACTAGGATAAAAATGAAGATAAAGATTTTTTAATAGAGGCTCCTAAAATAATAGTCAAACTTACATATCATTTTGCCTGAGGTTGTGTTATTAACCTAAATAACTTTTAATAATAAATGCTAACTAGCAGTGTATACATTTGCATCCAATTTTTTTGAGGATGGTATGGCTAGGGGTAGGATAAATTTGTTGACGGTTATCTATAAAATTATTTCGATAAAATAAGGCAAATGTATTGCTGCTATATAAAAATCCTTTTATTATAGTCATATTTAATACAATGATATTGCTAAATATCGACCAAATATATATACACAATCGTATACATTATTTTCCAAAAGAAACTATATCTGAATAATTTTATGATATCTATTTAAATGTAAATTAAAAGGTGATATAATTAAAAGGTGTAATTATTTCAAATAAATTTGAGGGGGAGTGGGGTAAATATCGGGTTTTGAGGGGGGTTTGCATCTTGTAAAAATTCTCTTGCAGATGCTGCTAACTAGATAGGAATTAAAGGTTTTTATGGTTTAGTTACTAACTCTGTCTAATACAGTTTTGAAAATAATATACTATACACGAAATTATCTAAATTTTAAATTAAGTGAATCCGCCGGCAATAAACATATTTTTTTATAAAAAGTTAAAGAGTTTATATCTATAGCAACGACATCCTTAGCTTTTCAAAGAGGGTGGGGTGATGATTTATTTTAAAGAGTGACTAAATTTATTTTCGGTATAATTGAACATGAATAATAAATATGATTAATTATAATAATGATAAATAAAAGATTAAAAGATTCAATTGGAATAAAATATAAAAATTCAAGTGGCATATTCTAATATCCTTCGTCTCTTTAACCTTTAATTAATATTTCTCTCTAAACTTAATCGTCGCCAATGTGGTATTTAAGATGTAAAAGATTTTATAAGAATATAATATAATTTTATTTTATTTTATCAAATTAAAAAGATCAAAAGATAATTTAACTTTAACAATAATATATTTATATCTTCTTCGAAAGCACATATACGATAATCAATCAATTACCATTTAGTATCCACAAACAAAATGCAATTTTTTTAAAGTTAATACAATACACTTATAAAAAATAAATATTTTTTAATCGACCTAACAAGTACCTATATTAAGTTCCTTTTATTTTCTAAATCCTTACAGATAGAATACTCTAAAAATTTTTTGTTTAATGTAATGGGAAAACTGTAGAAAAATGGTAGCCGTTTAAAGAAGCAAGTTTAATGTTCCAAATAAGAGCATATTTCCAGGTCTCTATAGGTAAATGGACCACTTGTAAAATAAGGCTTTAAAAATAATTTCCTGTTATCACAAGACTTGATTTCAGTTCTCAGAAGATAAAAATTCTAATGAATTAATTACTTTGTTTTGCCTAATATCTAGATCCTAGGTTTAAATTTTTTTTTAACAAAGAGGAATATATTATAGCTATAAATCATTTATTGGCGATATTGGAATATATTAAAAATTTTAAGGATGAGAATTTAAATATAAATAGTAATTAGTATAAATCTTCTGAAGAACGACAAGAATATGATAAATTAGGAAAGTTTCTAAGGTCCAAGGATAAATACAAAATGTGTGATATTCTATCAACTATAAAAAAAATTTTGAGCGGGTCTAGATGAATCAAAAAATTTGCTAGAATACTGGGAATCCAATAAAATGAATTGACCCAAATTGTATTAGCAACTCCACGTAGCTTGGTAAGTATTGACCGTTGTTTTTCACACTCAAATTTAATATAAATGATGATATTTTAGAAAATATATAATTTCTTCGATGTAATGATTGATTCAAAGATGAATTAAAATGTGCATATTTTAAAAAATGTATTTACATATTTTTCTAGAAACGTTCGAACAAGGTCTAACGAAACGGGAACGGGACAATTTTTTAACCGGAACTGGAACGTAACGACTTCTTAAGCGGATACATTTTAAATATCAAAATTAAGAATCTCAGTGTTATCTACATTTATTTTGGTTAATAAGTCTGACTTTTGATTTATTTTAGCCTAATATTAAATATTTCTAAAAGTATATTCACTTATAGACAACTGAGGAATGTGGATTTTGTTTTTTAATGTGGGTAGTAGTTATAGTCATGGACTTAATTGTAGAGCTAGAATTCATAAAATAAATATTTAAAAATGGAACACCCTTCATTCGCTCCGAATGGATCCTAGCCTTACATTCCTCTAAATGAAGGAAACGACACTACTAAATAAAAATATATTGTTCAATTAGTTTTTGGTCTACTGTGAAATCTTGGGAAATATATAAATTCTATATACGAAAAAAAATAAATTCTAACTCATTCTTTGAAATATTATCGGTTTTTTTTCCCAGATCTCATACAAAATATAATGGTATATTAAAACATGTATATTATTTATTACTTATTCATCTATCTAAATTGTAAGTTTCATTTCCATTATTTTACCTAAATAATAACGTTATAAACAATATAAATCATGCATAGGGCCCAAAGTTGATTTGCTTTTCATAAGCAATAATGCAATAACTATCCAATGAAGATAGGTTGCATCTTAATTAGCTTAAGATTCGTTATAGGAGTAGATTCATTTCATATTACAAATAGATGAAAGTTGAGTTATTGAAATCAACAACCGCCGAAAATATGATTAATGTTAAGAAGTTGGTTTGCCCAGATTTGGAACTCCTAGGCATCTGGTAACTTATAATGAACCGCTATTGATTTCGGTTTAGAAATATTTGCAAACAAGAAAATATTCAACTCATCCTTATAATGCCATACCTTCCTAAATCTAACGTACAGATTGAACGTACTATACGAATACTAATTGGAAAATATTACGCCTTAAAAGAAACGATAAAATGAGTCAAGAGATTTACGCTCTTATAGGATGAGAGTTCACATTGCTACTGAAAGATCTCTGGATAAGTTAATGTTGGAAGTTATCACGTATAGCTTACATGTTCTTTTTTATCTTGTGAAATCGGTATTGTTTATTACACTTTTTCAAGACGATTATCATTGTAAACGGTTTTATAATGGATTTATATTATTTATTTTTCACAAGTAGCATTATATAAGGTGTTTACAACGAAGATATATAAATATATACGAGCTTAAAATTACATTCTTTTTCAATTTTGGTAGCGCATTTTTATTTTTTGTATTCGAATTTTTTATGATGAAAACTAATGACAAAATTGATTAATAAAAAGTAAACTATTTGGATTAATAAAGTTAAATGATTTTCCCCTTAATTATTAATGTAATGAAAAACCATGGGCTTCTCCCAGGTGTGGCTCAGACCCAGTATTCCCATTTCCTTTTGTAGAATCATCCTAGACTATGCTCAAAGCACCGCCACTTTAACTGGGTCCCCAAGTCCTTACCTTTAAAAATTACCAATAATTCGATCGCTATGGAACCTTCCCCCACATCATAGCTCGGATGGGGGCTGCTTATTCGACCCCAAACATTTCAGGAAGGAATTTAAAAATCAATTTAAAATAGTGGAGATAAAATTCAATAAAGAAGATCGAAGAGAGTGAGCAAGGAAACAAGAAATGACAACCGGTTTGGTAGAGGAATGAGTTAAGCTGGGATTGATAGAAGGGTCTGTTGTTAAGAGGAGATTTCATTCTTAGAAGGCAGAGGGTGAATCTTTTAGTAAGCATATTAATCAGTTACAACTGAGAAGTGGGGCATAAATTGGGGGTTCAGAATAGGAAACAGAGGGAGTGATGACACATGACCTGAATGAGATGGGAAAAACTATTGAAATGGAAGACTTATCAAACGGAGCGGAACTCAATCGACAATGGATACCATCTAAATTCAACAGCCAGTTTAGAATCGATCAAGATCACAGCAGCGCCTACATCATCCGATCAAATGCCTGATTAAAAAATTATATTTAAAATCGTTAAAATCTATTTTTAATTCATTACGAGGATTACATATGATGTTGTGATTGGCATTTGAAGTAAATTTTGCTATGATGTTTTATAGTTAGCCTTTAATAAATTCCCTTAAATATCAATCGATAATATGGTTAATCTCAAGCAATTTAATTTACATCCAAAAAATGATATGACTGGGGTTTTACATTGTATATGTTGTATCTTTTGATTTGTAATTGACAGATATGGACATTTTTTAATAATATATTGCACTTAAAAATTTGAAGTTAATAAATAAATTATTCGATCAAGATTAATATCTATTACAAGGTGAATCACAGCTGTTCCTCTACCTCATCTTTACTCTAATAATGTCAAGCTTGAAATGTTTTTTTTTACAAATCTATAGGCAGATAATTATTACTAACCAATAACTTTAAATGAATAAAGACATAGTTTAAAGTCAAAATTCAGAATTATGTCACCTGAAAGGTACATTTTGAGATAGTCTACCAGATGTGATTCGTAGGATAATTTTATTATTATTTTCTATCTGGATTATGATTGACAACAACAAAAGTTTGATATCAAAATGACATATTTTGAAACGGAAAAAAAATAAATAAAAAATCCAATAAATATAGTGTGTGGTATTTTAATTATATCTGTAGAATCGAAAAAAATCAAAATTATGTACAATTTGTGAGAATTATATATATTATATAGTATATTATATATATAAAAAAAATTATTCGTTAGATTTTCCATAAATTTAATAGGTCAAAAACCGCCAAAATAGATCCATCAAAAATGGCCGTAAATTGGACAAAATAAATATTTTGAAGATCAGTTTGTGTGACAAACATTAATAAAAATATTAAATGGTAAATAATAAATATATTTTTAAAATTTAAAAAAAAAATGATTTACAATAAATAATGATATTTTACTTATATTACTATATATAAATATTTTATAATAAATAAACTTTCTTGATTTTTAAAATATCACATTATTTTTCTTTAAAAATATATAAATAAAGTTTTAAAAGATATATAATTAATAAAATAAACTATATCATGTGAGCTTGTTTTTTTTTGGCATTTTATTTGATTAGGAAAGAAATGGCGCTATTATTTTATATGAGCTCCCATACGTTTGAGGGCTAAGAATGCATTTTTAGCTTTCTAATAAATTTAAAAAAAATATTAAGATTATACCATTCAAATTTCATTCATTCATTTACACACTCAATCAATCATTCATTCATTTATGCATACATTCATTCATGACTTGATAACATGTGATTAAATGAATGAATATTTATTTACATTCCATTTTCTTCGAACCACGAATTTTTTGAGATTTCCTTTGGATAATAACTTTTCGGCTTGCGTCATCTTTATTTTTATTATTTTTATCGCATTGTAACAATTAGAACCAAAAATGATTTAAATTTCAAATTCAAACTTAAATTTAATAAAAAAATGCTAATCCGATTAAATACTCTAAGAAAAGAACCAAATTCCTGTAGAAATAATCTCAATTAGGGTTTCCAGGTGTAGTGGTACTACACTGTGTAAGACAATTCTACGTTAAAACCATTTTATCTCCCTTCCATCTTACTCTAAGAAAAGACCCAAATTCCTGTAGAAATAATCTCAATTAGGGTTTCCAGGTGTAGTAGTACTACACTGTGTAAGACAATGCTACGTTAAAACCATTTTATCTTCCTTCCATCTTACAGGCGCTAACATTTACGCTCACAATTATAAGAACTTTGAATAAAGAAATAAAATTTTAAATAAATTTCCATTTATGAGGAGGGGATATGGATAGGAAGAGAGATCAAAATACCCCGACAGTAAAAAACCGGATAACCCTGATCCCGATAGTCCCACGTGATCGAGGAGAACGTTGAATATCAAAATCTGGTTCTAAATTAAATTTCGGGCAAAAATGTGGATTGACACATGACAATAATCATGCCAAATAAAAATAAAATCGTGTCAACCCACAGGTCTTAGCTTGCTCATTATATAGGCTAAGTAAAATGCGTTCTTCCGCAAATTAATTTTCCATCCGTTACCTAGGCTTAAAATATTTGGGTCTGGTTCGGTTTTTTAATTTGTTAATGTTCAGTTTCAAAAAATTGATCTTTAAGACCCAGACCGGAAGTGTGACAATTACAATGTATACGAATTTGGTTTGTATTACATTTTTCATTTAAAAGGCAATATTAATTTTTTAAAATGAACTAACCGTCAACCAGGGGTGTTTTAAGCATTCCGAAGCTGTCATACGTTTTCTTTATAATAATAAAAAAAATAAGTGAGCAAAATATTATATATGAAAGACGGAAAGACAGAAGGAAGGAAGGAAGGAAGGAAGGAAGGAAGGAAGGAAGGAAGGAAGGAAGGAAGGAAGGAAGGAAGGAAGGAAGGAAGGAAGGAAGGAAGGAAGGAAGGAAGGAAGGAAGGAAGGAAGGAAGGAAGGAAGGAAGGAAGGAAGGAAGGAAGGAAGGAAGGAAGGAAGGAAGGAAGGAAGGAAGAAAAGATATAAAAAAAATCAATACTTATTTTTACATCTAAATATTTTATTGGTAAACAAATCTAGCAAAAAAAAATAAGGTTGGACCAGCGTCTACATGAGCGAAAGGGGTAGAAGCAGTTTGCATCCCATTTTTTGAGGGGGTAGGGGGTACGCTGCTTTAATGGGGGGTAGGATAAATTTTTTGGGGTTAGGGTTATCTATTAAATTTTGAGATTAAATAGGACGAAATTTATTGCTGTAAAAATTAATACTTTTATTATAGTTTTATTATATAATACAATTCATCGACCAAATCTATATATCGCAAACAATCGTACACATTGTTTTCCATATAAACTATCCTTTTAAACGTAATTTAAAAGGTTTAGATATTTTAGCAAGCTCATAATGCCATAATAATTAATTCATTGTTAAATAATGTAAGTTTTATTTGGATTTATTATCTAAAAAATAAATTCTTTATATTCACAAAATATCGATAGTTGGTAGTAGAGATAGATTAATTTAAGTTGTCCTTTATAAATTCTCTGAGAAGAGTATAAATATAAAAAGGTGAAAATAATGATAAAGAGACACCGCCGAAGGCGCCGCAAAGTTTTTAGTGGGGTAGGCAAAGGTTTCTGAAGGGTGTTTGCATCCAGTGAAAATCCTGTCATGTAGACGCTGGGTTGGACCAATGGCATTTAATCCTTACCTCGACTGACCGTTCATATATTAAAATGAATTTTGTAACGTGACTAAATTCAAATCAGCTGGGAAATACCATTTTGATTTTTCTCTAACAAGAATTTTTATAAAATCAAAAGAAACTTTGAATCTTCTTTTTAAAAAGTTTAGAATAAAACTTTAATTTAAATTGCTTAAACGGGAAATAAAAATGGCAGCCACCAGCTCTGATTTGTATTAATACCCATTGAATGACCCTAACCCACCCAACATAAGGAATCTGTAACTCAAGGAAATATTTTATTAATTGGAAGAAATATAGTCAAGGTTAAAACAATTAAAAGTCGGATTAAAGGTTAGAAAGATATTGGTTAGGGTTAATTAAGTTTGAGAGATATGGGTTAGAGTTAAGTTATATTAAAAATGGTTTTTAATAGAAAATTTATTCAAATCTGACAGGTCATGTGATTAAAAATTTTCCATGAGTTTGGCCATAATCCCATCGAAAAAGTCTAAGTAAAAGATTACACGTCAGTGGTTTGGACGTAAGTAGCCCTTTAAATTATACAGGATTAATTTTAATAAAGTAGTTAAATAAAATTATACTTCTGGTCCTTGAGGAGTAATTTTGAGATAAAATTTTTGGCGTTTTCCGATATTTCGTCGAAGCTTTCGTCTTCGAAATCCCACTCCAATTTTGTGACATTGGACAAGGTTTCGGCTTCGTTTTGTCCCATAAACGGTGACAATCCGGACAAACTTTTTTTTAAAAAAATGAAATAAAATCTGGAAAAGTCAATCATTATTTTGACATAAAACCTCGATTAGAGGTTACCCAACAATCTCGCCAAACCTTTTTTCCATCATTTAGGAGAAATCTCAATAATATTTGTTTAAAGATCAAATCCAAGTTTCTAAGTAACACTAATCTAAAGGTATTATACACCCTAATTTAATGATGCTTTAAAAAAAAAGAGTTAGAATTAAAAAGAACATATAAAAGAACCTTGCCCAACTAGTTGCTAAACGGTTAGATTTTTAAAAATGGCTAACCCATTATTTTAGCCAAAAAATATACCGGAAGCCTCGATGTCAATAGATGTCCAAATCTTTCTGCCCATCTATGAGCAGAATCTCCCAGGCTTTCTAATATTTTTTTTTGCCTAACATATTGGAATGATAAAGCTTAGGGTGGAAAATCCTACTAGGTTAAATTTACTAAGACAGCTGTCTCATCAACTCTTAGAAGAACTAAGAGTATCTCTAGTCCCCTTAATAATAGTGTATTGCTAACTAAATAGTGCTAAGTGTATGTATGATATAAAAAGATATCGAATCGATTCAAAATAAACAAAATTTGATGACTTACAGGACATATGTGATAATTCCTATACTCCAGAGGTCTGTGCCTTTCCCGATTTTGTCATAATTTATAACTTCGGGAGCTACGAATTCGGGAGTGCCGAACATGACTTTGATATCTTTGCTACCTTCTATCCGTCTCGCCAAACCAAAATCTATTATTTTGATTTGATTACCCGTTTGCGTTATGCATAGTATATTTTCGGGCTTCGAACATGTGTGTTTAATATTTAAAATTAAATTATCTATATATATATACTATATCTACGAATTTTTAGATATTGACAGGTGTCATATCATCCAATTGATTAAATATATCTGACATTTTTTATATATTTCGTGCCAGCCTTTCACTTTTTTCTCTCTCGAAAAACAAAACAACGTATGTTTTTTGTTAGAAAAAGTATATATAATATAATGAGCAGCTGTTCGAGGAAATTACTTTTAAATCGAGATGTAAAATATTTAACGAATGCATGAATTCAACACCCTCGCAAATTTGTCGCATGAACAGAACACAAGATCTTTCGGTTAAGTCAAATTCGTCATCTATGACCCTTTCGAACAACTCACCCCCGGTTATTCTAAAAACAAGAATTAATGAATAGTTTGATAAAAATTTACTTTCTTTCTTTCTTTCTTTCTTTCTTTCTTTCTTTCTTTCTTTCTTTCTTTCTTTCTTTCTTTCTTTCTTTCTTTCTTTCTTTCTTTCTTTCTTTCTTTCTTTCTTTCTTTCTTTCTTTCTTTCTTTCTTCCTTTCTTTTTATTTTAGTAGTAAAATTTGAATATATAATATACATGACATATGGAATATAGATATTCGTTCTACACCCGGTTTATAAAATATATATAAATAAAACTAACAGCTCGAGTATGAGAACCATAGTTTTTCCGTAGTCGTAGGCATCGTAGAGTTGAAGGAGTCGGCGATGTTGTAAGGATTTCATTATATCGATTTCGTTCTCGGTTTCCTTCCTGATTTGAGGACTCAGAATATCTATTTGCTTGCAAGCTAACCACTGATTCGTCTTTTTCTCTTTGCATTTATAAACTGTCCCAAATTTGCCCCTTGGGAAAAGACAGAGGTAATAATAATGATAAATGTAAATTTAACGTTTTTTTTTTACTTTCCGATCTCCTCCATAATATCGTAAGTCTGCGTGGGTTTTTCGTTTGTTTTAATGACTATGTTACGTTTTTGAAAAGGCACCTCTGTTTTAAAAATAAATTTAAAAAAACTATAAAATTTATCACTTCATATATCTTAAAGCGAACAATATTAAATAGAATATATTATTACGCCTTAATTATTCTCTTTAATTACTATTTTTGGTTGCCAAGCTATAAGCCGCCACAATAGCTTCTTCTTCTTTATTTTTACTTCTAATACGCTCATTACAGATTGATCCTGAAAATGATTAGAAACCACTTAAATACAATCCAAAACAATCCACTTAGCACTGCTTTATTTTTATTCCTTTCTAATCTTATAGGAATCATCAAAACCGCACCCATTTAAAAAAAAAAATTCACCATAGTAAAGTAAACGGACACATCTATAAAGTGACTAAAATATTTTTAGCGAGACTTAAAATTAATACGACTCACGTATAACCCTAACCCTAAAACCCTACCCTCTAACCCGAGTCCTAAAACTAACCCTAAAACCCTACCCTAACTCTAACCCTAGAACCCTAATCCTAAAACCCTACCCTAATCCTAACCCCAGAACCCTAGACCTAACACTAACCCTAAAACCCTACCCTAACTCTAACCCTAAAACCCTAGTCCTAACACTAACCCTAAAACCCTACCCTAACTCTAACCCTAGAACCCTAATCCTAAAACCCTACCCTAATCCTAACCCCAGAACCCTAGACCTAACACTAACCCTAAAACCCTACCCTAACTCTAACCCTAAAACCCTAGTCCTAACACTAACCCTAAAACCCTACCCTAACTCTAACCCTAGAACCCTAGTCCTAACACTAACCCTAAAACCCTACCCTAACTCTAACCCTAAACCTAACACTAACCCTAAAACCCTAACCCTAAACGAATATAAAATTATATAGGTGAAAGAATATTAAAAACAAATATTTATAAGGATGGCAAATTTATTGAATAAATAATAATTTTTTTTTTACCATATTCCTTTTCTATTTCACTGAGTAAAACTTTACTCATCGATAAAAAAAATCAGCTGTAATTTTTCTTTGCAAAGGATGGGTTAGAAGAATTTCGTTGTTTGCTTTAATTTGATTGGTTAGTTTTTTAAGCCTTGAAAAATTTTTGATTACGAAGAAAAAAATAATTGTTTTTTTATTATATATATATATATATATAAAACATAGGACTAAATATTAATATGGTTTTATGTCGCAAGTCTGATCTAAACGATGTTTATTTAAAACCAGTGGATTTCTAAAAAGTGTAATGGGAATATCTTTCCCCGATTACCATTTTTTTTCTCGTAGTTCTTTTCTCGGGTTCGGTTTCTTTAACTCGCAAACCGGTATAGGAGCGAATGAATAAGAACCTTTTGAAAATATTACTTCGGGATTGGTTGAATACCCAAAATAAAACTTAGAGATGTTCAAATAAAATTCTATTTTATTTGTTTAAATTGTAAATAAAAAAATTATTTATATTAAAGTAATGATAAACAATTCATTTTATAACACTATTTAATTAAAAAAATATATTTAAAAAAAAAAACAAATAATGAATGAATGATATATTAAAAATTTAATTTACATAATAATTTATGAAGAAAAACATCAAAAATGCATGTCACCCTAGAGATGAGTGAATGCTTAAAAAGATTGGAAACGGCTGGCGAAGGTAAAATCCTTCATTGAGGCCCCCCTTATGATTTAAATGAAATCGAGGGCCTCACTTCCGAATATGCCTAGGGTATTGGTAACGATTGGTAAATCAACACAGTGTTGGTGTGGTAAAAAAAAAAGGAATTTTGATTCCTCATTGGCTGTTAGATAATATTATAACCATAAACACATCTCCCATCAAGTCTACAAAAAAAAAACTCCCAGAGAATTCTAGAATATTAAATGCTAATCCTAAATTTCTTAGACCCCGCCAAAAATCGTCCACTTGAACACGTGACACGAGTTGCACATATTGTAATATAGCAATATAACTCAAGACACATAGCAATAAACTCTACGATGATATGATTTACGCGACAAATGGCAAATGATTTGAGTTTTTTTTAAAAAATCGCGACAACTAGCTTTTGGCGACCTCAAGTCGCGCGCGCGATCGGTAACTATAAATACGATGTGGAAATATGACTGATTACAATTTACTCTTTCTAAGAAAAGAAAAGAAAAGAAAAAAGAAAAGAAAAAAGAAAAGAAAAAAGAAAATTACTATAAAGATAATTGCCATAAGGAAGATATTTTTTTATAACCCGGCAGAAGGTCGTGGTTTATTTAAAAACTATACTATTTGAACGATAAGCTACACTACAAAAGCCGGGTTTAATATTTTAAAATTTTGATCAAGTCATTATTAAACCAACTAGAGTTGCCAAATACCTGGTTTTAATCATAATATATAAATAATAAATATTGTATTATTATTTTCTAATTTTATATTAGTTTAAACTTTAAAAAAAAATGTATATAAAAGGATTATAAAATCAATTATTTCAAAGAAAAAAAAATACAATTTAATCCAGATGTGACAAATAAGTTAAAATTGAAAAAAAAAAAAATTGATTTTAAAAGGAAGCGAGGAAAAAGGAGGGAATGGAATGAGGAAAATTTTTTTTAATTTAATATTCTTTTATCTTTAAAGATGAATGCTGTGTATTTTTTACGTGTAAGAAAACTTTTAACCAGATAAATTTAATTGCCGAATCATTTTAAATTATAATAGTATATAGCAGCTAGTCCTGTACGGATAGATCTGAGTCTAAAGACCTTCCTCTAGAATTGGTTGGAGTCTAACAAATTTCTAAATTAAAGATCGATGGATTTTTTTTTGGGGGGGGGGGGGGAAATCTCGGTTTCGATCGTCGAGTTGATTCGACCCAGGGCTCTAGTCTGAAAGACTAAACTCCTCACCTGATCTCGGTGTAGCTAAACGCTATGGCTACTGTCACTGCCACTATCCAGAAATGTAGCGCGCAAAAATTTAAAGCTACTTTTCAAAAAAAAAAAAATAAGAGCGGGAATATTATCGGTTGCATGATCATCTTATTGGTCGATTTTATATTTAAAATAGCAAATAAAAAGGCTTTGTTTTTAAAAAATTGTATAAAAAATATCGATAATCCGAAATTTAACTGTAAAATAATATTTAGACATTATTTATAATGTAACAGATTATTATATTTCATTTAAAATTAGCCAAGTGGCGTAACTAAAGTTTTTCAAAGAAAATATAAGATCACTCTCTAATTCGTAATTATTAATATTTATTCATTCATTCCTTCATTCCTTCCTTCCTTCCTTCCTTCCAAAAAAAATAGTTATATACATAACAAATAACGAGTATAGGGATAAGAATTGAACGTCTCGGTTAACCAATTTATTAAACGAATACCAAATTTTTATTAACCTATTTCATAAAATATATGTTGAATTTTCAATCCCGCCCCCCCTCTCCTCTTTCAGATTTTTCTCAAATTTATATAAGAGTTATATTAAATATTTTAGCCCTTTAACCCCAACGGCTGAGATATGGGTTTCTAAAGGTCGATTGGACCAAATGTGGCTTCATTTAATTTTAAATATATTTGGATATTATAATTTGAGCTACGAGCATCATTCAAATTTCTTTATATAGCCCATAGACCTTCAAAGTTATTATAACGTCAAAATATTGTGTTCAAAAAAAATATTAAATGAAAACCGGAAATGGTGATAAAATCAAATTGGCATTTTATTAATTTTTTTTTTTATGTAATTAGATTATGGGATCATGAATAAAGTAAGCAAATTTTCAAGTTGGGAGATCAAGTTGAGGAAATCATGCCATTTTATATTATTAAGTGGTGTTGCTAAACGGCTCTATTCGAGCCGATTCTTTGAAGACGGCTAAGTCAATACTTTAGCCAGAAAAATATTACCTCTGCCTCGAGACGAGATTCCCTTGAGACCGCTAATAGATTTTCCAAATCTTTTGAGCATTTTAGCAAAATCTTTAGGCTTGAGAACAATATTCTTTCAGGATAAAACATTAAGTTCTTTCTTTCTTTCTTTTTTTCTTTTCATTTTTGAATTATAATTTATTGATGATCAAAATTCAAATTTACGATATATTGAGTAAAATCAATAATTGATAATTTAAACTTTATAATTTCATTTTCCAGGAAGTGGAACAAAAAGCAGGAGAGTTTGGTCTCTTTTGAACAAGATATTTATTTTTTAAAATATTCATCACCATTTTACATTACAAGTAATTAATACCAGTGATGATTGGCATTTGTAAAAATTCAATGAATCCAAGGTGTTTGATATATGATTCCTCATATGAACGCTTGGAGGTATAATATAGTTCTCTTTCCGATAACCTTTTGGTAACGTTTGCCATGAGCGATTTCCGCTTTTGATTCCAAAATCAAGTTCCGTGAATGGCTCAGATTATGAATCTTATTCATATTAGTGAGCTGCATCGGGCCGGATTTTTCGAACCGGGCCGGGTTTAGGCCGGGTACGGGTCTGGCCCAATTTTGCAGATGTTTAATTCATATATTGAGTATACTATTAGTGTTGAAACATCCCGATTTAGATTTTAGCCAAATTAATATTATAATAAACTTTTATATCTTGGAATATAATTCCACTAGGATCTCATGAAATGAGTATTCTCTTCAATTTGATTTCTCTCTTCTCTCTTTTTTTTTTTAAAAAAAAACCTAAATTGGTATAAAAACGGGGTTTTACCAGGAATCGTATTCAACTTATTTTTAATCGGAATTATAGAATTTTCTTTGGAGTCTTTTGCTATACTTGCCAAAGGATTGCGACTTAGAAAAATTCTTTCCTGTTTTCTCCTCACAAAGATTTTTATGAAATCGTCAATATCTGGAATTAATTCTTTTATTAACAAGCACAGTATAACAGGAATTAGGCATGCGCTACTGGCTGAACCACTTTATCCACCCCTATCTTCCCTAATTGGAACACCCCTCATCATCTACAGATTTAGCAATTTCGCTTATAATGATTTCGCGTTCGTCGTTTAATATTTGAAATTATCTTGTGGAAAAAAATAAAAAATTTACAACATACATAATTTCTTTATTATTTTTTTTTAAAACGAATTTTATCGTTATAATTGATTGACTGGTTAATCAATCCAATGAAGTCCATTTCTGAAGCCTTCACCGTATGTTTATTCCAAAATGGCGAGAATTATAGGAAACGATAACCCCCCCCCCCATCCTCCACCCCACCTTAACAATTAACAAATATTTATTATACGGTATACCTCGTGACCCTGGACCAATGACATACAATAATAACTAGACCGACGATGCACTGATTATTAAAAGTGTACATCAAAGAAAACAGCTGGGGACACCATTTTGATTACCCGTATCGTTCTTAAAAATTTTTAAACGAGAAACCAATTTATTCCTACGCCTGACGCAAACTTTATTAAAAGAAATTGCCTACCATATGGGTTACCAAAATGTCGGCTCCAGCTGATTTTGCGCTCAACGACTCTTTCAAATGCATCATTATGAATGCATCTTCGGGGTTCGGACCAAGTTGAAATTTTGCCAATTTATTAATTAGTCCTATATCATCTTATATATATATATAAAAAAAAATTTAAGAGAGAAAAAAAAATGGTCGATTCGATGTCGCCATTATTTCTGGGTTTTTTGACATTCCCATTTTTTTTAAACAATATTTAGCTCTACCATTAGGTTATATAAATAAATTTGAACGACGCTTGTAGCTCAATTATTTCGAGGGAGCGCATTGTCCCGAATATGCCTCATTTTTCTAGAGCTTCAGAACCTTCAGAAGCCCGTATCTCAGCCGATGTCTGAGGGAGTCGGGTTGAAACTTATGTCATCGATTTATATAACCATATTTTTCTAACTTTTTTAAACCCCCCCCCCCCCCCCCTGCTTCCTAATCCTAAGTTAACGTTTCCGAGAAGGGGTTCGGGTCTCGAGATGGATTCTGAGCCTCATTAGAAATCTGTACTCTCAACCTGATTTACAAAAAAAGAGTTTTTTAGAATATTCAGAAGAATAACAATATCATTATACTCAAATAAAACACATGGAAGATTTTCAAAAAAAAAAAAAAAATTGTATCAATTATCTTATAAATCCGCGGAAAAAAAATATATTTTAAATTTATGTGTCATTTAAAAAAATAAAATAAAAATATTTAAAAGAGAATTGGCATCGATCGCCAAATCTAAAATCATATGTCCCTAAATCAAGACGAAAAAAAAAATAATATAATTTTTCTATTTTCAAATGTATATAGCCATCCACAAAAAAAAGCTTATTTAAAATCTGTTATATAAATGCAAAAACAGAAGAATATAAAAACTAATCACTTTATTAATTACTATTAAGTTGACGCAAAAAAAAACAATATTTCCGCCAGTAGGTAATAAACGTTATAAAATAAAGAGAAAATAAGTATGAAAGAAAAGAAAGAAAGTAAGTAAGTAAGAAAGAAAGAAAGAAAGAAAGAAAGAAAGAAAGAATTTTTAGTCATAGCTGAGTTTAACGCAAAATTTATCCATTTAAATATATTATATGTATTTTTTTTTTTCAAAAAATCAATTCATAGCGGGCAAAATTGTTTGTGTAAGTTGGTACAAAGTAAAATGTTAAAAAAACCGTTATAATATTTGGTATCCGAAACTGAGCCCTTAAACCAAATAGTCCGCACGAATTAAGCCTTTCAAAACCGGTTATAATTAGCGGCTTATCCGAAACTTATACTAAAATCGAAACCTTCTATAACTTCTAAGCATTTTTTGAGGTCAATTAAATTTAAAACGGTATTTTAATGTTTTTTTTACATAACAAATTGGAGATTAATCCAGTGGCATAAAAGTCACATAGGTATAAGGCTTCCAGAAAATCGAATTCTTATATGTAAGAATCAAATAACGTATTCTAACGTCGAAATTTATATCTCCCCTCCCCCCCCCAAAAAACACAACTAATTTATCATATAATTTAATTTTACGACAACATAAAACGGACAAATTTCAAAGATTTTATTGGACCATAACGTTAGATTTCGGTACTATAATAATTTTGATAAAAATAAGAAAAGTCACTCTTTTACAAAGGCGCATGCGCATAAAGTTTTTAAATTGTTTGTCATTTTTGAATCATGAGATGACGATTTCTGATAATCATATTTCTGCCTATATATATATATTAAAAAAAAGGGATGTAAAAGTGTCACATAAATACGAGACAAATAAAATATTTAACTGCGTTTAATTTTAAGTTTGATTAATTTGCGTCAAACGAATAATTTCAAAATATTTACTAATATATTTTCATTTCAAATGAAACAAACTTTCTTGTACAATTGTTTAACTTGCTGCAGACACGTAATTAGCGGCTGGGAAGGAGCTAGTTCCCTTCAGCGAGAATTTGCCTGTATTACGTAAATATCATTTTGCTAATATAAAATTTACTCTCTACACCCTCCCCCCCCCCATACATACCCCCAAAAAGAATTTATACAATATATATATATATACCTATAAAGAAGAATTATTAGTTAAAAGTTTAAATTACTTTTTAAAAATAACGACTTAATGATTCAAAATTTTTAGAAAAAAAAGGAGTTTAAATAGGCAGAGATATACAGTAAGCGGACCTAAGGACACCCAATAAAATTTATAGCGGAAAGCCCCACCCTAATAGTGACCCCCCCCCACCCGGTTAATCTTGGATACGGTTAATGTTTTAAAAACAAATATCGGTTACTGGTAATTTAAAGCGATCGCCCGCTTATGTCAAATTTTAAAACGAATTCTCGTCGAAATAAACCAACCATTTAATTTTAGCAACCGGAAACGGAAACCGTAACCGTTATAAATTTTAGCGGTTTTGGTGAAACGGAACCGCAAACTAAACAAAACGGTTCGGATACCTAGGTTTTTTTGTGTACTTGACCAATATTCTCTAATTAATTATCCTAATTTTTTTTAAGAAAAGGCTTTCATTTTCTATATTATTTTTTTTAAAATTGTCACTTATCCATCTATCACGAATTTTTTTCGATAAGTTTAAGAGTCAACACGCTTCTTTTACTATCAGATCAGCATCAGTAATCGGCAGTGCTAATGAGTCATTCGCGTGCGACAAATTTTAGTTTTTTTTTCCTCTCCTAGTGGATAAATTAAACTTGCATTTCTTTTAAATCTTCTCGCGTTACATATTAAACAAAAAAAATATTGCCAAAATCCGACCTTCAACTTCATCGTGGCGCGGAGAGTGGCAACGTCTTTTGGCGGCTAATGAAGGTCTAATAGGTTCCCTGTGGTCTGGGTCTAGAATAGGATCACCGTTCTCTTCGACGGGGTGTAAAAACCAAGGGAGTTGATGTCAGGAAGGGCATTCAATTGTAAAAAAAAACCTTTGCTACAAAATTTCCTAATGAATAAATCGGAGGGAAAACTGGCCAACCTTGGTTAAGAGATGAAGATTTATATATATAGATAGGTTTTTTAGATCGTTAAAGCCCTGTTAGCAGACCTATTCTCTTTAGTGTCCAAGCGATCAAATCTGGGAATCGCGTTTTGTTTTTTCATGAAGATTTGGAAAACCACCAAAAAAATAATAATTTAAAATTTAAGTCGAGTTTCGGAATTAGGTTTAAAATAATTTTTTTTTAGAATCAAAATTCGAATTCGAACGAGACAGAGAGAATGTCGGTTTGACGGATTCGAACTCGAATCCGGTGCCGAGTTTTGTAGCTTTCCCAACCGACTAGTCCTAATAGAAAGAAAGAAAGAAAGAAAGAAAGAAAGAAAGAAAGAAAGAAAGAAAGAAAGAAAGAAAGAAAGAAAGAAAGAAAGAAAGAAAGAAAGAAAGAAAGAAAGAAAGAAAGAAAGAAAGAAAGAAAGAAAGAAAGAAAGAAAGAAAGATATTCCTATTATTTTTAAATAATAATGATTCAAAATGCATAGTAATGAGAAGTCATTAAATTCGTAAAAATAAATAAATAAAAATTAAGCATAATGAAGATCGGTGCTTTAAATTTCCCAAAGAATCGTAAGAGATTAGAGACGTTAAAGTGGAATAGCAAAGAGGATGAACTCCGATGTCAGGCGAACAACATTAATAATGTGTGTAGTATATCATCCCGATAAGAATTAGACACAACTATTATATATATTCGTAACGAATAGTGTTGTTAAACGGCTCGTTTTGAGCCGATTTTTAAAAACGGCTAACTCACTATTTCAATCCAGACTGAAGATTTAGCTTATAGAAGGAACAAAAGTCTAGCCATATATTATCGAAATCTCGGAGGCTTAGGCAATATTTTTTCCGGCTAAGATATCGAGTCAGCCGTTTTAAAAAATCGGCTCAAACCGGGCCGTTTAACAACACTAGCTTAACGAATTGCGAAATATTTTTCTTAATTCCTGATAATAAATTTTTCAATATTTAGTAAGGAATGTATAATTAAAACTTCTAAAAGTTCTCCTATTTTTTTTTTTTAGGATGCGATTTAACCGGTATGATTGATATATTTTTAATTATTTTACAATACAATACAAGAGGTGCCATTTGCACGAACCGGCCCGACACCGGCCCGGTTTTTATATTTTCAGGGCCGTCCCACCCCGGATTATAAAAAATTAAAATCCGGCCCGGCCCGTGGCAATGTATATTGTTTGTAAAATGGGATGTGAAATCCGTAATTGATTCTTAGATCTCCTCGAATTAAAATCATTTCGAGGGCGGCGATTTTTAAAAAATAATTTTTCAATTTCCAATTTAACCGGAAATGTATGAATCAGGTGTAGAGCGAGCATCTATCCTCATAAAAAAAAATTAATATATAAATTAAGAAATAGTTTTTAAAGTTCAAAAGCAAAAATTGTTTAAAATTCAAAGTGCTGGTCAAATCGGGCAAAAATTGGAGGAGGGGTGGGTTATAATTATTTATCAATTACTTAGTGGGGAAATATAGAAACTGTCGATTCTTAGCACCCCCCTAAATTAACATTTCCACCGCGTTTATTTGGCCACTAGGAAAATAAAAATTGGAAGAGTTAGTAGGGGGGGGGTGATGTATAAAATTATTTAGCGTAATCGCATTCACTGTGAATGTGAGGTGAGTAAGTCAAAACATGATAATCTAATCTTTCTTTCTTTCTTTCTTTCTTTCTTTCTTTCTCTCTTTCTATATTCCTAAATTTATTTGGGTTACGAAATTTTATTTATAATGATTATAAATTAATTTGAAAAAAAATAGGCCGAAACACGTGAATTACTCGAAAGCTAGAAAATATTTTTAATGGACGTTAGATATTTTTAAAATTGAAACGACAAGCCTTCTTAGCATTCTATAAGTGAGTGATTAATAATGCATTTGAAAACGTCGTCTAATGCTAAATCAGCTGGAGCCGCCATTTTGGTAACCCATACAGTAATTATTCTCGGGTTAAAAAACGATACTATTAAATCGATAACTCGCTTCCTTGTTATCTCGATGATCAGGGCAATTCTTTAATAAAGATGGCGTCAGCCATAATTAAATTGGCTTCTCGTTTTAAATTTTTTTAATAATTTTATAAGTAACCAAAATGGCGTCCCCAGCTGTTTCTCGCGAGATGTGAACTTTTAATGAATGCGTCGTCACAGTCTAGGTATTATTACATGTCACATTGCCTTAACCTTATCCAGGCAGGAGTATAATGAACGTTATTTTTTTTTTGTACGAGTATAATAAATTTCTCGGTTATGGAGGGAATGCCTGGTTTTGGGCGTATTGCTAAAGTTGGACTGACAGGCGTCTAACTGAAATGAAAATTCGATTTACACTGATGTGGGAGTTAGTGCGAATTAGTAAGCTTAAAAAAAATATAGCAAAAAATGATCCCATTTTAGTTAGACTTTTATTAGAAGAGATTAAAGAAAGATTTTGAATTTTTGGAAATTAACTTAGAAAAAAAAAACAAACAAAAAAAACATGTTTTTTTTTTAAAATACGTATTAAGCTTTTTACGATCCAAAAAAACAATATTCTATAATGTCACTGATGGAGAATGATTTATAAAATATTGATAATAATATTTTGGATCATTAGAACAAATATATTTCCAATAAATTTTATCTTCCTAAATTTTTTTTATCTCATTTTTAATTCCCTCTCTTCTCTCTTCTATATCATTCCATTTAGGAAAAAAAAATTGAATAAAACAATGTTTCAAAATTTTATAAAGATAAAAGATAAGGATGAAAAAAGTTATAAAATAAAATTTAAAAAAAACTATAATATTTTTCTTGTCATTTTTTCTAAATTTTTTGCAATAAAAATTATATATTTTTTTAAAAATTTTTCAGGATCAAGGTTAAATAGTTTGAAATTTTTTAAAATTCAATAATAAATTTTTATTTTGAAAAATTAAAAAAAAAAGAGAGAAGCAAATAAAACAAAATAAAACAAAATTTTATAAGTAATAAATAAAAATAATTAAAATTTGAGATGGAAAATAACTGATTCATGGGAAGCAAGAGAGCTTTGAAGCTTCCTTAGAATCGTGAACAATGGATTCCAACTGATATTGTGCAGACATCTAACCTTTTGGCCAGCTCTCAAACAAATAACTGATTCATGGGAAGCAAGAGAGCTTTGAAGCTTCCTTAGAATCGTGAACAATGGATTCCAACTGATATTGTGCAGACATCTAACCTTTTGGCCAGCTCTCAAACTGCTTTAGCCAAGTTATTAGGTCTAAAAAAATAGTCTTATCATTAAGTTGCGGGTTAAACCTTCAATTTTTTTTAAGGGGATAATCTTGACCACACCATATTGGAGTTTGGTCATCGTTGGGTGATTTAACATAACTATAATTAGTCAAATTTTCGTATTAAAAGTCAATAATTTAAATTAAACTAGGCTGGGGAAAGTATTTTGTATTTCTTTTAATATATTAATTGTTATTATAAATCGATGAGTATATAAGGCATTTATTAAAAATGAATAATATTAGGTGTTAAGAAGTAGTGTAATTAAAACGCGTCCATTTTTAAAAATGGCTAACCCAATATTTTAGCCATAATAGCCCAAGTGATTTCGTTAATCTGCCAACTATGAGTGTATTTTTCTAAAAGTGACCAGATACATTTGAAGTTACATTCCAAAATATGTATAATCACACTAATATATTTGGCAAAAAAAAATGTAAGTAGAACTAAATATGCATATAATTTTGAAATCTGGCTTTGAAAAAAAGTTAAGGCTCTCAATATTTTTTAACAGAACTCTTTAGAACCCCTCCTCATCCCCTTTGAACCAATTAACCCCGAGCCCTCCTTCCCCGATGATTCTAATATACAAGTTTTTTTTAAAAAAATTTTTGGTCGGTTTGACAAGTTATATATATGAAAAAAAAATGAGCATTCTTGGAGGAATATTGCCTTTCCATCCCATACAGAATCATTGATATTTGTTTTTATAAAAAATTTTTAAATCGCCGTTAAAATTAGATACTTAATTTGATTATAAAAACTTATACATCATTGTCCCATATATTTTGTGTCTGCATGAAAAAAGGGTTAAAAAAAAATTTCCGCTATTTTAAAGCCATCTAGTGATGTTAAATCACCTAACTTTGAACAACTCCAATATGGCGTGGTCAAGACTATACCCTAAAAAGTTGACTTAGATGTCTAGGTTTAGCCTCGACTTAATGATAGAGACTAACTTGGCTAAGCCGTTTTAGCGCTGGCCAAAGTTAGATGGGGTGCACAATGGACGCTTCATATTATTCTAAAGGTTCCACCAATCATCGCAGTATGATGGGCATCCTCGCCATTCAATTATGATATAATATAAATCCTTATAGAAGCATCAATAGCTTCAATAAGACCAAAAATCTCTTCTTCTTCTTCTTCACCTCTGAATCCGTTGCCCCCCCCCTATCTCGTTCCCAGGAAATGTGGATAACGACCGTTTATTAAGATATTAAGGAGAAAATAAAATATTCAGAGATCAGAATTAGATTGTATTGTTATCCAGAAATCTTAGCACCGGTTATGGAAAAATCCAGAATATAATTTATTTCTTTTTTTTCTTGGTGTAATTTTATTTTGCGGTTTTTTTTAATATACGTTTAAAAAATTTTTCATTATAATTCAAATTTTTTATATTTAATCTTTCTTTCTTTCTTTCTTTCTTTCTTTCTTTCTTTCTTTCTTTCTTTTCTTTCTTTCTTTCTTTCTTTCTTTCTTTCTTTCTTTCTTTCTTTCTTTCTTTCTTTCTTTCTTTCTTTCTTTCTTTCTTTCTAGTTATAAATAATCTTATATAAACGTGGTATTTATTTTTAATATCAATAAAAGACAAAAGACATAAAAAATTTTAATACAATAAACGGATGTCAAAATATGGTAATCATTTATTTATATATATATTAACATCAACGCAAAATATCAAAATATTTAAAATTTTCTTTGGCCAATTGATAAAAGCCTATATTCTCTAAAGGAAAAAATTTCCCGGTATAAAACTAGCAATTCTAATAGTATGGCTAATACCATTATACCATTATATCTTTCCAAAGATAACCGATTTTTTTTAGAATATTAGAAACTTTAAAGGTTAAATCATATCAGTGCAAATATAATTTTATTTAGACTTGACCCTTTAATCTTATATTATATAAATATTAAATATTAGATGCGTTTTTATTCAAATGCAATGGACTGACTCAAAGATAATCATAAATTAGAAAGCTAAACCTAAAAAAAAATCGATTTAGATAGTTGAGGCAAAATCAATTTAAGAGAATTTCTCTTCTTTTAATAAACCATGTCAGCCACAAAATAAAATATGTGCCCGATTGCTGGAGTTTTATCCTAAGGATATATCATATTTCCATCTTTAAGAGTATATCGTTATCTCTTGTATATCGGTGTCGATATCAAGATACTTTTGAAAAGTATTTCTTTAGAGGATTTTGCACAAGTATAGTGTAAATATTAGTATTTTAATGTATATATCGCTCGAACCAAGATCGGTTAGTGGCTTAGGGGAGGGGATCCAAGGAGAATTAAGTTCCTGAAGAATAGCCGATTTCCTCTTTTTATTAATCAGTATTATTTATTTATTTTTTTTTAAATAGATTTTTATAATAATTTCTAGAACTTTGCGTCCTGCCTAATTTCCTACATACATCCCACGTGACTTCTTATTTTTGGGGAATTAATCCAATAATATCCGAGCCAGTTCTGGAAAAAAAAATCATCTAGAATATCTATTCAATATTCCTCGTTGGAATATTTCTTACCCTCATCTATTTAAGCCTCATCTATTTAAGTCTATAAGTATTTACTGATTACTTTTATTCGAGGATTTATAAGCACACCTTAAATATCAAAAATAATCATGGGGTCTTTAGAGTCAGATAGTACAGTCTAAATCCTATATTTATTTAAAGAACTGAAGTTTATTTGGAACTACTTTTCTATTTTAGCTAATATACTCATTTACTAAAAACACGTGAATATGGGTGGCGCATAATTCAACACCTCTTAAACTTTACATCTGTTTTACAAGGTTTGTCGATAATTATATGGAGGATGGACCTTCATATAATTCTTCGCTCATTTTTGAGCAGGTCTGTGAGCAACGTGCAAGATAAGATAAGATAAAAGAGGCTATATTTTATAATTTGGCTAAAGTCCGCCCAATCCCCGTTCGGTTTAATTATCGTTTGGGGATATTGACCAATAATATGATTCCAATACCATAAATTATTCGTATTTGTAAACAACCAATGAAAATAATTTTCTATTCATAATCATAACAAACAATGGGCTTATCTGATTGGTCCATTGTTTTTATAAAAAAAAATCGAAATCACCTTTAAATGGTCCAGTTATGTCGTCGGCCTAGAAATTTGGAGTGTTGCGCTTGCGCAATCGACGTTTAAAGTTTTAAAATCAAATATAGGATTTTGAAGGAGCTATAACTTTGGGCAAAAATTAGCACGTATAACTCAAAACATTTTGAAAAAGTCGAGTGGAGTGGAGCTCTCCAAATTCTAGACCGACTATGTGACAATTAATTTATATGATCTAACCTGGATGAACGATTCCTGCTTCCGATGCGATAAGAAATAACGGGATTCCTAAAAGGAATTTATAATATCGAATTAAATGATTAAATATAATATTTTCGCAATAAAGTTTTGTTTGTTTGTGCCAAAGACGAAGAGAAGAGCTACTAATGTCAAAAAATTTTAAATTTTGACAAAAAAATGTTCTTTTTATTAATTAAAAATATTTTATTATTTTAATTTTAATATTTAATTTTTTTATTTAATTATTTTTTAACCAAAAATAAACCAATCAATAAATAAATAAAATAATAATATCGGAAACAAAAACAAATCAATAAATAATTTAGTTGAACTTGAACTTATTGAACATACTAATTTTTTTTATAAATAAAGTTATAGATTTAAGGATTGTAAGGATTAATCAATCCTCAATTCCTCTGTTCACAATATTTAATACGTTAAAGATAATAATAAATTTAATTATTTATCGAAAAATCACCCTAGTGTGTGATTTGGAAAAATACAAAGATATTTTATATTCATTTAATTATTAAATTTTAATGTTGAAAACATTTTTAAAAAAATTGTGTTTGGAAACATAAGGTCATAAACATAATTAAAATCATGTTACAAATTATGAATTTACCAATAATTGTTATTATATTACACGTTGTAAGCATCTGACTCTTGGACTTGTTTGTTAATTCATTTAATAATAATGTAGTAATCATTTTTTTTTATACGTGTGTGATTTTGATTGATCTACGAATATCAAATTTTTTAAAAATAGTTTAAACCTATTATTTTATATCTATAAATAATTAAATGAATCGTTTATAAAATTTTTCTTCTCCAATCCCAAAGATTTTCGATGTCATTCCCAAAGCTATACCGCGAAAGGTAGAATTCATTTTGATGGACCCCCCTCCTCCCCACATTCCGCAAATGCAAAAAAGAACAGCATCCGGTTGATAAATTCCATTTATTTTTTTACCTAAAGTTGATTCTTGGAATATTTTTTTTTGAATATTCCATTTTTTTTTTTAAAGTTTTCGATGACGTAATAATTTTTTATATTTTTTGATTGATTAATCGCAGGAAAAACTCAGCAAGCTCCCCCCCCCCCCGATGCGTAATATTTTATATTTTATTTTTCCCAATAATCATTTTGTTTTGACAAATTTTAAAATCATTTTCAAAAAAGAAGATATGTATAATACCTATTTATATTAATATATAATTTATGACAAGAGGAAAATTATGTTAGTATCGCTCAACCTTAATTACATGACATAAAATGAAAAATAGCGAAAATTCTGTTATTTTTTTAAAAAAAAAAAAAAAATGCTAGCTAAGCATCGTTGAGTTGGAAAATGAATATATAAATCTTAAAATTTGCAAACCTTGGCATGAATCGTAATCATCGCTGGAAAGCAGGGGGTTATAACGGTTCCAGTTTGTACGTAGAGCATGTAAAATATTATAATGGTTACACGGATCTTAAGAGAAAAAAAAACAGCTAATTATTTAAGGTCTATAAAAGGTAGAAATTTTTTTTTTTTAAATTATAACGAAGCAAGACCATCCGTAAACTGATTGACTGATGATTTCTTTTATCGATCCCTTTCAAGCTAGTGTTGTTTTAAAAAAGCTCGATTCTGGTTTAAAATAATCATATGGTAAACCTAGAGATTTGGCAAGTTGACGTATACATATGCCAATCTCTACGAGACAGGTTCTCCGGGTATACATCATACTATTACTTTGGCTTGAATCTCGAATTCTTTCTCCTCTGTGCAAAAAATTAAACTAACGTGTTTTTAAATCCAGTTTTAATTCCCCGATGATAGAAATTAAATGACTGCTCAAATAGAAATATCATGGCTAGGTTTTCGAATATTGATGGCAAAATAGGTTTGGAATTTTGCAGTTAGGGATTCGTATTCTTTAGAATGACGCCTTTTTCAAATTAGCTCCATGGATCACCTTTAAGTATGATTTTTGCGCTTATCCTTATATTACAGGTTTAATTCATTTAAGGAGAATCTTATAAGTAAAAAAAAAAAAAATTTAATTTTTTTTATTAAGGCAAATTATGATAAATTTTTACGTATTATTAACATACAAATGATAGCCATAGAGGAGAGATATAGACTCCACAATTGACATTGGAAACCGTACATACAAAATTTTTGGGGGTCTGGGCGGATTTTACTTATAACTTTAACGGGCCGGGTTGTTACGCGCCGGACAAATTTATTCAAAATTATAACGGGTCGGGCCGGATTATGAGGTTAGAATAAACGTATATCGTAAGATTTAGGATATCGAATAAACTAATTAGAATTTCAAATTCATCGTTCATATCTAAAGCCACATCATGTGGATTAGTGTTTTAAAACCATCTAACTTTGGCCAGCTCTAGAACGGCTTTAGCCAAAGTGTTTAGTCTAAAAAAAATTGTAACTATCATTAAGTTGAGGCTAAATTTAGAGGTTTAAGTCAATTTTTTTATGGGAATAATCTTGAACACACCGTATTGGAGTTTGATCAATGTTAGGTGATTTAACATCACTAATTGTGGATATTATTAGTTTAATAATTTACAGTTCCTGACACCTAAAATAAATAATATAAAAAAACAGCATTTGCAAATATTTTGCGTTTCAAGACCACACAAAAAATCTATATGTTTCATAATAAAGGCTAAAACTCTAACCAATGCTTTAAAATATACTCACATGACATGATGCTTAGATTCTATAAATAATATATTTAAATTAAAAACCTTATAAATTTTGTCATTTTTTTGAAATTCATATAGGAATAATGACCCCTCTATCATGCTACCCATGGCGTAGGTGGTGATAATATACTTAAATTAAATTAAAAAATGAAACGTAATCAAAAATCTACAAAAATTGGTTATTTTAGTTATTTTGCATCAACTAAAATAGAGTAAATAGGAATGCTCTGATACTATATGAAGCACAATTAAAAGATTGTGGAACAATTATAGTCATAGTGAAAAAAAAAATTAATAAGCATACTTCTTATGGATATTTAACAAATATTGATTATTGTAAATAACGACGCAGATATGGTAAAATATGTAAAACACCACAAGGGAAAGAATGTTTTTTTTTTTTAAAAAAAAAATAAAATTATTACCGGTTTAACTCCTTCAAATAAATTATTATATCGGTTCGGTTACTTGAGGTTCGGATAATTTATAAAAGTTTATAACCGATTCGTGGTACATTCGCGGTTCACTCCGGTTCTCTCCGGGTTCCTGATTAAAAAAGTACAACTGAATGGGGAAAGGGGGTGGGGGGGGGGGGTATATAACACTTTGGTTAATGCGTACCTAGACGAGATATTCTTTGTGAGGGGGGGGGTAGGCAGAGACAGAGAGAGAGGTATGTGACGATTCTTTCATTAAATCAAGGACTGCAGCTTATATGCAATTTAAAATTGGTCCAGCTGTTCTGTTATCTCTGGCCACAGATATTTTCGCCAAAGAACCCTCTTGTAACCCTAACGGTCCGTTACTTTTGTTATTATTAGAGAAGCCGCTAACAAAGTTAAACCCTTCGCGGTAGCCAGAATTACGGTTGTCAATTTTCATATGGATTTTCTAATTTGTTTTGTTTATTATCAGCTTGTTATTCTTCTACAGTAGCCATTTAACTTTTTTTTTAATTGTTTTTTTTGGTTCATTTTAAATTCGTCAATGAAAAAATATTTATCAATTATTATTACTACAGTGTAACTGATAAAAGTGTAGAGGGAGGCCCAAGATGACGTGGATAAATGTGATAGCGGCGGGTATTAGAAAAAATGAATCTCACAAATATTGGTGCTCAGGACCGTCAAAAATGGAAAAGTAAAATCAGAGGGGGGAAAACTGGCCAACCTGGGAAACCTGGAGATCGCCATTAAACGGAGAAGAATTGTAAATATCATTATAAGAATTTCTAGCAAGCACAGTTATTTTTTTCTTTATTAATGCCATGAAATTGTTTCGCATCTTCTAATTTTCAAATTAATTTATTCCCTTTTTTTTATTTATTCTACTTGAAAACGCTCTTTCGGTAAATGCTTTCCTTTCTGAAATGCCTAATGAATGAATTCTAAGAAATGGAATTTTTTTTTTATTATATGGACGATCTGTTGAGTAGTGGGAGGTCAATGGAGGAAATATTAGCCGAGGTATTACCGCTTAGGGTTTGCGCGGAAATCGTGATAAGAGTATGATCGGAAGTGTCACCCAGTATAACGTATTTAGGACGTATAATAGAAAATAGAGGGATCGCTCAGCAAGAATATTGAAGGTATAAAAAAATACGCGTACGCCAAAGGACCCTTTATAGGAATGATGACTTTTTATCATCGATTTATTGAGGCTTTGCAGAGATAGCCGTTCCATTATATTATGATCATTGGAAGATAATACAGCATTCAAGTGGTTGGAGATTCAGGAAAGGAGTTTTAACAATTTCAAGGATAATATATGCCTAAAGCCAATTTTATCATGTTTTGATAATAATTTAGATGTGATTTTATCGGTTGACGCTTCTGCAAGGGGAATTGGAGGTGCGTTGTTATAAATTTTGGACAGAGAGGAAGGACCGGTTGTATTTTTCTACGAAGATTCCGCTCAGCGAAAGAGCATTATTCCGTTAATGAAAAAGAGTCGTTAGCGGTTATATTTGGGCTCATGAAATTTCAAGAGTTTAATTATATATATCGATCACAAACTCTTGATTTATCTATTCGAGAAGGATAACAAAGCTGATGCTGTCCCCTAGACTGCAGAGGAGGCTGTTGTTGTTTGGAAATTTCAATGTGGAGGTACGTACAGACCGGGAAAGATTAATCATTTACCAGATGTGCTATATAGATTATGTATCGAAGAAGAAGTGGTGAACAAAGATAAGGATAATTATGACAATGGAGTGATTAAGAAATTATCACTCTAGAATGGTCCAGTGACTTAGCAGGAAATAAAAAAAGCACACTAAAGGATGAGGAGTTCAAGAAAATTAAGCAATGTTTAATAGGGGAGAAAAGTTGGGAAAAGAAAGATAATCCATACCGGTTGATGGAACACGAGATAACTATTGTAGATGACTGTGTTGTGAGGGGTAATCGGACTAAAGTATCGCGTAGACTGAGGGACAAAGTTGTCAATT